ATGTAATAGGGAAGATAAATGAGAAATAAAAGGAAAATAAAAGAGAAATAAAATAAATCCTATTTCATCAGAAAAAAGAGGGACATTCAATTGACGTTCAAATAAGGTTTAATCAAGGTTCAATCAGTAATTTAAATCAACTCCAGCAGTTGATAGAAACATACGCATCTGTCTAAAAAAACAATAAAAAAGTTATTTTTCAAATGGTATTAATAGCTGGTGATACGGAGCTTGACTCCTTGAGAATTTGTTTTAAGCGTTGGTCGCATTTAGAAAAATGAAGAATCATTTTGGCAGAAAATAATTAAAAAAAAAATCTGAAAGTGGAAAAAAGACCTTTTTTATGATGAGATGATAATTCTATTTTTAACTGTGAACTTTTTTTTTTTTCTTTTTTTTGCTTTTTTTTTGCTTTTTTTTTTGCTTTTTTTTTAGTTAAATAAAGTTGCCGCCAGCACTACTTTCCTCGTTATTAAAGAGTGAATTTACGATCGAAAGTCTATATTTTTCATGATATCTTCATGTCATATAAAAACAACCTGTTTTACTTTTAGAGCACCTAGCGGTAGGGCTTAAAATGTAAAATTAAGGTTTTTGCCTCGAGCAATGTCCTGAATGTTTTGTTTGTCTTACCTTCACGTTTTCCAAAGTGGAAAATTGATGTAGCAACAATCATCCCTTTTTCTTTCTTCAATTAAATCAACAATGCCAGCTATTTTGACAAGAAAGAAATCGTACAGAGAAAACAGAAAAATCTGTTCAGGTACACACAACCTTTTTAGTGCTCTGAAGAGTAAGAGTTTTTTTAAGTGTAACTGCTGCAGTGCTCTTACTGTTCTGGTCTAACCCCTTTTGTGATTTTAGATGACCATCTATTAGAATTTATTGATAGTACGGCCTCGAAAAACTACTTTTATATTGAATTTAAAGAATCTGTTCACTACAACACGATACCCATTTGAACGATTATTAGATATCATACACCATAGCTCCTTTTTGAGTACGACATCATTCTCTTCATCTTTTGATGGTTTAAACTATTTAACCGGCTTCTCTTTTATTCATTAAAAAAAGAGGTACAAATTTTCCAAAAATCCTGCACCAGTTCCATACAAATAGACACTGTTTCTTGCACTGAATGCTATACCACTGAGTTACGATATCACCGATCGAGAAGAAAATCTTATCAGATCAAATCAAGAACTAAAAGAAAGAGAAACTTAATATTAATAGTTCTCTCAATGGATTAGCTACCCGGAGAGAGAATAGGACAGCTATTAATATAAACGGTTCATTTACTTATATATTGATATAATTATACTGTTGATAAAGAGTATAAATAAATAGTGTATGAATTAATGGATACCTATCTTCTACAACCAAATATACAAATAACGATAAGACATTTTATATTTGGGATCGTAATTTATTCATTACAAAGATAATGAATAAATGATCAACTATTATGTTCTATTGCCAATTACACTTGACAAACAAGTATGCATCTTTTACAGTAACCGTTGCATGATCTGAAAAATAAGTGTCTCGTAATACTAAAGATTTATTAGAATACTCATGTTCCCGATCCACTGATATGGGACAACGTTAACTGGAAACAATTCTAACGAGTAGTATTCATTTAACCCAAGGCGGGAAACACAGTATAGATCTATTCCAAAACCAGAAAGGTAGACTCATCATTAAAACTCAGGAGAATTGTGCAATATAAAAAGGATCAATTATTTCATAGCAGCAGAGTTCTTTTAGTCTATTTTTACCTCCAATAAAAATATACTTTTATCTCATTACTTTTCTATTGTAATATTTTGTTAAATACCACAAGGGCAGCAATTGGTGAACTGAATACGTAAAATTTATTATTATCCAATAATATTATTTACCAAAATCATCGTTTGTACTCGCCAGTATCGGTCTAACTTTTTCAAATATTGGATCGATAAAACGTTTCAGGGTGTATAAAAAATAGTGTATGAATTAATGGATACCTACTTTCTACAATCAAATATCTAGGAGAATCTTAAATAAAAATAAAAATTTATTAAATCAAATCATATTCAGGATTATCCTTTTTCATAATCGCGATCTGCTTTTGCTGTACCCATGATCGACGTTGGGGGTCCGTGATGGTTGATGGATCAGTTGTCATCAACTTCCATTCTCTTTCCTTTTCCAACTCAAGTCTGAGGCTTTCAGTTCGCTTTTCTGCCGCCTCATCGGACTTCTTCTGCATTGCCATCATTTCATCCATCAAGTATCTGAGTTCGTCTTGATTACCGGCAGAAACTGAAGAAGCGGCCTTGGAGACTTTTGCTCTTTTTCTTCCCTCAGGATGCTCGCTGCTGCCGCTGCTACTGGAGTTCTCCAAGGATGCCTTATTGATCCGCTTTGTGGGTTCAGGCTTCCACTTGCCAAAAGCACTCAAATATTCATAGCACTCCATGAAAACAAATGTTTCATTGCGGTGTGCTTGTCTATAAAGTTTACTTGCCAATGATACCTTAAATTTTGCGCTTAATTAACATAATTAGATACATGTTTTGTTATATTGCACTCACATTGCAAGCATAGTTTGAACGACTGGCTTTCTTGTTAGTACTTCGCATATATCCAGAGAATTTCAATGTCTTAGGCTGAATGTGATTCACCCATCTAGTCTTGATACTCTCGGATGTTCTATGAAATAGAAAGTCTTCCTCACTTAATGATTCATTGAAGTGTTGGCCGATATCATCCCAAACCACTTTGCCCTTTTTTTTTGTACCAGAAATTGGATCAATGCAATAAGCGATATATGATCGACAGATCTGCAGGTCCTCGGCTGTAGAGAAATTTTTTCTGGCCTCTTTAACAGGGGCTACCGAAGGACGCGTATCATTCTGAATAGCTTGGGCGTCTCCGGTATTCTGGTCATTTTGGACGTTTTCGTGATGACCATCATCATGAATCTCGTTCTCCATTGCAGTTGGAGAGGGGCTACGAATAGAAATGGCAGTTTGGGTGTTCATTTAGTCTGAAAAGTTTAGAAAAAGAAACGAAAAGAAAAAGAACGAAAAATTACTTCTAGTGACTTTCCGACATTTCATCTGACATCAGCTATTTTAGTGAGATTTTCGTGCAACCGCTGCGGACACACTTCACTAAAAGTAATCACTAATTTAATGTAGTGACTACTTTTAGTGAACCGCTGCGGATGCTCTTAAAACTAATAATAAGAATAAAAGCCTACAAGCACTATTAGTCTTATTTACCTGTTTTTTTATCTATTTTTTTTTTGTTAAACAAAGTTTCTCCATATGCTCAACTATAAAATGGAATGGTTTGTTTTTAACTAATGAATGAATCTAATTGATTTTCAATCGTACAATTTATAAGCAAATAACATTATAAAAAACTTTTTTTGGTTGAAGCGAGGAAAATATTCAATTAGTCTTCCATATTAGAAAATAAGCCAAGTATCCTGATATCAATAATTCACTCAGAATAAGGAAATAGGCAGTCAGTTACGAAAAATACAGTTAATTTCGCCGTTGGAAACTATAACAAAATAATTATTGATCAATCCGAGTAAATGGGTAGCCAGTTACTATACAGCCATAGAAACTGAGCTGATTAAACAAAGATAATTGATGTTGGTATAACTAAAGGTTTAATTGCATTATTGGCATCACCATGTAGCTCCCTGAGGGAAAGCTGGGACCAAAAAAACGAAAATGATGCAGGGTCACCAAAGCTGCGTCTGTGTTGAGTTATTTAAAAAAAATGTTTCGATCAATTACTACATTGCTGATTTGATTGGACCGTTTAAGCAAGTTGGGACTTTCTCAACCTAAATACAGGAAGGCCACTGCATTTCTTATTTTTTTCATAATTCAACATCTCGTAGTTTTCTTTTTGATCTGGAAAAGGCGGGTTCGTAACTACATTTAAAGAGGTGTTATTAAATTTTGAAAAATTAAATTCATAATCATAAATCTTGATGTTTATATCAAACTTATTCCTAAAAAATGGTCGTCTCTCAATTCACGGTTGCATTAAACCGTGATAAAAATATTATCCAGCTTCAGCCAACTAGTCTCACCTCAGCGTAATATCAGAAATTGAATTATATTATCCTAAAAGAGTTCCATTTAAGGCGGTGGTTAAGAAACTATTATTTCTTGTCTTACTAAATGGTAATCTTAGTACAGTTTAATGTTTAACACTACTAATAGCTGTAAACCTTTTTAAAGAAAGCTGTCAAATAATGCATCCCCAATTAAAGTTGGACATGTTATAAAACTTTCCAATCCTGTTCGATACCCTTACTAAGATCCTTTTTGAGCAGTAACATCTAGCTTTCATAAATGTACAAATCGATGAAAAACTTTAAGAAACTACAACGAGCTCCTTTTTAACTACTAAAATTCTTACTTTCGCTAATGACGACTATCTTTATCAAATTTTCTTACATCATTAGGTAAATATGGGGCGTAGTCTAGTATGACGATTTATTAATAACAGCTCGCCAAATCATACTGAGAAAAAAATCATCTGTCATTCACGATTTGTATCCAGCACAAAATGGTTGTCAGTAATACCAAGTGACAAACATTCATCTGATTACTTGAAAATGACGTTGGTGATGAAGCCTTAAATATGTGTTTATATAGCAATTGTGTTCGTGCTCAATCTTCATGACAGGGGAGAATAGATGATAAAAGAAAATGCCACATAGACTCATCCACCGACTTTCGAATAAAAAAATTGAAGGATCATTTAAGCGTAGAAAAATCATTAAAGAGATTGTCGCTAATAACACCAAAAAAAAAAAAGAAAAAAAGAATAAAAAGAAGTGACATTTTAGTCACACGAAGACGTAATATTATTTTCCCTTGCTGATAATTTACATAATGTTCGCCGTGAGCAGAGAAAGAAAGAAAGAAAGAGAAATGCAATTTTAATTTTTAAACTGAAATAACATTGATGATAACTAATGAGCACTTCAGTATTCCTAATTAGAAAGAGTCTGCCTATAGACTACCTTTCCCCACGCTGTGTCCCTATAAATAAATGTCATCATTTATAATCAATTGAATTAACATACGTCATTTTTGACGCCATCCATTTCAAGGTACTGTTACTCAACAGGGAAGGTCATCCATTCGTTTTTTTTTGCCAATACGCCCCTTGTTGTGGTCCTAAAATATAAGAAATGAATGATTAAAAATACCCCAATGGAGCTCTATATAAAGTCAAACACAATGTGGTACGTACACACACAAGAAATCGTCATTATTTTAATTTTCAAACCCCATTTGTTTTTCCCCCTACACCCTCTCATGCTAAAAAAGGCCGAGGTCATTGGGTTTCATCCAAGATATTTTCCATTTTTCTTTCTTCTTTTTACATATTTTTAATAACTAGTTCAATGGCACACAGAGAGGGCATTACCACGGAAACACATGACTGGACCATGGTGAAAGCCTCTAGCATTGTCAAGGATCAGAAAGTGATAACCATGTAAGTTTTTTGAAGAATGTACACACGCGCGTATGGTGTTAAAAAATTCAATATATATATATAGTGAAGGGTCTTTACCCGTGGAAGAAGCATGCAATGTGCTCATCAACAACAACATTTCCTCAGCTCCCGTGTATGACGCTCAAGTCAGAGAAGCCAACCACAGCGCCATTATTCACCCTCGCTCCTACGTAGGCATGTTTGACTATGGGGACGTGATTGCCTACATCTTGCTTGTCCTCCAAAACATGCCCCCACCGGGTGAAGACGACGACGAGGAGTTTTTGGAGCAAAGAGAGCAAAAACCATTAGCTGGAGAAAATCTGACTTTTGAAATCAAGGATATCGTACGTCGTGCTTTGCAAGGAGAGGAAATACCTGTAAAATTAGCCAGTGGTAAACCCAAAAAAAAAAAAAAAAGATTTGCATATATTTTTCTTTTTTTACAAGCATGTCTGACTCTGAATTTAAAGATCTCTCACAAAAGAATCCGTTTTATTCAATTCTTCCTGAGGCCACTTTATTATCTGCAGTAGAAGAATTCGCATATGGCACACACAGAGGTAAAAATATACATAAGTGTTTGACAAAAAACGTCTTATCAACTGAACAATTTTAAACATATTTAAAGTTTGCGTATTAAACCCCGATGGATCTATCAAGGTAATAAGAAGAGAATGGAAGAAAATAGAGTAAAGCTGATAGAAATGAATATATAGGGTATTCTTTCACAATCTACTGTAGCAAGATACATTTATGACAACCAGCGTCATTTCCCAGATATCGAAATTATGATGAACAAAACTGTAAGTTATGTGATTGAGGCTTAATGTGGAGAAAAATTGATCGACTTTTATTCTAGCTTCGTCAATTGGGATTGGGAGAGTCAGATGTTATTGCAGTTAATGCGGATTCGCCGGTACTTGACGCACTTTCACTTATGAGTATGTCCAAATCAAAAAGAGAGAGAGAGAGAGAGAGATCAGGGAACTAACCTATTAAAAAAACCCAGGCAAACATGGTGTTTCCTCTGTCGCTGTTTTAGGGCACATGGGTATTATTCTTGGTAACATTAGTATGACAGATGTCAAGGTAACTTTATTTACTAGCGTGATTTTTTTTTATTTATTTATTAAATAAGATTTGATTCCCCCTTTTTATTTTTAGCACGTCATGAAGAGTTACCGTCACCAACTGTTGTGGAAAACATGTTTTCAATTTGTTAGCCTTGTACGTACAGAGCAAGGCATTGATGATGGACAGGTAAATTAAACTTCGGATGGCGTACCGATAGAAATTTGTTTTTTTTAAAAAAAGAAAGTTTGTTTTTATAGGACCGATTGCCTGTATTTGATGTCCGTTTAGATACAACCTTTGGTTTTGCCATTGCCAAATTATTGGCCACCAAATCTCACCGTGTTTGGGTCCTTGATGAACGGGAAAGAGCCATTGGCGTTGTCTCTATCACCGATGTCATGCGTGCTATTGCTTCTAGTGCTGGTGTCGAGGTTAAACCTCATCGTGGAAAATCTGCCTCAAGAAATTCATCCCCCTAACTTTTTTCTTACTGCTACATAAAACCCAGCAAAAAAAAAAAATATAATTAAATTTTCTTTTCTCTCTCCTTAACCAACCAAAACCAAAAAAAAAAAAACTCTATACCCTTTTTATACATATATACCTCATTGGATTTATCCCTCCTTTCTTCTTCTTTCTTTGACAGCCATCTCTTTTATACTCATCAGAAAAAAAAAATAGTGTCATGGAACCTGTAAGTTTATCTTCCTCGAGAAACAAAACTCTAGGCACAAGTAAACGAATAAAGATTAGCAGAGCATGTGACGAATGTCGAAAACGAAAGGTAATGATTGCAATTTAATATTTTTTATAAGTATGTCTCTCTAAACTCAGAAGTGAAGGTCAAATGTGATGGTGTGCAACCGTGTGGACGATGTAAAAAGTCCAACGCTGAATGTGTATTTGCCAAATTACCACCGAAACGAGGACCACCAAAACAATATATGGAGAGTCTCGAGAACCGTCTTCAACGCGTTGAAAAGGCCCTCAAGTCAGTCACGGTACATAAAAAACTCTTTGAAGAAGAGGGACGGGGGAGAAGGAGCGTTTCTTTTCCTATCGTGATCGCACCAAATACGATTGAACAACGATTCACCATCAATGAAATTGGACAGGCCGTCTATGCTGCCACCACCACCACCACTACTTCGGCTGATGAGAATAATAAATGTCGCATCACCATGGAAAATATAACACACCTTAATAATGATACCCAATCAGATATATCCGATTCACCTATTTCTTCTTCAAATGCATCCTTCTTTCCACCTATAAAACATGTAGAAATCGCCATACCAGATCACCTTTCCTCTCGTCACATCATTTCAGAAGTACAACCCTTGACCGAGGTTTACTTTGATCATGTTCATAAATATGTGCCCATGATTCATAAACCTTCCTTTCTTAAACAAATGCATAGTTTAACTCACCCTCCTTCTCGATTTCTCTTGTACGCTATGTGTGCTGTCGCTACTCGTTGGTCTCCCGATCATATCATCACCATGAACAATAAATCTATGCCCGCTGGATATGCTTATTATCAACGTGCCTTTGATTTACTCGATGATTTCACAGATTCTCCTCGTATCTCCACCGTACAAGCTCTCATCCTCCTTGTTAAATATCAAGAATATTTTCAACGTCAAGGCTTCTTTCATCGTTCCTATTTTTACCTGGGCATGGCTGTCCAAATGGCCATCGATTTAGGTCTGCCTCAACAAATCGAATGTGAAGGTCATGATGCGGAGACTAGAAAAAGAACTTTTTGGGTAACTTTCATGTATGATTTATTATCCAGTATCGAGCAAGGTCATGCTACTTCTTTTACGGTTCAGCATTGCAAGACAGGTTTCCCCTTGGTGACAGGTGAAGAGGGTCCTGCCCTGGAAGAACTCGTGACCAATCAAAATATCTTGATTCAGTTAGGTAAAGTGCTCTCAGATATCCATGTCATGTCCAGATCTATCGCTACTCGTCAACGTACGCAAGGAGATAAACGCACACAGGAACAAACGATTGAAGAACAAGCTCGATTATTCTCTTTACATACCCATCTCGAGAATTTCTTGTATGAAGTACCTCCAACCTTGATTTACCCACCCACACAAGACACAGATAGCTATCCTGCAGAGGTTCAATTAATTGGTGACCCTTTTATTGGTTTCTTGCATATGACCTACCATTTCAGCGTCATCTTGTTACATCGTATCTACACAAGCCTATCTCCTCCTAAAACTGAATATAATTTCATTGCCTATCCACATCGTCGTCTATGTGCTGCTTCCGCTTCCAATATTACCATGATTGTCAAGACGCTCATTGAACTGTACCCAATCTACACTTTTCATTATCCTACAAGAGGTGTACAACACACCATCCATTGTTTAGCTACCGCCTCCACCATACACAAGTACGAAATGCGTCATGCTCCCGATGAATTATCAAGAGACGCTGCGAATGACCAGTATATCTTAACTTTGGAACTCATGCAACAATTGGCTCAAGAATCTCCTTCTACACAGGTTGCTGCTCTCTTTCCATCCGGCAGTGGTTTCTTGCAAGATTCTACCATGTACCCTCAACAACAAGCACAACAACAGCAACAACAACAACAACAACAACAGCAGCAGCAGCAACAACAACAACAGCAACAACAGCAACAACAACAGCAGCAACAGCAGCAACAGCAGCAACAGCAGCAACAGCAGCAACAACAACAGCAACAACAGCAACAACAACAGCAACAACAGCAACAGCAGCAACAGCAACAGCATCACGTAGATACTCGTCATCATCACCATCAGCATCTTCATCATCAGCAACAGCAGCAGAAGCAACAACAACAACAGCAGCAGCAGCAGCATCGTCAGAGTAACAATACAACTCCCTTGGATGAACCTGTCTTGTACCAATCTAGTGCTTCTATGGCAACAGATCCTACCCATCTGGCCAATTTCTTGGTAGGTACCACTTTTCCTAATGTCACTCCCGTTACCAATACCCATACCACTACACCCACCAACACCACAGCGAACATTAGTAATCATCAACAACAGCAGCATCAACAGCAGCATCAACAGCAGCATCAACAGCAACATCACCTTCATCAACATCAACAACATCATCATCATCAGCAGCAGGCACAACCACGTTATAACACATATCCACAAATGTCAATGGCGCCACCACAATGGCAAGTATCTGCCGAAGACTTGCAACAATTAAGTCGACCTTCATACCAAGTGACGAACAGTTGGAACCAATCTCAGCCCTATTATGATGATACACCTCCACCTCAATATGCTGAGAGTCTGATCAGTAAACCTTACACGTCTCGTATACGACGTCACACAGTGTCTTCCCAAGAGTTTTATACGCCGGATCTCATGTTACCACAACAAGTGATTCGAAAGCAACAAAGTTTTGATCCTAGTACTTTAAATATGGAAATCATGTTAGTACCGGAGGAGGATGCCATCATGATGGATTCTCATCATTATGACCCTACACCGGGTATGAGTCAATTATTTTTGACAGAAGGGCAGCAACAGTTATGGGGTGATAGTACCTTGGTTCCCACTACCGAAGCTCGAAGTGAAGGCCATGTTATGAAATAAACGATTTTTTTTTTTTTTTATCATTATTATTATACAAATTTTTTATTTTATTGACCACCATAGTAAACATGTTGAACATCAGCTAATTTCTTGCCTCTCATTTTAGCAATATCCTCAGGTTGCTTTTGACTAGAAAGAGCCTCAAAGGTAGCCTTGATGACATTCATGGGAGTAGTAGAACCACGAATTTTAGCACTGATATCCTGAAGTCCGATACAACGACAGATTTCATGAACGTAATGATTGGTACGAATACCAAATCCAGGGGGTCTCGAACGAAGTTCTAATGTGGTGGCATGAAATTTATGTGTCAAATCCATGGCCAAGGTACGTTCGTCGTAACGTTCAAAGTAACGCATGTTCTTGATGGCTCGGTTCGTTGCCTTACGCACAGCACGACTGGCTTCCTCATCTTTACCTTCTCCATATCCCGCTAATCCATTACCATTACCCACAACCACAAGTGCATACATGGAAGGCTGTTTACCTTTACCATTCATATTCACCACACGCTTAATTACAAGCGCCTTCTTCATCAAACTACCTTGTTCATTGGGACTTAAAGGGGAATCAATGATATCCGTAATGGCATTCAATACAACTTCTGCAGGTCGATGAGAAGAAAAGAGCTTGGGTTGATCTAAAGAGGTGCTCTTTTCCGTGGGGAAATCAAGGATCGAATCCACCTTGTTTAATTGAGGTACATTGTCGTTATTTAATCCAGCATGACGTTTCGTTCCTTCAACACTGGCATAGTGACGCACTGTCACTACAATGATAGACCCTGGTTTAGTTTCTCACATGTATAAAAACGCCTCTCTATTATTACCTGCGCCAACTCGGGGTGTGGCAACTACTGAAAGTCGGGTCAAACTACGTCCAAGAGCCAACATTGCTTAAGTAATTTATTAAAAAGAAACAAGGGGAATTTTTTTTTTCTTTTTTTTTTTTGACAAGGTGGCACTTCGATAAACGAGTCTCTTTTTTCTTTGGCGGACATTGAACCCTTTGCTATACACATTTTCTCCCACTCTGGCTGTCACCAGTTAACTGTGACGTCAGCTTTGGGGAATCAAACGGGGTTGGGTTGAATGTTGTGTGCAAAAAAAAAAAAAAAAAAAAAAAATCATAGAAATCTCCCCCCCTTTTCTCCCCCCCAACTCTACAACACTCCCCACTCTCTGTCTTTTAATAGCACAAAGGACATAATGAACAACCTTAGATTAATTCGGTCATTGACCATGGCTTCACCCAGCCGCACCTTCCTCGCCGGTAAAATTCGCATTTAACGGGGTGTTTATTATTTTTTATTAACAACACGAAACCAATGTAGGGCCTCGTTTTGTAGCAGCACCCATGGCCAGTCAATTGGCTCAGTTCAGCTCTTCTCGCATGGTGCAACACGCCGCACCCGTCAAAGATATCAGTCATCAGATTTCAGGCAAACCACAAGGCGCTCTTGATGTCGCTGCCCAGCAATTATTGTTGACAGAACTCTTTAGAGGTATGTGGGTCGTTTTGGAGAACTTTTTCCGTCCTCCCTACACCCTTTACTATCCTTTTGAAAAGGGTCCTATCTCTGCCCGTTTCCGTGGTGAGCATGCTCTCCGTCGTTACCAAACCGGTATGTTTCTTTATTGACATGTTGTCTTTTTTAAAGCTAATTTTCACTCTCTAAATAGGTGAGGAACGTTGTATTGCCTGTAAGTTGTGTGAGGCTATTTGTCCCGCTCAAGCCATCACCATTGAAGCTGAACCCCGTGAGGATGGTGCTCGTCGTACCACTCGTTATGATATCGATATGACCAAGTGCATGTACGTTGATTTTTTAATATTGGATGTATCATTCACAGCAATTTGACATTTTTCTTTTCTTTCTCGATTAATAGCTACTGTGGTTTCTGTCAAGAAGCTTGTCCTGGTAAGCATTAGAAATTATTTCCCCGGTAAATACATATAACGATCTAACATTTCTCTTGAACAGTTGATGCCATTGTCGAAACCCCCAATTACGAGTACATTACCGAAACTCATGAAGAACTCCTCTACAACAAGGAGAAACTTTTGGCTAACGGTGATAAGTGGGAAGTTGAACTCGCTAGGTAATATTCATGTCTATGTCTGTGTATATGCGTATATAAACTGATTTTTTTTTTGTATGTAGAAACTTGCAATCTGAGAACCCTTACCGATAAATTAATCCCCCCTCCTAATTGTCAAATAAAAAAAAAAAAAAAAAAAAACAACACAACCTCCACTTATTATACACAGTTTATTCTTTTTAATTCATCCTTTTCTATAGCTTTCTCTTAAACTAAAACATGCTTCTTTACAAATTCTTTAGCGGCGTTTAATCCACGTTCATGGTAAATGGCACCAACAATGGCTTCAAGTGTCTTTGACTTGACGGAAAGTGTAACGACATCCTGAGGCTACTTTTTATATATTAGCTGTCAAATTATCCATCATTATGCATTATTTTGCTTTTTTTTTTTTTTTTTTTTACCAAATGACATTGAACACCAGCTTCTAAACCCAAGGCATCAAATTTGGCAGCTAAATGGGCAGGTTCGAATACCTTGACAATGGCATTCTTTAATTCCTCGACACCTTGCTTGTTCATATTGGCTTCAAGAGCAAAGAACTCTAACGAACGATGGCCCACATATTGAAGACGCTCATTGGAAGGAACTTTACCATGTTTGAACGATTTGTGGGTTAAAGCTTGTGTCAATACACTTGGTGATAAAGAAAGTTGATCAGCAACAGACTTGGTGTTGAAGGAAGGTGAGCTGGCCTTTTCCATGAATAAAGCACGACTCCAGTGCATGGATCGGCGTTGCACTATGTACCTGCTTATCAGCTCTCTCTCTCTCTCTCTTCTTTTCTACAATATTCAATGCTTACCAGTCATTAAGCTTGTATTCTTCAACATTATAGGCCTATTAAAAAAGTTGGAGTTATAAAACAACAAAAAAAATAGAAAAATAGTTTGGCTGGGGTGGGGTTTGTAAATTGTGCCTATTTTTTTTTTTTTTTTTGGTGTGTGTGTGTGTGATTGCAAGGCCCAAGTGGCTTGGGTAACACGCCCTACACACACAGAGGGACACTTTTGGCACTCCGATACAAGCACCTTTTACAGGTACACTATTCAGACATCACTTGCAATGCCTCACATTGCGCTGTGTGACTTTTGTTGATAAAGTGTCTTTTAAAAAGTTTTCTTTCGGTACTTTACCTTCTTTCTATTTTGCGTCGGTACTACCAACTGACCAGATCGACACTGATTTCACTCCAACCTACTATATAAATTGAATTCCATAAGTTTCCCTCAATAACACACCGACAATGGTATTTAGAAAGTATTGAGGTGGTGTAGCCTAGAATCACCAGCATGTCAGCGTTTAAGCAGTTTATACTTAACACCATGAAGAGGCCGATCATCAAATTCGGTGTCGAAATAGTCACCGTTTCGAAAGGACGGAGACCCCTTTATGCGGGTTCTGCTCACTAGTCGAAGCAACCGGCTCCAGTCTGATAAATGCTGTTCCCACAGTGGACCCGCCCTCGCCAATAAAGGTGGCGCTTCTTGCAGTAAAGCAAATGCATGAGGCGAGAAAGCGTGAAATATGCAAGCTACTGTCATTGGATCATAAACCAAGCGACAGTGTTCCTACTCCACTTTCCGATAACAATCTAATAAGAAGCAGTAAATACAAGACTTGGAATAAATGACTTGGATGAAATACACTTGCAAGAAAACTTGGATTTGTGGGAGCTCGATAGTGCAGCAAGCCGGCTTTCGAGCAACATGCTATAATGCATCATCCATTCATGCAAGCTTTGCTTATCTTATGATAAGTTGAGCGTTGATTCATGCGGGCTTTGCTTATTTTATATGTTATCCATTATATAATAATTCGATACTTTCTGTTTGACAATCACCTGGTCATGGTGACCAAACACGAAACCAGTTATATCTTCAGAACCCAGGACTTAGATCTGGGGAAACTGGCTATGGGCTTTGGAGAAATGTTTGTTTGCAATGCTCGATACATTTATGACTGCGCGCAAGTTTTTTTTTAAGATAGTCTATCCACAGGAGTTAGAAAGCACATACGGTCAAAAAGAACGAAAAAGGGACACAAATGGACAAGAATTGAATAGAATTTTAATAATGGCAGATTTTCGTAGTAGCTCTTCTGATACCGTTTCTCGGATTCGGCTTTACAACCATTGCGGTCACTTAATCCAAGTTCACAAACCAGCATTAACAGTATCACAATCAAGATAATCCCATCCCCCCCTCCCCTCCAATATTAAGACTGTCAGAAGATTACAACAATTGAACACATCGGTAGCAAAAAAAAAACTGGCTTTTCAGGTCTCTTGAAGTTTAAACGTTTAGAGGAACAATAAATATGGCATCTGTTGCTTCAATTTTGCTGTCCGGAATTGTAGGTAAAGAGTTACCAAACGGGGAATTCAATTGACTTTGCATTTGTTAGCAGAAACCAAATTGTTTGTATCTAAAAGACAACTTAAACTAGTAGTAAACCAGCTTATTACAGCGTGCGCTAAGCTAAATACAGTATAAGACTTTTTGCCTTCCCATCAAGTGACAACCAAATGCTTCATAAGGTTGGCAGAAAGAAGCTTAAATCAACTGAGAAATGATGATATTCTGTCTGTTTACAAGGGATCTTGTCAAATCAAATATGCAAAAAAAGATCAAACAAAAGTTAATTTTATTATTGGGCAGTAAATTTATTTCTAATAAAGGGTTGTTAACACTTGTTCAGTCAAGCTTTGGTTCTCCACAATTAAGAAAAGTGCGTCCAGTGACTGCGTAATTTCTTTAAGGGTTTGAAGCTCAGGAAAGAAAAAAAATAAAAAAAACAAACGCGTATCTCTTTTACCATTATTAAACGGAAAGAATGTCAGCACCAAAAATACCAACGGTCGATTTAGAATATTACGAACAACCCAAAACAATTGGTTACTTTGAAGGCATCATCAATGCATTACGTATTGATTTAGACAAAGAAGGAGCGGATACAAGTTTTACCTCACCCGACTTGTCCTACTTTACGGCCCATTGCCAAAAGTTCCAATTGGACCATCTGGGGAAGGAAGCTGCAGAAAAGGCCAAAAGGCACCGAAAGACCGTGGCGGCCGGTATCCCATTTGTTCTCTTTAGCGTACATCATTTATCCGTTCAGTCTTCGCTCTATCATATCTTGAAAGCCGCTTACAAGTTCAAATCCGATCATCGTATTAAGGATTGGCGCTTTGAAGCAGAGGAGGAAATTCAGCTGTATTTACAAATGATTCAGGTTATCAAACAGGCTCTCTTTGACGCTGGTTTTGAATCCTGTTTACCTCATATCGCCTTTCATCCTTCCATCGATGACCATCGAAAGAAAAAAATGTCACTTTCCATTGAAGGCTTAGGAGGTATAGCAGACAACATTCTTCATATATTTATCACTAACACCAAAATCATATAGGCGTGATGGTGAACGAAATAACAGAGGCAACACACATTATTTACAATGAAGAACAACCCCTCGATAAACATCACAAAATATGGCGTGTGGTCGAAAATACCATTGATGATCGTGTAATCGTTCATTGGGTAGGACTTCCCGATTCTTACAACACCATCGTGCTTTTCAAAGACGTCTTTAAAGATAAAGAAGACACTACGCCTATCTCCATCCCACAAGACCATCAAAAAGCACCCTGGCATCTTAAATCGAACTGGATTGAAGACAGTGTCAAATACAATGAATGGATGTCACCTATGGATTATGTCATGATCGAACAGCAAAAGCAACCCCGTACAAAGAAGAAGCGTGCCCTAGATGATCAAGTCTCCAGTCCAGCCAAGAAACAAAAGGATGACAAACCTCAGGAACCGACACAGGATGAAATCGCACTTCAGTTTATGCCCGTACAACAACACGAAGTCATCATTCCTTCTTACGCTGCTTGGTTCGATATCGCCTCCATTCATTCCATCGAAACTCGTGGATTACCCGAATTCTTTAACAGTAAAAACAAGTCAAAAAACCCTTCAGTCTATAAAGATTACCGCGATTTTATGATCAATACCTATCGTTTAAATCCTTCCGAGTATTTAACAGTGACAGCGTGTAGACGAAATATGACCGGTGATGTATGTGCCATTATTCGTGTTCATGCGTTTCTGGAGCAATGGGGCCTGATTAATTATCAGGTATTTATTTATATATATATTATATTGGCAAAAAAAAAGGGGGCATGTAATTAATTGTGTATATCAACAGATGGATCCTACGGCCAAACCTACAGCCATCGGTCCTCCCTTTGAAGGTCAGATTAAAATTATTGCAGAATTACCTCCTGGATTAAACAAATATGCCAACGAAGAAGGTGTCAATCAAAAAGAGGCCGAAGCAAACAAGGAAAATCTCCATCAAACAAATACAACCAAACCAAGCGTATCATCCTCATCAGCATCGACATCACCACCATTAGTAGCAGATACAGCAGTAGCAGCAGCACCATTAAAAGAAACAACGGCCGTACCCCAACCCATCGTATTTGATTTAAACCTGGATCTTCGCAAAAACATTTATGAAAAGACACCTAAATGTACCGTTTGTGAAAAGGAAACTGACGATGGATATCAAAACGACGCCGAATTTATCTGTGCTGCCTGTTTCGAAAAAAAGGACACCAGGGATGGTTTCATAGCTAGCAAAGACCATTGGACGGAACAAGAAGATCTTTTGTTATTAGAAGGACTAGAAATGTTCCCTACCGATTGGGAACAAATTGCTCAGCATGTCGCTACCAAGACACGCGAAGCTTGCATCTTACATTATCTTAAATTACCCACTGCAGATCCACGTATCGATCCTCACGTTCAGTCATTAGGCCTATTAAACTTTGATCAAAAAACACCCGTGGAAAATCCCATCATGTCCGTTGTGGCCTTTCTTGCATCCCATGTCAAACCCAAAGTGGCTACTGCCTCTTCTCTGTTCGCCAATGATGATCAGCAAGAACCAGAGCAAGAAGATGTTACAGAGATGGATGCCGAATCGGAACGTTTGGAAACCACCTATGAATTAATCCGTGCCAAAGTCAGCGAGTTCTCCTCACGTTTAGCGAATTTCGGACACATGGAGAGTGTGGTGGATGAGCAACGTCGTGGGTTGGAACGCGAGAAATTCTTGATCAGACAAAGTCATTTGGCGATACGTAATCAAATGGATAGTATTTATCACTCCATGTTTCAACATCGACAAGCGAAAGCTTTGCAAGAACAACAGCGTAAATTGGCTCAAGAAGCCGCCGCTGCTGCTGCTGCTGCATCGGCAATAGCAACATCGGCAGCCGCGGCGGCGGAATCCACTGCTGCCGTTGCGCCTATTACGTTTACTGCACCTGCTCAACCCACTGCTGCTGAACCCACTGCTGCTGCACCCACTGCTGCTGCACCCACTGATGTTGCACCCACTGCTGTTGCACCCACTGCTGTTGCACCTACTGCTGCTGCACCCACTGCTGCTGCACCTACTGATGTTGCACCCACTGCTGAAACATCAACAATTACTGAATCAGTAACCATTACAGAAACAACAAAAGTAGCTCCAGAAACACAAGATCCAAAATACCCAGAACAGACAGTATTTACACCAACAAACTAATTTTTACTATGATTTCTTTTTTTCTTTTTCTTTTTTCTTTTTAAAAAACATGTATATATATTCGAACATCTTTATTTTTTATCTAATCTACTGTAAAAATTACTACGTTTTAATTCCATGGCGGTTTTATAAGGTGCTGTGATGGGAGGTTGTAATGGATCCAATTGTTTATAAGAGGACGTCAAAGGGTACGTTCTATCGGCATCGTAACCACTATCAAACACGTTCAATTTTTAGTCTCTCTCTTTCAATCTCTCTTGCCCGCTCTTATTATAAAAAAAAAACTTACTTTAAATCACCACAAGCAATAAAGGGAACAATGGTACGATTGGGTCCTGTCAATTCATTCATACTATCATACTGTAAATCCAAGAGTGGGTTAGCCATGGTAGGTGTATAATCCACGGGGGGTTGATATCCCTGACACACAATAAACGCCTCGATACTGGAATTACGCGAGCTTCGTGGTTTACTACAGGTGACGGTGGGGAAAAATATCTTTAACTGACTGTAAAGCAAGGTGATGTCTTTACCACGAAAGATCTTTGCAACAAAGGTTCCACCGGGACGAAGCACATGTGTTGTGATATTCAGTGCTGCCAGTAATAATTGCGCTTGAATGTATTCATCCATGTCATGAAGACCCGTGACATCGGGAGCTCCGTCACAGATCACAATATCGGCCATACCTCCATCAAAGTACGAAATGATTTTCTCGGCAGTGGATTTTTTCGTAATATCGCCTTGCAATTGAATCACACCGTCTAAAGGTGCCTACATTACCCCCCTTTCCTCCATTAGTCTTCTATATCTATCCCATCCTTTTTTTTTTCTATCTCGTACCATGGCTTGTAAATCAACAGCGACAATTTTAGGCTCGGGTTCCTCTGGTGTTTGTTTATGATTTTCACTATTCATAAAAGTGTTTAGTACTCTTCTTCTTTTTTTTTCAGGTTTGTATTTTTGTTTACCTTAATCGCTTTGAAAGAACTTGAGACCAACTACCGGGAGCAGCACAAAGATCTACGGCTTTTTGAACACCTTTATAGTTTTCCATGGTTAGTTTTATATTCTGTCAATCAGAGTGTGCTTCAAAAAAAATTTAAAATAAACCGAACCTTGTAAAAAGTTGAACTCTTCATCTAATTGTAACAACTTGAAGGCACTTCTAGCACGCCATCCTTCCTCTTTTGCAAGACGATAATACTGTTCACTGTAAGACTATTTTTCTCCCTTTGTTACTTTCAAGTGTAAACTTACGACGTCTCTTTTATCCTTGGAAGATTTACCCATGGCGAAATTGACAGGTTTAAAAAAAGAAAAAGAAAAAAAAATATGTTGATTTCTATTAAAAAGGAAGTCATACATTTTATGTTTTTCTGGTGTTGGTTGTACATTATGGTAGCCAATCATAACTGTGAATACTCATAGCTATGACCAAAAGACATTATTATGGGGTCTTTGGGTGTGTTGTCACGAGAGTGTCAAAAAGTAACTAAAAACATTATACATATGCTGATGGCATCCATAATGCGTCAGGAATATCTAAGCAAAAAGCGATCGAAATAAATGTGCTGTGTTTAGAGTTCGCACTTTTCGATCCTTATGCAAGCTTGCACTCCAGTTCGGAAAGTGCTAAACTGTCCCTCTTCTTCAAATAAAGGCAAAAACTATTTGAATAACTTACTGATTAAATTTTTACGCCATCCTGATCACTCTGGTTTATGATCTTTATTAGTAAAATTCCTTCTCTCTCATTCAGTATTTGACTTAATTTATTTTTAATGTAGCAAACCAAAACCAATACACACCTATGGCGTTTGTATGTACTTTGTCCGGGATTTGATGTTTTTGTGCTTGAAATACTGTCAAGCAAAGTTTGGATTTTATCCACTTTAATTGTATGGGCTATAAACAAGAACCTATAGAATTTTCGATAACACCAACACCATCTTCAAGTTTCTCATCTAGAAAAGATATTTTCCTTGTCTTCAAACATGAAAAATCAAACGATTAGTTTGCTGAGCGAGACAATCATTTAAAAAAAGACTTTATTTTGAAATTATTTCTGTTTTTTAACACGCTTTACAGCACGATAGTAAGAAATTTTTAAAGAGTTCGCGGAGCTATATGAGCCGAAGAGACCTACATCAAAAATCTTTTTCCATTTTTTTGACTTGTTAGGGTGGGACATGCTTTGAATGAAGAGAAACTCTTCCGGTGTATATTTATTTGGTGGTGTCTCAGCTTGTTCATTTTCATCGTCATTTTCTTTATTCAATTTTCTTTTTTGGCCTTCGATCAATCCAAGGAACTCTTTGGCCAGGTCTTGGTCTTTCCGAGCAGGACAATGGGGTCTTCGTCCTGCATTTTTATAATATACCGACATTCTTTTTTTTTTCCCCTGCTTAAAAATCGAAAAACAAAAAGTCCATTCGAAAAACGAAAAGCCTATTCGAAAAATACCAGGCTTGATTTAATACCTGATAAATTTCCCTCTGGCTTCTCTTTACCAGGTATTTTGACATATCGACCATTAAAGCCGCACCGTAGAATCGGCAGAAACCTTAACGAATTCAACTTTTGTTCTTGAGATGAGGTAAAATAGAAAATGTTTAGACCTCCGTATTTTTTTTTCAAACGTATTTTTTATACCCCTTACAGGAACTCTGGTTAAGGCTAGCAGGCCAATATGATCACACCTATTAACAGTGCAACTCCTGTTATTCACAAGCCGTGAGTTTGAAAAACTCAAGAACCCTGCCCAGGAGGTCGCCCTCCTATAGCAAAGACTAGCCGCAGCCCCAATATCGCATTAAAGCTTTTTCAATTTATAATCACTACAATGGACATTTGATATACTTGAAGTGACAAAATTTACCGTTCTCACTGTACAATAATCTGACTTGGGTTAGCCCTAGTTCCAGGAACTTCTTATATAACTAGTGTCATACCCATTTGTCTTGGGGAGGGTAGATTCAGGAGCGAGCAGCAAGACAGTGAATAGTTATAGCCGTTTACAGCTTGTCGACACGTCCTTGGTTATTAGACATGGGTGGAATATATTTGGCCGGGATTCTAATGACATGTAAGTAGTTTAGTACCTGAGTGTATCTTGTAAGTACTTTGCCTTGGTTTGTTTACGTTTACGGAATTCGCATATATGCAGCCAAACTATTAAAAGAACGCGTATGCTTATATAGTATTAGATGTTGTCTTACGTATCATGGCTAATGGTTAAATTTCATGACAGCCTTTATTGAGATGAAGCGATGAGTAGAGTCTAATGCTAATAAAAATGCTCAGATGGGCCTATTTCAATTTTTATTTTCATTGAAACAACTCATCATTTATGATCTTTTGGTAAAAAAAAATAATACTTTTTTTAAAACCCCATGAATTCTGCCCACTGTGTAGTAAAAATGGTATTCACAAATAACTTGGACAATTTAAAAATATAAATTAAAGCGAAAGGTTTACCCGTAATTATTACGGGAGTCGACATAAAATTGAAGTGATATTTATTATATGAAATGTATTAACATGTATAGCTAACACCAAGTTGATTTAGATTGGCTCCAGCAACGTATATTATGGAATATGACTGTAAGTTGAAAAGTAAAGTGAGGTCAATGAGCCATCTGGGAAGACAATAGGTGCTAGAATAGCTAACTTTTGGTCTAAACTGCTTGATGTGATTGATGAGATCCGTATCCATTAGTGACTTAAAAACATTGGTCTCATTTTCTTCTTTGGCTGATTTGACATCAAGATAATTTAACGTTTTGTTCAATGGGGTTACTTCTAGTTTTATTGTGGATAAATCTTTGTATTTGAACTTGAACTTATACACAAATATTATTGTGTTTGGCATGATTTATTTAGCTGAAGGTAACAAAGATGCACTGCGCCACTTTCCAAAAAAGGATCAGCCACAGCAAGCGTGGGACCGGGTGTAATGGATTTTTCGAGATTGAGCGTGTATTGCCATCTCTTCTAGGCTTAGTCATAACTGACAATACAAAAAAAAGCCCCATCCGTGTTCATGCAACACATACATATTTAAAAAAAAACTGTTTATTTAAGGTATACAAAAGTGTGTAAAAGCTTCTATAAAGAACTTTTACGCGTCTTTACTGAAAAGTCTTTTCGAAGCTAGGACGAGCTTGGAGGTGTTTATAATAAGCCTCTAAAAGAGGACGCTTTTCAAAGACTTCTTCAGGCTTACGAACCAACAAGAGTCTGTAAAGATAAGGAGTGAAATGAACATCGGCCACAGAGTATTGATCAAAGAGGAAAGAACCATGGGCCTTTAAAAGAGACTCTGCCTTGTTAAGGAACTTTTGTCCAGTCTCCCAAAGATTCTTGTTCATGCCAAACATGGGGCTGGCAGCAGTACCGGTCTCGTAAATCTTGAGCATAACCTCGGATTCAACAATGTTCTTGGTGTAAAGAATAGCATGACTAGGTGATTCTCTGATATACTTCTTCCAGCCATCAATACGACCTTGAAGGAAAGGGATAATAATAGATTTCTTGGCTTCGAGTTCTTCGGGGCTACCAGAGGTAAAGAAGAGAGGGTTTCCAACATCAGCATCATCATGCATTTCCTTAATGAAAGCATCAATAGCATCCTTATGGTCGGGGATACTCAAACGGTTACCAGCCAAAGTATCCAAATACTCTACCACAGATGTAGTATCCTGCTTAATTTCCTTCTTACGATCTTCGATAATCTCCAAAGTAGGAATGGTATGGTTAGGATTAATCTTCAAGAACTCGGGAGAGAAATTTTCGGCCTTGGAAAGATCGATTTCAACAAACTTGACGTCAGGGATATCTAATTCATGAACGGCCAAACGAGCGGCTGCGGCCCAGAGGGATAACTTGAAGGTGTAAAGGGTGAGTTGAGGAGACATTTTTTATATATTGATATTATGTATTGATAATGAAGAGGAAAAAAAGTCATTTTGTGAAAAACTTTGTGTCTTATTTATATGCACGCGCCCTCGTTTTTTTTTTCTTTTCCGCATCAATTACCTCATTGATTTAAAATCCCGGGTATGAGGTCGTTTTTTAGTCATGGTGTTTTTTATTGGTCTTTCCTAATCGAGAAGGCCGCGCAAAAAACCAGTTTGATGAATAAGCGTGTGGTAAAGAAGATGAATAATATTTAAATCTATCCCGAACACAAAAAAACACATTAACATCCTCGTATTTAGGTGTTTTTTTGGATACTAGTCAACAATAATGCTTTAAAGAAATCCGGTGTTTACCTTTATCTCAGTAGCGCGAAAACATAGCTGATGATTCATGCTAAAAAAAAAGTAGAATATGTGTACGTCATAAGATACTTTTTATAAAATTTTACGCCTCTTTTCCTCCAAAACGCGGGCAAAAATATCGTCAAAAAGGAAATATAAACTTTTCACTTGTGCCACCAAAAAACCATCCAACCTTTTTCCAGTGGTGCCACAACATGTTTAAATTAAAAGATTCGCCGGCTAAATATATTCCATGTTATATCCACACCCAAACGTACCCCCCTCCCCTCCCTTAGTTCTTCTGTCGTGTTCCATTATTACGTCCATGGTTTTGATGCGCGTGTTCGTCACTTAAAAGTTCATTCATGCGATGTTTTTATCTTATTGATACTAGCGGAAAAAAACTTGCACATAAATTTCTTGTATCATTGGCTAAGCAATATAAATCGGTCCTTACGATATTATAGGTCATATGTGTACTAAACGCACAAAATGAAATGTCATTTATCAGGATTTTTTTCTTTTTTTTTCTTCAAAAAAAAAAAGAACTTGCTTCATGCAGGTAAACGGTGTTCTTATTTATCAAAAGTTTTTTAATATCTGTCCGTTGCAATAGAGTAAAAAGTTTGTAAAAAGAAACATCTTCTACTGGATGGAAAGTTTTTCTTAGATGATTTACAAATAGTCTTTGTTTATCTAAATAAAACAGCCATAGTTGCATTTTGAATAGCCTTTCTCTAGTGGGGTAATCACAGATTTGTGAAATGTTGTCCCAAAGACCTTAATATACTCTTCAAACTAATATCGTTGTTCATCCTGCATGTTACAGCTTATTTGACCTTAAGATGGCAGATGATCTGACAAATAATCCTAATGAAACTGACATGATATAAGGATGACCATGGTGAAGTACATTGAGCTGCAAACTTGATATTTATGGTACAGTTGGGGAACTCGGCGAAGGATAATCCCAATACTAAACTCTGGTAAATACAGTGTTGGAGGAGCTCTTAGTAATTCACGATAAATCTAAGCCTACGATTATTTACAGGATTTCGTCCTTTCTTTACGTAAAACTTGTTTTAAAAAGCTTTATAAGGGTATCCTCAGTTCTATATAGTGTCAAGCTTTAACTTTACCTCTCACAAAGTAGGTGGGAGGGAGGCAGTATATAGGCAAAGATAAAAACAGTTCTTGTGGAAAGACCTCGATTGAATGCAATTTTAAAAACATTTAGAAGCCTACATGTCGACTTAATTATTACAGATTGTATGCTGTACAGCTTTTTAGGATGATGTTCCCATAAAATCAGATACAACTATGCGAACTTGGTTGACAGAAAACAAATTACTAGGCTTTACATGTTGAAAAAAATATAAAAGGCTACATAAAGATGTAAAAACTGTAGTCTAGGAAGAAGGTTGGGGCGGTGAATGACAAGAAGAATATTCTTCTAGGTGTCAAAATGCCACATCGAAAAGATTATCACATCAATATCAAATCACTTGACCTCTGACACGTATTCTTAACTCGGTCAATCCATAAATATTTTTCCTGTATATTTAATGCGATCAGTAAAAACATGATTTACTCAATTTCGCCCTATATCATTTTATGGAGACCTCATTTTTTTAAGGCTCATTTAAAAATGGTGTGTTGAATTCAGGTGTACTTCAAGTTCTTTTTATTTGGATACTGTCAAGAGTACACCCAGTTCTTTTTTTATATATACATACATATATAACAGTGTAATCAGTACCAGAATAAAATCACAAAGAAGTGAAGCTGTGTTTTAAACAGCCCATTGTAGACACACGCACAAAAAAAAAAAAGTGCTCAATTTGTTTCTCTTTAACCTTTTTTTTTTCTAAACATTTCCCTCTAATGAAACTTTTAGACAAGATGAAGGCACGATGGGCCTTAAGGAATGCAGGTTCCAGGCCCATGGATCCTGAGAAACGTGTAAAGATATTCAGGCGATTACAGAAATGGGTTCCCATCGCTAGGTAAAATATAATAAAAAGGAAATTCGAGTACACGATGTTGACAATGAAGATATATTTGTAAGCTTGCTTATATTCTTTGTAGCTGTGGGTTGGATACTCGTATTACCATACCAAGATTATAATAAACGAACTTATATCTCAGAAAATGCATTATTACCAGGCCAAGTAAAATACAAGTCGACCTTTTTTTAAAAAAAGAAAGGGAAAACTAAACATGTTGATAGGCTAATTTGGATTATGGATATAATGATATTTACACTGCAGAAGAATATCGTGCAAAGATATTGGAGGTTCAGGACAAGGACAGTGAAACGTAAATATGAATTCTTTCGTGAGAAGCAAGGGGAAAACTTATTTTTTTTTTAATGTAGACGTGCCAAATTTATTCACCAAGAGTTCAGAAGAACAGGATTTGTATCTGCTTTACAACACTTTGTTATTGACGGAAAAACACCTAAAATGGTAAGCATCGACGAAATGCAAGTGAAAAAGATAAGGCTAAAAATAACAATAAAAAAGGGGGTCAATGCATTTGCAATTAACAGGGCTCCGAGAAGCGATGGTAAAGAAGCATTGATCCTGAGTGCTTCATGGATGTCAAGAACCGGAGAATGTAAACCGCTAAAGGAAATTAATTTGGGGGGAGAGTAAAACTAATTTACATCATTATAGACAACACGAATGGTATTGCTTCGTTGCTATCTTTAGCTAAATTGTTCAAGCGTAACGTATATTGGGCAAAGGACGTTATATTACTAGTTACGGATCACGGAAATTCAGGCACACAGGCATGGTTGGATGCGTATCATGGCACAACACCTCACGGTTAGAAAAACAAATATTGGTATACCTTGATGATTGAACTAATCCATTCACAAAGACGAGTTATCCTCTGTTGTTATGCCTAGATCTGGCGCAGTACAAGGAGTTGTCAATTTAGATTTCCCAGGAATACAGGATTATGAAACCCTGGGTGTTTTTTTTGGTAAAAAAAGAAAAGAAAAAAGACGAGTTGTTTAAGAGATAACTAAAACAAGTTTATGATAGAGGGAGTCAATGGTCAATTACCCAATCTAGACTTGATTAATACGATTGTTGCAGTATCTCAAAGAACCAATCCACCTATCCAAATTACCCTTCATGACGATAGCAAAAACCCTTATGAAAATCATCAATATAGCTCATATTTAGGGTCATTAAATCACATGCTTACAAGTATGAAGTATTTAGTGTTGGGAAAACCATCCAGTGATGCAGGATTATACCTCCGGTAAGCAATCCAAAAGTAAGAAAGAAGCAAAAAAAAAAAAGATGCATGTGAGACTTTTTTTTTATTAATTACATGGTGTGTCGATTAAAAGTTACACAATCGATGCAGTGACAATTCATGGTATTGCTGGCAGTGAGCATTTGCATCAATTGTTTGGGTTTCACCGAATTGGAAGGCTAGTGGAGTCAACGTTTCGCAGTTTGAACAATCTGCTGGAGCATTTCCATCAGTCGTTCTTTTTTTACTTATTACCTCAACCTAATCGTTATGTGTCGATCAGTCAATACATGCCTCCTGTGATCCTATTCAGCTGCGCTCTAATCTTTCAATCTATGGCCTTGTATTATTTAGGAACAAAAGAGATCCCAAACGCCAATGTTGAAAAAACAGGTAAAATTCCACCTGCATATTCCTTGGAAAAACGTCATACAATGTTTGCATTTACTATTTTGATAATCACGCACGTAACCGGAGTAATTATATTTAATTTGATGCAACCTACTTTTGGATGGAAATACCTTGTTCAATTTGCAGAAAATGAGGTAAACCCCCCAAATTACTTTTATTTATGTAATCCAAGGAGATTTTTTTCTTTCTTATCAGTAACCTTTTTTCTTAAAGACGCTTTTGATTCAATATGGTGCTTCTGTTGCAGTTTGCAGTATTTCGGTTTTACTCTCTATTCTGTACACGAAGCCTTCTCCTGAACACGATGCCACTATCCTTAAATCATTCTGTCTGGCTCAGAGCGCCCTTGTGATTGCAACCGTCTCTCTCCTTAATTTCACCCTCGGTGTTGCCACCGCCATTCTTATTCTGATTCCGTACAGTTTAATCCGTCCTTGTGAAAGCCACGCACTCAAGCTAATTCAACTCTGTTTCTTAACCTTATTATCCCCAGCTGGTTTGGCAGCGGTATTCAGCCAAATGACTGACATGCCCCTGACAGATGTCCTTTTGAGTATCCTCTCCGATTATCATGTTGTGAGATCATGGTTTCTAACTTTTGTCTGTACAGTTTACTGGCCAATTAATATGGCCATGATGATTCTCGTATTCAGCAAATCTTCAACATGATTGTATGTATGTTGTACATCCTTTTTATTTTAGGAGAAAAAATAAATATATATAGTAGAAAATAAAAGGTTTCTTTTTTTAAAATCAGAAGAAGTATGGGTCAACCCATAAGAAGCAAGAAAAAAATATGATACAAAATAAACAAATGGGGGAAGGGGAGGTTTAAAGAGGCTTTTGAGCAATAATACAGTGCCAGTTAATATATGTATGTGCACGCGTCCATTCTGCAGGCAGAGTAGAAATATAATCATCATACTTTTCATAACTGAGATTCATTACAGTGGATAACCAGGGCCTTAAGGATTTTAACAAGAAGAGATACTGACTTGACATGGCTCTTGCAAATTCTGAACAATTGGGTTTTAATAATTCTCCTTCTTCCTCTGCTTGAATATCTTCATTAATGACACTACTGTTGGTCGAATGAGAGCTACCCCAGCCAAGTGGGAATGCCTGTGTACAATCTTGGACTTTGCGGAAACCATTAATGGAAAGCATAGTGGGTAAACGATGTACAAGGTAAGGATCCTGTTGGCGTAAAGAAAGACCCGTCATGACTATAAATAGAACTGTTTAGGGCGACATGTCAACAGTTATGCTGTTTATCTTACGTTTGTCATTTAAAGTACACTCATTTTTAAGGCTATTTTGTGTTTCAAGATCCTAATGGAGGGAGGGGAAGAAGGGGTTAATATAAATTTAATAAATCAAAATAAAGTAAAAAAAAAAAAAAAAAAAAAAAACTTACGGGTTCAACGAATTCGATCCATCCACCGGGTTTAAGAATACGTTGATATTCGTGTAGCAACGGTTGCCAAGTTTGACCAGTGAGACCCCAATTGATGTCGCGCTGATAAATGTAGTCAATGCTGTTATCGGGAAATGGCAATGGAAGTTGATGTTGTACTAATGAACCGCATGATCGAAAATGGCAATTTCGTGGCTTAATATCTCTGGGGTAAAATGCACTTTGATCGATACCAATAAACGTGGATTTAGGGAAAGCCGTACTCATTTCCATTGTCCATGTGCCTGGACCACACCCCACATCCAATACAACAATACCCTTCTGAAGTAGAGGTTTGATAGGTGAAGAGAAATCAGATCCAAAGGCCGTACGTAATAAATAATGCTGTGCTACCATACGATCTTGCTCGTCATTATCTTGTGTCAACACATAGGGCCATTCTGTAATCAATTGTTGTGTAGCTGTCTGATGGTTCAATTTGTTCAGGACACTTTTGCTGGTCTTGATCTTTTGCAAGTTGGAAGGACCCAAAGATGTGGAAATATTGGTCTGTCGTGTAAGACTCTTTCTACGAATTGTTGTCGAACTAGAAGAGGTTGGTAATAACAATTTATTTAATCGAGGCGAAGTGCTTGCAGAGGTAGAAGCAGAAGCAGAACGGTTTAATTGGTTATTGGTAGGAGGAGATTGTGCTACTTTCAATAATTGTTGCTTCTTCATTATACGCTGATCCATAATTCTGATGAGTATTTCAGAGCTGAGAGGTCTCTTACGAACTGATGCGGTTGGAATGTGTATGGCTGAATCAGATAAGGTTGTGCTGGTAGAGGCTGAATGGGTGAGTGAAGGGGCAACTGATGGTTGATTATAAGTCTTTGGTTTTCTCTGTTGACTAAATGAATAGGTGGTTGCTACTTTAGTTGCAGCATTCATCTGTTTCTTCCAAGGACCGACTTCTGCTACAATGTCAGCAGTGTACAAGGGTCTGATGTTATATTTAGAGCAAGATTTCTTCTTCATGATCTTTTGAATAAAGGTTGGGTTATCAAAAATGGTGTTATTGTGTGAGCCAAGCATATTGTAGAATAAGGAATAAAAAGAGGAAGCGTAAAAGAATGAAGCTATTTATATATTAACAGTAATCCACTCCCCCCACCCCTTCTTTTATTTATTTTTTGTATAACCCCTTGAACAACGAAAAGGAGGATGAAAGTCAACTTGCCCCCCACACATGAAGATTCTCCCTTAAGATGTCATGTTGTTTATTGTGGTATAGTGTAAACAAGCAGTTTTGTGTAAGATACATATACATCAGTCGATCTCTCATTAAATGTCGATGGCAAAGAGGTGTACGTGCCAACTATTCAACAAGTTTTTTTTTTATTTATTTATTTATTTATCCAAACTAGAAATCACAAGCCCAAGACCGTGCAGAGGCAATTAATTGACTTTTATGGTATACGGAAATACTTGTTTTTATTACTTTTTAAGGGATAAAATCGGATTTAGTCTGTTACCCTTGATTTTTTACTGGTTGAAACATGGCTGAACTAGGCTATTTATATTGCGGAGCGAATAACAAAGAAAACGCACACCTCATCAAAAAATAATTAAAAAGGGGTTGGTGGGGGTGGGAGAAGGGGGGTAATGGGGGGAAGAGAGAGAGGACAGTCTAAAGCGCGGAAAAAGACACATCCCCCCTTATGATCAAACTCAAATTAACGCATGAATTACACGCGTGATGAACAAAAATGGCGATTCTACGTTGCCGCTCATACTATTTGTTACACCTGTGTTAATGTGAGAGCCGCTGCCTTTTTAGCTCGTAATGTTTGGATAGCCTTTTCCCTTCTTGAATCATTCTTTTCTTTCTCGTAATCACGATTTAACTTTGTTCGAAAATAAGGCTAGTGATTTCTGCATTAGACAATAAAAAACAACCTTCATTATTGTTATTATTATTATTTTTACCTGGCATCTCCAAGGGGCATATGTTCGAATACCGTCTTTTATTGCTACTGTTTCCTGCATATCTTGTTGTTGTTGTTGCTCCTTTTTTATTCTCTCCGTTAATTCCATTGTAATATGAACCATTTTATCCAATGTAGAGCAAACGCCCATCCGGTCTCTTAGGTCCGTATGAATGGAAAAACTCGCATGAAACAGTTTAAATAAGTGGCTTTTGATGATGACAGGCCTCGTCATTGGCTGTAACTCCTTACAAATAGCTAGGTATTCTTGAGCAATGTCGTATGTCATGGGGGGTAATTCGGATGAGGTAAACAGCGATGGATTAAATAAGTTTCCTTCGGCACTCATGATTCCGTCAGCACCTGTCTGGTCTAAACAATTCTGCAGATCATCGTGATAGAGAATGTTTCCATTAGCAATCACTGGTATATTCACTGCCTCCTTGACAGCTTTGATCTTGGTCCAATCAGCAAGTCCTGTATGATGCCCTTTTTGCTCACGTAATCTGCCATGAACAGCTAGCATTTGTGCTCCCGCTGATTCAATCATTTTGGCATACTCAACCGTCTTTTCCACACTCTCAAAAACTCGGATCTTGGCTGTCACCGGTACAATCAGTTCCTTGTGTAGCGTCGAGATTAACTTGTAAATTGTCTCCCAATCCTCTTGAAGGAAGGATCCATATCGTCCCTTTTTGGCAATATATTGTGGACAACCCAGATTAAGATCTACTGCATCACATTCGCTTTCAACAAACTTGGCGGCTGTCAAAAGTGTTTCTGGGTGATTGGCACAAAACTAACCAAAAAAAAAATGGTAAGCTTCAGGAACTACAACCAAAAATAGTATGCTTACTTGAACAATAAGTGGCCGATCTTGTTCATTCGTTGTCCATTGTTCACCTCGATACTTTGCTCCATTGATTGGATCACTAAATAACCTGGAATGGAACATGGGAGTATAACACAAATGAGCATTGTATCTTCTACTAAGTATTCTCCAAGCCAGCTCAGACTGCTCCACCATGGGTCCCACCACATATTTCGGTGACCCTAAAATTTTGTTGTAAAACTCATATCCTTTCAATTTGACCTCACTTCCTCGGCGAAGTTGTTGCTGTATCAAGGTCGACGGTCGTAACATGTCAAAATAAGTTTGAAGGTAGCCTTTTAACATTTTTTTTTTTTTTTTTTCGTTTTCCCCTTGAGGTTGGCAGCTAAGAGAACAAGTCACGCATTTTTTTTTACCCCGATTTTCATAACGCAGTGGGAGGGCTCTCTTCTTTTTTTTTCAAAAAGGTTTATCAAACATGTCTGGAAATATGGATACGAGCGAGACAACACATCAGGAAGACATTGAAATTACTGAAAATACACAAGAATGGGTAGAACAGGACTTTGTACCACTGCCTTCAAATTCACCTGAAGAACAAAGAGAGGATTCACCAGCGCAGGAAGAGAATGTACCAGCAGAACAAATGGAGGAGGACGTAACTACAGAACCCATGGAAGAGATACCCGCCGAGCAAACTGAGGAAGAGAAGCAATTAGCCAAAGAGTTGAAGGCTCTCGAACTTATGGAATTGGTACAGATAATTAACAACGTTTTTTTAAAAAAAAAGACGCGTAGCTCTAACCTCTCTTTCTTTTTAAAAAAACCTTAGTTGCAAGAGGATAAATCTCAGTATGAGCTTCATGTCCAGTTAATTGAAACTTTAAAACAAGTCAATTTACCAGAACAACTCGAGAATGCTCGATTATCTATGCACGAGGTTTATCCTCTATCAGAAGGTGAACAGAACAAAAAAAAATATCACGAAAACCTTCTTTTTTGTTTTATCTAACGTTGATGTATCAGGTTTATGGTTGGATTGGATCAATGATGCCAAAAAAGAAGCTGGAACTGAAGAAGGCCGTGAAAAACTTATAAACTTGTATATGCAAGCACAGGAAGATTATTTGTGTATGCGAATTATCATTAAGAAAAGAAGGATAGTATGTATTGACTTCTTTTTTATTTATTTTCATATGTAGCTATGACGATTTGGAAAGACTATGTTGATTTTATTCTCGAGAACTTTCATGATAAATTCGATAATGCAACGGAAGAGGATACGGAATTGATCGAGTCTACACGTGAAGATATACTGGTGGCAGTTCGTGCTACCCAATTTCACATTAAACAAAGTCAAGAAATCTGGAAACCCTTTGTTGAATTCGAAATCGAGATTTTAAACAAGTTTAAAAAACCAGAACAGCAACAGCGCGTGAAACAGTTATTTTTGAGTCGACTTGCTGTACTTCATATCGATTATCAGGATACATTTGATTCATTCTCAACCTTTACCTCAACATGGGACAATTCAAAATATGAAGAAACAATGAAACAGGCAAACAAGATCTATTCGCATACAAAGAGTGCGGCTGAAGAAAGAGACTTGTTCGAAATCAATATCGTTTCTTCAGGATATACTTTGGATGCGTTTTATCAATACATTGAAAACGAAAAAATCTCAAAATTCATGACATCCGTCAACAATGTCCGCTGCTTGTATGAACGAGCCATTGTTTATTATTGTACAGATCCTACTTTGTGGGATGATTATATTTTATACCTTGTAATGTATTACACTCTTAACTTTATTTTGCCACATTCTTATTAACCTTATTTTTTCTTCTTCGTGTGATAGATCGAAAAGGGGCGAGTCGCCTCATTATTAAACACTGTAATTATACGCGCGATACGTAATTGCCCTTGGTCCGGAACCCTTTATGCTCACAAGGCCAGATTATTGGAGTCGGAAAAGGCCACCGAAGATCAGATGAATGGTAAAACACTAAAGTTCATAAATTAACTCATCTCCCCCCACTCACCCCACTTCCCCCTGTAAAACCTTAATAGATCTTTTCGATACTGCTTTAAAATCAAAATTATTACTATCAAGCCTAGATGATTTAGTTATTCTTCTGTTGGCTAAAATTGATTACGTACGCAGGTCAATTGATTGGGAAGAAGGCAAGTAATAGGATAATGGATCCAAAATGCATGTAGAAGTAACCTCTTTTCTTTTTGATGTTTGCAGCCGATGCAGATGATGTGGTGAGAATGGAACTAGTATTCATGGAAAGTTTAGAATACCTCACAGAAGGTAAAAGAATAATTTATTTGAAATTTTTATAGTTTTACGGGACCTAACCCCATTTTTATTATTACAGCATTTCCCGATTCAGGAGATCCTTACTATCGCATTGAAAAGTATTATGCTTGCATTTCCAAAAAACGATTGTATGATGCGGATAAAGCAAGACAGTTATGGGAAACTATCGTCAAAAAACACGGTCGTGATACAGAAGCTTGGATTAGTTACATAACATTTGAACGTGATGAGGGAGACTTCCAGGCCTGTGAAACATTGTTTAAAAAGGCAATGGAAAAAAATGTGGATAATCCCGTACGATTAATTGAAGCCTGGAACGCCTTTGAACGCGAGTTCGGAACAATTGAGACTTACGAAAAGGCCGCCATCATCATCAATCGTAAAGTAAAAGGATTCTCAAGACAATGGCAATCATCTCTTGCTGAACAAGAAAAAGTCAATGAAGAGAAAGAAAAGGAAAGACAAGATATCTTGAAGGTATACCAAACAAATGAATGGATTGAATCTGCAAGATACTAATCTACTTTCTTATTAATCGCAGAGAAAGAAGGGTCTTCATCGTATGGAGCAAAAGAAAAAGCAAAAGGAACGAAAGGCCGCAAATCCACACGAATTTAAGAAGCCATTCAAGCCTAGTGATGATAGTTTCAAGAAGCCATTTAAGCCTAGTGATAATTTCAAGAAGCCATTTAAGCCTAGTGATGATAGCTTCAAGAAGCCTCATGAAACCCCCCGTACGAAAAAAGAAGATAAAAAACCCGTTGATTATAAAAAACCCGTTGCATTTGTAAAACCCGATCAAGAATCCTCTCAATCACAAATATCTTCTGAACCTGAAGAGGCTGAAGAGGCTGATAAGTCCCAAGAAACGACCGAGAGTGGGGATAACACACCAAATACGGTTCAAGATATCAATAATGCTCACACGGAGGAGGATAAGACACATGTGAAAGAAGGAGAGGAGGCGGAGGAGGAGGGCTTAGGATCCACACTTAAGCGTAAAGCATCAGCAACAGATTTCGAAGAGGAACAAGCAAAGAAGCATAAGGCTAATGATATCGAGGAAGCTCCCTCTTCATCAAAACCCAAAACTGCATTTAATCCACGACCAAGAGCAACGAGAGGCAATCGGGGTGGTCGAGGAAAGATTGTAGTTCCCTCTGCAAGAACACCTGCTAAATCTAACACACAACAAGTAGCTGAACCAGCCAAACCAGCTGTAGCAGACACTACTTCCAAAAGCAATGACGATTTCAGAAATATGCTTTTGGGCAAAAAATAAATAAGCACATTTTTATTGTTGTTCAGTAATTTCCCCTTTCACTTTCTTTCCATTTGTATCTCTTTCTTCTTCTGGCTGTCTTTCCTTAATGTAATCAGCACGATGTCTCCAACAAAACTCTTTATCCTTTTTTTCACCCTTTAAATACGTATATTGGATTAAATCGTAGAGGTATTTGTAATAAAACATGAGGTTATCAAATCTACCATCGTACACTTCTCCCTCCTTTAAATCATACGCTTGTGCATATTCCACATACAAATAATACACAGCTTCAATGGTCGAAAGATAATTCTCGCTAATTTGTTGATGTCTCCAAAAGTTGGTCTTTCTAGGCTCAATAGAGACTTTCTGCACTCTTTGTAATAAAGGTGTATTACGTACAATTTTGTTGGCTTGCTTCCATGTTCCGTCTATCACAATCATATGGTCAAATGAATCTCGAGGTATCTCACTTAATTTTTTAGCATCCTAGAATGGGGTTACTTTAGTATCGATGTCTCTTTTCGCAGGTGCCTTCTTTTTTTTTACTTACGGGACCAGGAAACAACATGAGGATTCGCTCAGGTTGGCTGTACTCTGGCATATCATTCCAATTATATACTTTGACATCTTCATGAGCCAACACTCTGGCATGAAGTGCTGTAGTTTTGCCGTCCGATTCTAATTCATGTTTGATGCTAAGGATCGATTAGATCTTAAAGAAGGGATTCCGCTATTCATCAAGTGTACTCACATGTCTAACCCTACTGGTAATTTTATAAACGGTACTTGAGATCGGTCCATACCCATTACGTTATAGCAATGATAGCAATAATGCTTCATGTGCTTTTTACATCCAGGACAAACCAATCTCGACGGGTTCTTATATAATACTGTGTCGTCTTGTATTTTTAAATGAGCCAAAGGCGATTTTTGACGGATTTCTACTAGATCTTCCTCGTTGATTATTTTTGACATTTTTGAAAGCTGTCTAAGAAAAAAAGAATAATTCGAGAAATGATTTTTTCTTTTTCTAAAATGAAATCTCAGTTTTAAGTAACCATGGCCTTTCTTTGGACATATTAAAAAGAAAAACCTCTCTTTTAATATATAGGGCTATTAACGAAAACAGTTATACAGAATGGACTTAATCTGATAGTCTTTATAATATAGTGGAGTTCCAGAATTTATATAAAATAGAACTCGATAGACTTTTGCAATAATTCGAAAAGAATCGATCCGACCAAGCCAAGAAGAGAAGTAATCCAGCTTCTTTATGATGAACCTAAAGTACTTGGTGTTGCCTTTATTGATTCGGTAGATTCTAAGGCGCTCATTGGTTTCTGTCCTGTGCTTCGTAAACAAATGATGTGATCGTCCCCGGTAAGAAATACTATAGATCACAACAAATTTTGATCAATTGAAAGCTGGTTTGGGAGAAGAAGTTATACACAGAGTGAAAGGCTTTTCGTAGAGCCTGCTCTTCCTATCAATCATATTGATTTTAACAATTTCTTATGGATAACGATCAGTGGAAATACATCAATGACTACTTTATCAAGAAGCTCAGATTGGACATATAACAGTTGTATGCTGTTAAAAGTACTGCTGTCATAAATCGAAATTCGTTAACGTTATTAAGTGATTTCACTGCTGTCAAAAGCTATATCGGACAAATGAGATCAAATATGCCAGCAATCACTGGACTTATGGAGGTGTTTGGCATTATAAAGCACATGCCCAAAACCATGAACGATTATAGAAAGAAAATCAGTAATACAGTTAGTATCAACTACTGTTCAAATGACTACTTTTGGATCATACGGTTTTAATTTCTTGAGTTATAATCATCCCTCAAAAAATGTGGGTATAGTCTCAGTTTAATTCACTATAGTGGGTTTGTATATCATTGATTTTGCACAAAACTGATATTATTTTCTTTCTCAAACAACTATTGGGTTGCAGCACTTGTATGTTTTCCCATCAAATTTATTTTTAACATTAACTCGCTATCAAGGGAAAAAAGCTTCGTGAATTCAGGCTGGGGTGTTATATTAATGCCGAAAAACTTGATCCCTCTATTGGTGAATGAGTTAAACGTAGCAATAATCCTGATTCGATCCATTACGAAGACAAGCTGTTGAAAGAGTCAAAAGATGCGCTGAATAGCACTATTCCAAATACATACGTATGCGATTTTATCATGACCTATTTCATCCAGATCGCCGGAACCCGTTGCACTTTATCAAAAATGAAGCTGCCACGACTTGTCTAGATATCACCACAGCTTTGACTTTCCATCGACAATAACTGATATATCTCATCTTTCCGAGACTTTACATCACTCAGATCATCCGCAACGGTGCACTTAAATTCCCACAATGTTTTTAAATTGGTCTATTTATTTGCACATATTAAATTAATCCCGCACTGCCGGCTCTGGTTACCAAAAATGTCCATTTGGGATGGCCAAGGCCGACCAACTGTCTTTAAAAGACTAAACGCCACCTCCAATGTGGTTACCTCGTCTCACTCAAGTGAGGAGAAAGTTTAAAGATTTTACAGGTAAACCTTAGAGTAACTTATCAAATTATCCTAAAACAAAGTGTGAAAACTGTATATAATCAACACCTACCAACAAGGATGGGTCTCCTATAGATGGGATTCTCGTCCTCATAAACCACTCTGGTCCACACACAATACACTTTGCTATCTTTCGTCTTCCCCCCTTATCAGGATAAAAGGACATTTTTTTTGGGGGACAGGTTAGATATATTTTGACATCGTGTTTTACTTGTCAAAAATAAAGTCTGTTATTGAATAGGTTCAGCTGCCTTCCCACACACATTGAAATAAGTATTGTATTGCATTATTTTGCAGACGATATCGCTATAATCCCCAACGGACTCCATTAATTGAACACAGTTTTATTGAATGCCTATCAAAATTTGATGATGTAATAAGTGAAGGAATGGGTATGTGTCTGTAACTGATGAGGTAACATCCATATTTGTAAAAAAAAGGCCATTAAATGTTTTTTTAGCAAAAAAGGGTTTAAAATCCGTTCATTTTATCAGTCAATGTTTACCGTTTTGGAATACGCAAATTTTGTGGATCACAGTTACATAAATAATTGCAATCTTAAAATGTCCCAAAATAAAAGCGAGGGGTACAGCACCAATGGGACCAACACGTCATATTGACCAATCATGCTCATTTTTTTAAAATAAAAACCATGAAGTGGTTATCCTTTCTAAGGGTTGAGAAAAATGATTACGTGAAAAAACGGTCGAGTCGTACCAGCTTATTATTTGGTAATCGGACTGTGGTAGTAATCGAGTGTGTAACGTGATAAAGTGTGTGTGTGTGGTGGAAGTCATCATGTTTTTGATATAAAAAAAAAGAAAATAAAAAATTGACTGATGATTATTTATAAAAATAAAAAGGTGTATGGATAGACCATGTAGGAATAAAACATGGCTTTTTTTTAGGGGATAAGAAAGAACCTATATTTTAACAATTATCAGCCGACGTACGGGCATCTTTGGTGTAATGAATTAGATAATAAATTACAATAAAAAAAAGTTATATGATTTCGTACTTCCCAAGATTCGAAAAAAATAAAACTCTCATCCATTGGGGGGACGTGTTTTAGCGTAAAGGGAGAGTTTACCTCCCTTCGCCACTCCCATTTATCTAGAACGTTGCTTTCGAGAGAAGAGACATCCATTGTGATAAAAGGTAAAGGAAAGAAGGGCAAGGAAAAAATCAAATGTGATACAAATAAATGTGTCTGTTCCAGACTTGACCATTTGTAAACACTTGGATATCAGTCCCTGAAGATAACTTATCGCTTCCAGGGTCATTTTCTCTCTCAGGGTTGATGTCGGTTTACCAAAAAAAAAAAAAAAACCTTATTTTTGTGTCACTGACATAACAATTCCTCCCCACACCATTTAATTTCCCACCCGTTCATAATTATTATAAATACCTGTTGTGAAAAAAAAAATATATATTTCAATTACCACTCATCTTCCTCTCTTTTACTTTACTATCTAACAGAAATGAAATTCTCCATTGCTGCTTCTGCTGCACTTTTATTTGCCATTGTAGATGCAAAGACACTCCTTTTCCCTATCCCTCAAACCGTTGCTTGGTCTGGTACCACCAACGAACTCTCAAGTCATTTTAAAATTACTGGCGCAAAGAATCCTCATGTCCAAGATGCCGCTAAGCGTTATACCAAGCTTATCTTTAAGGAAAGATGGACTCCTGTTCAAGTCACTCCCAAACAAACCTTAAAGACCGGTGGCAAGCTTTCCAGTCTCGAAATCAAGGTAGCTGACAACAATGTCAAGTTAGACGCTGGCGTCGATGAATCTTATGTCCTTGATGTCCCCTCCAAGGGTGGTAAAGCCTCTCTTACTGCCAAGACTTGGGTTGGTGCTCTTCGTGGTCTCGAAACCTTTTCTCAAATGGTCCAAACCAAAGACAACAAGAAGAAGGGCGATCTCGTTGCTCATGCCGCAAAGATCACGGATTCTCCTACCTACGGTCATCGTGGTATTCTTTTGGATACCTCTCGTAACTTCTATCCCGTCAAGGATATTCTTCGTGTATTGGACGCACAAGCTTTCAACAAGATGAATGTCTTGCATTGGCACGCTACCGATTCTCAATCTTGGCCCTTGTACTTCAAATCTCACCCTGAACTTTCCAAGAAGGGTGCTTATTCTGAAGAAGAAACCTATAGCCCCAAGGATGTCCAAACAGTCATCAAGTATGCTCAATCCCGTGGTATTCGTGTCATTTTGGAAATCGATATGCCTGCTCATACTGCCACCATTGGTGAGTCTCATCCTGATTATTTGATTTGTGCTGATGAATTCTGGGCCGCTTATTCTGCTGAACCCCCCGCTGGTCAACTGGATCCATTGAACAAGAAGGCCTTCAAGCTCGTCAAGGATATTGTCAAGGAAGCTACCGAAATTTTCCCCGATAGTTATTACCATACTGGTGGTGATGAAATTAACACCGCTTGTTGGGATTTGGATAAGGGTATTCAAAAGTATACTAAAGAGAATAACATGACTACAAAGGAGGTTTGGTTTGAGTGGACTACCGATTTGTTAAAGTATGTAACCGGACTCAAGAAGACTCCTATTATTTGGGAAGATCCTATTCGTGATGGTGGTAGTTATCCCAAGAACACCGTCGTTCAATCTTGGATTGATCCTCCTTCTACTTATACCAAGAAGGGTTATAATGTCATTGTTACCAACTTTGATTACTTTTATCTTGATTGTGGCCACGGTGGTAAGTTTCATCCTTAATGTTCTGCTATTGCCCTTTACTAAAATATCTCTTTCACAGGATGGGTCGGTAACGATGATAGATACATTTCTCCCAACCAGACCGAAACCCCTACTGATACCTTCAATTATGCCGGTGTTGGAGGATCTTGGTGTGCACCTTTCAAGACATGGCAACGTATTTACAGCTATGATTATACCCATGGTATTGACAAGACGCATAAAGGTAAAGTTTTGGGTGGTGAATTAGCCATGTGGGCTGAACAAACAGGTCCTACTGTCATTGATTCTCGTTTGTGGCCTCGTTCTGCTGCTGCTGCTGAAGGCTATTGGTCTGGTAGCTATGACAAGAAGGGTGAAAGACGTACTGTCGAAAAGGTCTCCGAGCGCTTTTATGACTGGGTTTATCGTTTGCAAGCCCGTGGTATTGATGCTGAACCTGTTCAACCCAAGTATTGCGCTACCCATCCTCACCGTTGTGATCTTTATGATCCCACCGCCAAGCTTTAAAAAAAAAACTTCCTTAATTCGACACTCAATCCTCTATTTCAACTCAAACACTCAAATACATCCCATAAAACCTACTAATTCCTATTTTTAATCAATAAAATCCAAGATACTTTAATTATTATATTTTTTCGGTTTTTTTTATTAAAAACTAAAATTGTGTGTTTGTAACGCAAATATATGATCTTTTGCCATCGTACATATACTTTTTATTTTTATATCTAAAAACAAAAAATAGCTAACAATTTAGTGATTCTTAAAAAAAGCAAAAGCCATTATAACTAACAGGAAAAGAAAAAGGGAAAATAATAGCATTTGAACAAGTCTTATATGTAAGATGATTAATGAAGAAAGTGTGAACCAGTTGTAGGCTGATAAACTAGAGCTTATGCCAAGATAATTTCGTTTGCTTATTTAATCATCTATAACGTTTGGGCCTTTACTTGAAATGGAAACATTTGCCGTTTGTCCGATAAAAGCGCTCGCAAGCACTAGTTTGAGAAGTAATGACAATCTTAGCAAGATTGTAAAACATGTCAATAGCTAATTATTCTCCCTATAATTTGATAGTGTCTGACATTGAGTATTACACAATAGTATACGTTTGCCAACCAGTCCCATCAACATCTTAAAAACAGTACCCTCTGGTTTTACCGCTATAATTATCCCCCACCGTAATCTCAGGAATTGCTAGCTCCCTTTCATCCGGTGTGACCATCTTGATTCTGGAAGACACTGCTATTGCTAAATCATTTGATTGAATTGATGATTGCATAATTAATTCAAGTCAAGAAATTGTTGTTATTGGGTTCACAAACAAATCTGGTAAACATAAATAGACAATTAAATCATCGTGACATAAGCCAGTTGTTTAACAGTTTTATAAATAAATCTCGTTCACACACTTTTCTTTCCTCCCTCTTTTCTTTTCACTACTAAACAAGCTTAATTCTCTTCTTTTCTCTTCTTTTCTTTTCTTTTCGTCTGGAAGTAAACGCTATTATGAAAAGGTACTTAGTTAATAATTATTTTGGTTTTTTAAGACTCTAAATTATTTCCTATGTTTTTTTATGAAGAAAAAAACATATTGCTATTTTCTGGCGACCTCCCAGCTTGGGTTCTCAGGTTTTGGTCGGGATGGCTGTAAGTCATATAAATTTTATGCAAAAAAAAAAAAAAAGATAAAGCAAGCTCAAAAGACAGTGGCTCACATAAAACCGTACATTAGCTATGGCAGGACCCATATGGTAGCTACAGGGGGGTGACTCCTGAAAAAGGCGTAGGTGTAGACGCTGCCAGGAAACATTCCTGAATGTAAGCAAAGCAATATTGACAGATACATAAATGAAATTAAACTAATATTATATCTTATTAAAAGAGCGTCTAAAGCGCTTAACCAAGGCCCCAATATTGGATTGGAGTTTTGTGTCATGTTGGACTCTTGCACTATGCGTATCCATTTCAAGCATGAAATCGGATACTCGCTTCTTTTTGCCATTTGGTATACCGTTCAAGTAATCTACTTGAACGAGTATCGGAAGCTTGTTGCTTCCGGTGATTACCCTTTCGGCAGAATCCCAGATGGGGCAACCAGACGAGATATTCTCAGAGGTTTCTGGACACACCTTTTCGAACAGTTTCGAGAATTCTTTATTTTGGATTTCAACATCGTAAATTGGAAGAATGTTTTGCAGCTCACTCTGGAAGTAAGTTTTTGGCTTCTCGTAAAATACAGACATGCTTATTTTTACTGATGTTACATAATTTTTATCTTTGCGCTTATAGAATGCTAATCCAGAGAGATCGCTGCAAAAGATCAATTCTTCCAACGATACGATTGATAACGTAAGTGTTCGTTTGTGATAAATATATTTAGGTTTAAACTCAAACACGTTTTGTTATTTAGGCTGAAACCCCACTTGAAACACTCAAGACTTCTATTCCGTTTGATATCAATACTATCACTTTAAAAGATGAAATCAAGACTTTGACAACAGAAGCTAGGACCAGGGAGGGAGATGACACCAAACGGTACTATCTTTATTATGGCATACTTGATTTTTTTACTAAAAAAGATGATAAAAAAACAAAGACATTACTGAAGACTAATTATGATAAATGGAGGGAAGACATCATTTCTAGCTGTACCGACACTATCCGCTACGCACCATCAAATATGTCTTTTTCTCCTAATAATGCTTACGACTATGCGAAGAATTCGGTAAAAAATCAAGCTGGAAGAATAAAATTAAAGAAAAGCGACAACAATTATAAATTGAAAAAGATAGTGGCGAAAGTACTCAAAATACAAAAGCAACAGTTCAAATATCCTTCTCAAATGAACGAATACACATTTGTACTTTGCTGCTTAACCAGTTGTTTCCCTCGTGTTTAATCTGAATAGAAAAAACTGGTATTACAAATGGGGCGAATCAAAATTGTCTGCTTCAAAAGAGGAAGATAACATGGCCAAAAATGATGACGAACCAAGAGCTGTAGGATCTTCAATTGACGGTATTATTACTATGAGGAAACCCGAAATCGAAACTCTATTGATTGAAGTGCCAGGGCCAATGTGGAAGGAAGAAAAATTATTTGCCATGATTTTGGTCCTTTTTTTTCGCTTAACACGCTGTTTTTAAATTGAATTTTTCATATAGTAAACTGTCGTCCCCGTACGTTCTTTCAAGTCAAAAATTTGAAGCTCTATGGAATCCAAATTTATCGTAACACGATGCATGTTTACTGTTTGTCTATGCCAATCCTGGGAGTATACTGTTTCGTAGAAATCTTCAAGTTTCCAATCCCCACTAGCCCAAGTACACTATCAAAAGACTTTCCCCAGTACATAAAATACCTGATTAAGACTTTGAAGATGGTTGCTTCTAGTGCAAAAAAGTTAAAGGAGTATATGGTAGAAAATGATTTGTATCAAAGGGACGACACGGATACTAGCCCTCTCTCCCCACCCTACGTATCACCAGAAAAAGGCACAAAGAGAAAAAGATCATCTCTCTCTTAATCTTCCTGCAGCTTTAGATAGTTATGTAGTACATTATTTTAATAAAAAGGATTGAAAAATAAAGCAATATAATATACATAAAGAGCTTTATGTTCACTTGAGGATGCATTAATAAATTGTAATCAGGTGAATTTTCGGTACTTTCAGCGTCGCACGTTTTTGATCTCACTTGATACATATGAAAGTGTGTTCACTAAACAGGAAGATGTAGTTATCTAATCAATCATCATTACTTATCTGTACATATTATTATACCCTTGGGGCAATGGTTACTTGGTAAGTCTATATACATACTGCTAGTGTCACTCTGTGATCTCTACAAGAGAATAACATTGAACATATTACTGTCACACTGATTTTCACCTTCTATTACTAGGCATTGTTTATTTACATTGTTATCGTCGTAGATTAATTCAGTAACTTGGAATTTAGCATAGATAAATAGCTTGTATTATCTTTTATTATGAATAAATATCTTAAAACGGTCTGAACGTATTTCTACAAACGACTTTTTAATTTTACTTATCTACCTTGAAACATAACAAAATATGAGCTTTTGATTAAACTTAACGTAGAAAATAAACATGGATAAAGTTCCTTACTTTTATAATCTTTATGACAATTATAGTGATATAAACAAGTTGATAAAAAATGGCCACTTTCAAAACAAAAGTCCTTGCTACAACAATGAGTTGTGATACAACAAAAACTTGTAATCCTCATAGAATACTTTTACAATATGAGCTTGATTGAAAAATCTTTTTCTTTTATAGTCAACCTGGGATCAATTCACAATTGTAGTGATCTCACTTCAGAACAGGTACCTATAAATTAACATTTATGCCTCCTCAATGAACTTTATTTTGCACTGTGCTTCAAATTCATACCATAGCAACCAAAAAACAAAAAAGTTTGCTATAGTACATAAAGCAATCATATTTTTCTTTTGCCTACAACTTGATTCAAGCAGGGCCAATTAACACCATTTAACTATGAAACCAAAACTTTTGCACAGTGTTAATCCTTCTGATGCTTGGAACCAGTTCTTGTTAAACCAAGAAATTACTAGGTGACACTCCCAATAATTGACAGCTCCACTTCGTTACCTGGGTTTTTAAGTCTGGTTTTTTATCAATCAACGCAATTATCATGCTAACACCGTAATCGATAAGATTCAAGACGCATGCAATATCCACAAACAACGACATCTGTTAATCCGTGGATGAGCTACCGTCCTAAATTTCTTAATTTATTCGACATTGTGGCAAGTTATTCGCTTATTCCCTGTGACTAAAGCCCAGATCGCCAAATTCATCGATTGGATTCCAATTCGTTATGTTTCCTTAACTCAAGTTGTCGACTCTTCTAACACCGATTACAAGGAGGACTCGGGATCTTTGACATTTAACAAAGGGTGTTTTAGTGGCACTGGTTACAACCCCTTTAAGAGGGGTATGACCCACGTTGCGTAACATATGATATCGTTTGGTTCTTACAAGGCTCCATTCAAGTCGTTCCTCCATTTAATTTTACCCAAGTCTTAGCTGCAACGTACGCCCGGATGTAATCGCAAACACAAAACTTGTATTTGTCACCTGCCCCCACAGATGGTCCGCATGGGCCTCTGTACTACTTAATTTCAACCCGCTCCAAGACATCTAAAAAGCTGAACAACGATCCATCATTGTCCAAATCATCTTCCAGCTCCAATTATAAACCCTAATCACCGCTATACCCCTTTGCAACAGTATACAACTGGTTTGATCAATAATATTTGTGTTCAGTCTCTTTCATAAACCAAATAAAGCATTGGCACAATCTTCTGCAAAAAAAAAATACTTATATTCACTCAGTATTCACAATTACATGCCAGTAGAACACACTTCTGTACATACACCCACGTTGTAAACTTACTTTCGAGTGTCTGATTTTTATGTTGAAAAAGCAAACAATGAGCTGTTATAGATCGCGGACTATAGCACTAGGCCAATTAATGCGTAAAAAAGAGGCACACAGATACAGGGCACTTACTCATTTCTCAAAAAAAAAAAAAATTAATGCTGCTCTTTATTACAACTTTCTCAAGTCAAATTCCCAATTTTTTAAATTTGTCTCAATACAATCAGAAGGGTTAATGGTCATCTTGAACCTCAGGCCCGTAATCTTGATTATTTTTAACGATACTATTTTATTTAATATAACTTATAATTTACTCTCCAACGTAACTCTCCAACGTGGCCCTTTTTCGTTGGAGTTTTGTGTGAAACGAAATCCTTATCTCCCTCGTGTGTACGCTTTACGCCAGTTATAATTCCCAAATCAGATTCCTTCATCTTCACTTCAGCAGCCTTTTGTGTCGTGACTTCAGGCGTAGCAACAGGAATTGGCGTGGTATTGGTATCAAATGTATGTATTGCATTATTCACATTAGAAATGATGGGACTGCTGGTTTGTGTGATGCTGGGTGAGTCAATCACTGGAGATGCTGATGCTTTAAGAGCCTTTAACACGTCAAGTTCCTTTTGTATGTGTATTTTCTTATTTAAAGTCATGGAAATTTGTGCCTTGAGTCTAGTAAGTTCAGTAGAGTTGGATTGCAAAGTGTTATGAGCGACTTTAATTTCTTCCAAAGTTGTGATCTTGGACTTCAACTCTGCTTGGATAAGACGAAGTGTTTCAACCTCTTCGTTACTGATATGAATATTGCTGTATTTTTTCTGTAATGAAATCAGTCTCATTGCTTTTTTTTTTTTTTTTCATGCATGTATACCTCCAAAGTCAAGAAATCATCTGTCATAGTTTTTGATGATTCCAATAACTTCTTCTTTTCTTCTTCAATATCTTCTTCCTTTAAAACAATTTGGTTATTGGCAGTCTATCGATACAATTATAGTTAGCAGTGCATCGAAATAGATATGACCCATTTTTTTTTTTTTTTTTTTTTTTTTTTTTTTTTTTTTTTTTTTTTTTTTTTTTTTTTTACCACAATAGCTGTTTCGGCGACCTTCAGTTTTTGTTCACAATCTTTAAGTTTGGTTCTGTGCTCTGCGAGGTTTGTTAGCACCTCGTCGTACTTTTTTTTCCATTCTATGGAGAGACGACCTCTCACGATAATTTCCGAATTTAGATTCGCTTGCTCCAAATCTATTTTCCTCTTGAGGGATTCTAATTCGGATATCCTTTTCTCAAACCTTATTACTCCTAACTTCCTTTCTACCTCAAAACTCTCACTCTCAGCAGAATCTACTACGTTACATTTGGAAGTACATTGTAGTGAACGACCAGTGTGTTCTTTTTGAGATTTATATAGAGTTTTAATTTTGCGTTGAGCAACATTATGTTGCTCCTTTAAGAGTTCGACTTCAGCTATTTTTTTTAAAAAAAGGGTTATAAGTTATATGTAAAGTTTTTTAAAGAGGATGTTAAATGACTTACAAAGTAAAGGTGCGATCTCTTCTTGTTTCTTTTGTAATTCGACCAAAGCTTGTTCTTGCTGTTGTTTTAAAGCTGTGTTTTCTTGGAAATAAGCCAAGTTTTGTGCTTGAAGTGTGTTGTATTGAACGATATATTGTTGAGTTGCAATATTAGCGTTGGCACTCGGATTTTTATACTGTTTACGAAGCTCTTTGAGCTTTTCGACACGAGCAGCTAAAGCTTCGCATTGCTTTTCGGAATCAAGTAAGCTCTCTTCCAGACTTTCTTCAAATTTAGCCCATTGAGCGGCTTCAGTTTGCTCAACACCTACAGCTGCGGTCTTGATTTCGAGGTCTTTTTCCAATTTTTCAATATAAATTTGACTATGAGTGACATAATCGGCATGTGTCTTAATGAGATCACCAATCCTTATTTCATCATTTTCAATGACTTTATGGTAAGTTTCTATATCATATTCCAAGACACAAATAAGATCCTCTGCACTAGCCAAATTGTGAATATGAGCATAACAATTTGTGCAGTCTCCAGCGGTAGGTGAATCAGGTGATAGTAAATTCTGAATATGCTCTTCAGCAGCAACTAACTTGGCTTGGTCATTAAATCTATCTTGATTTACCTTGGAGAGCTGTTGTACATTATCAGCAATCTTCTCCTTGAGCAAGCGAATCTCGATAACAGCCTCTTCGTACTTTTCTTGGAGGAGCTCTTGTTGACTGATCGATTTGTAAATATCTGGCAACTTTTTTGCTAAAGCTAATGCATCGCGTGTGTGTTGTAATTCACGGTTCAAGTGTTCCATAGTTTCTTTATTTTTCTGGGCATTCTCATTAGAAAACTTATTGTATGACTCCAAGCGCTTATTAAGGGCCTCCCATAAATGGGTGATATGAAGATTTTTAGCACATTCATTATTGAGAGCGTTCTTTATGGTGTCATATTCAGTAGCGGAAGATTCGAGCCGGCTTCGGAGGGAGATATTTTCCTTGTCGAGATGGTGAACCCTGCATTTGAGATCTCTCGCCATCTCTTTGGTGAGTTCGAATTCAGTCTCCTTGTTGGCAAAATATTTTTGCAATTCACTCGGTTGATCAATCAAATCCGATTGGACCCTTTTGAGGGTTTCAATCGAGATCTTTAAATAAGCTTGAATCTTTCCGACTTGGTCAAGCCCAGAATTTATACGATTATATCTAAATTTGGCTTTGGAATTTATTTTGGGAGGAGCTTTAAGGTTGGTACCTTTGCCTGAACCTGCCATGTACTTTTCATGATCTGCCTTTAATCGAATGAAGTCATCATAGATATTCTCTATATGTCGATTCAAACATTTATAGGCATGCATTAAATGAAGCAAGTGACTTACTGACTGTGTATTGTTTGAAGAGTTGGCGGCATCTGTTAATTTTTTGAGTTCCTCAGTACGAATCTCCTGTTCTTGTTTTAAGGTAGCTTCTAATTCGGTGATTCTTAATTGTAAATTATCTCTTTCGCCAGCGATTGAGTTAATGTTAGCTTCATAAGATAAAATCTGTTTTTGGGTATCTGTGATGTGTTTTTTGAGCAAGGCTGAAAGCTTTTGAAATGGCCTACTTATATCCTGCAAGCTTGATTTTGCGTCATCTCGTTCTTGGACAACTGTGGAGAGTTCGTTGGTGATGTTGAGCACTTGCTCTTCCAATTGACCCTTTTTGAATAAAACCTCTCGAGCAGAGTCGGAAGCCGTTTCTTTCTCTTTTTCCAAGATAACCAATTGTTCTTGTAATTCTTGACGTTCTTTAACCTTTATGATATAGGAAATAAAGGTTAATTTCATGTTTTAAGAAAATTATTTGTACATACCTTTTGAAGCTTATACTGCTCATACTCTTGCTGAATAGAATTCAGAGCGGTTTCCAGCTGGGAATTTAGGTTCGCGGCAACACTAAGTTTCTTATCCAAATTATACTCGCTGTCCTAATGTATTTTATAATAAAAAGGTGAGTATTTACTACATAACGCGTCGATATACTTACTTTAAGTCGAATAATCACGTCTCTCATTTCTTGGGCGTCGCATTCTTTAGAAGCCAGCTCTTGTTGTAAATTAGAGAGCTTGTCCTGAACTATTTTGAAAGCATCTAAATTTACATAAAAATTTTAGTTTGCGGAAGTACAATAATTATTATGCCTAAGAGAGTAACCAAGACGTACCTAAACTTTGGGTGTTAGTTTTGCGTAAAACATCCTCATTCGTTGTGAGAAGTTGCAGTTTCTCGTCCTTTTGCAAGTTTTCGAGTTCAACAACGGCCTTAATTGACTTGCAGAATTTTAATTCGGCTTTACATTTGTTTAATTCGGCTTTACATTTGTTCAATTCGGCTTTACAATTGGCTGCATCATATTCTTTATAAAAAGAATAAACGTAATAAAATAGGCGTCATAAACTAGAGCGGCTTATCTTGATAGATGAATACTTACGTAAAGACGAATTTTTTTCAGAGACTTCGTTAAAACTTGATTGCAATTCAACTATTTTTTTTTGCAATTCGTCCAATTCCGAGGCTATTTGTACACGATAAGTTGATACTTAAAATACAGTGCGCGCTACTGGTATTACTCAAGTACCTTCTTCTAAAACAACCGCGTTTTCACTTGTCGCGGACATTTTGTTTTTTTAAAAGAAAACAAGGTGAAATTTTTTAGTTTATATACAATTTCATTTTTCATATGGCTTAGTATGTTTTTTTGACGCCAAATAACATGAAAAGCTGTAATAGTGCGACCCGGATAGATGAGGATTATATGTCAGAAGATAAATATGATTGGATAAGAATATTTATCTTATATAATCACAATGAAATATAAAGTAGAAATAGAATAATGTTTTATTGATAGAATTATGATAGTTTATATAGTCAAGATAATTTAAGTTAATGGCTAAGTAATATAAGAATGATAGGTTTAGAATTGTTGAGGAGGCACCTTTAAAGAGGCACCTTCAAAGTGGCACCTTTTTGCATCTTGTCTTTCGGTCCTTAAACCTTAAGTATTACAAAAGCGTTTCAAGTGTTATGACTGTGTTTCTTTTACAGTAGGCTGTAAAAGATTGACCTGTAAGTAGCGTGTCTTAGTCAGATCTGTCAACAGATTTATAAAGATCTGCTTTAAAACTTCTCCATATCTTCTTTCCTACATTTTCGACATGTTCTCTCCGTCTTCTTCTCAGGTTTCGCTTTCGACTCGTAACTTGTCTCTTCCGACTTTGTTCGCTTTTTTTTTTTTTTTTTTTTTTTTTTTTTTTTTTTTTTTTTTTTTTTTTTTTTTTTTTTTTTTTTTTTTTGGTTTCTCGGGCGGTTTGAGATCCAAGTAAGAAGAGAAAGTAATTATTGAGATCAAGGGGGCCATGTTTGTTCTATAAATTGCTAAACTCAATCGCCTTGTCAATCTCCCAAACAGCTATGGTACTAATCACACGCGAACAAGCCATTTGCTTGTTCTACCATCAGCCATACAACAAGCAAAAAGCTGAAAGCGATGGAGAGCTCAGAGCATCCGCAGCGGTTCACTAAAAGTAGTCGCAACATTTAATAACAGATTAGATGTCGGAAAAACACGAAAAGTAATGTTTCTTTTTCACACCCAAACTGCCATTTCTAACCGTAGCCTCCCCCCCCCCTCCACTTCCAACAGCAATGGACTACGAAATTCATGGTGATGGTCATCATGAAAACGTCCAAGGTGACCAGAATATTGGAAACACCCAAGCAAGTCAGAATGATACGCGTCCCTTCCGGAGCACAAAGATTATTAAAAATGTTTTTTTTTTTTGACCAATTAAAAATTACTTTTAAGCTTTGTTTCATGCAAGATGTATCTTTTTTTTTTATCGCGTGTGTAACATGACTTCAGCTCATGATTTTTATATTGACAGTCAATGTTTTTTTGGTATGTACTTGTTGCAGGATACTGGTTACCCTTTTTTTTTTTTCTTTTCTTTACAAACAAGTTTTTATTCAAGACAGTAAATAGAAATGATGAAAAAAGACATCAAGGACAATGCGTTGCTAATGAGTTCAAACACGCTTTTGAGGCGCCTACTTTAACGTCATCCCAGTCTCAAGAGCAAAAGGCAGCATGCCCCTACTTGTCGTGCCCATGAAGTTTTTGAGAAAGAAACGAGGTACTGTCTTTGAAATACGTGAATCTAAAAGGTGAGCGATCGATTCACTTATTTCTGTTATATGTTTTTGAGCTGTCGTATGGACACCCCGTACTTTCTATTAGTGTTAGGTCAAATACTGGATTAAAAAAAAAAAAAGTGGTCAAAGTGGAGTGTGTATAATAAACCCTCCCATGTGGGATAACCCAATATGAATGCGTCCATGGGGAGGAACATAACTGGTTTTTATTATCATCTTTTTTTTTTTACTTTTTTTCTCTTTTTTTGCTCATCTTATTTTATATACGGAATGTCTACTTGGATGTGTATGGCGTATCATATTCAAAATATACTTTGTTGTTCCTGTATCACGAATTATGAATTAGAATCACTGGATGAAGAAACCTGAGATATCTGACCTTCCCCACCCTCTCTTAGAAATATATATATATATAAAAATTAAAAAAATAACCCCCCATCCCTAAATGTGAATCCAGCCTCTCAAAAAAAAAAAATATATATATTTTTATTACTTGTTCACAAATTGTCTCATACGATCCAATTCTTTATGAACATCTTTTCGACTCACAGTAGGTCTTCTTGTCGTTCCTGACGATGCTGCAGAAGAAGGTGTTGTGGTGGTAGAGACTTCTTCTCTTCCCATCGTGTTTAATAAAGAAGTTGTGGTAGGTGAAGATCCTCCACTGGATGCCTTTTTCGATAATAAAGATTGAAAGAAATTTGCCAACACTTCATGTGAAGGTCCCCCCGCTCCACCCGTAGGTACAGCACCACCATTATTTGTGGCATGAGGAGTCGTAGAGGGGAGACCATGATGCGTAGGTGTGGTTGGATTTAATTGCACATGGCTGGTATCAATCGGTGGTATCGCATTGGCATTGGTCATCATGTTACTCGTGTTACTGGAAGAACTGATAGAGATCTTGAGGTCATCCTAAATAGAAAAAAGTTGAATAACGCTTATACACACATCTACAATCATTTTTTTTTTTTTTTTTTTTTTTACCTTGCGACGGTCATCAGTGCGTCCAATATCAAGCACGGATTCGCCTATTGGGCCTACAACACTGGGTCGTGTAGATAATGCACCTGTTCCCTTTCTGCTTGGAATTTCAGAGACGTGTTGTAAAGTTTCGAAATGTCTATCCAAGAAGGCCTGTTCGTCCTCACATGTGACAGGAGGTGGGATATTGTTTAAAGGCTGTTTTAAAATAGATGGATCAGTTTTTTGACCTAATCACATAAAAAAAAAACGAATTCCTTATTAGAAAATAAAAAAAACTCACCTGGTCATCCGAGTTGGGGTTGTGAATGAGATCTTCATAGTTTCCTCGTGCACCATGCGACCCCGGTTGTTGTCGATCTGTGACAGCATCCATATCGGCATCCCAGCCTTGATGTACAGCGTCACAATCAAAGCCGTCTCTTAGGACGCGCAATTTTCCCCATGAATCCCAGCCGGAGGGGACCAGGACAGCGTCTCGTTCAACTACTTGTGCTTTCAATTTAAATGGGTAAGATTTACTGCTGGTGGTTAATAGTCGGTGGAGAATGTATTGACGTAAATTATGAAAGGTATAAGGTTGAAGCGTGGAAGTGTAGAACAGAGCGGCACCGACTGCATCACTAAGGTTGTGAGTCATCAAGATGGATTAGTTAGAGGGGGGGGAACTTACATTTCATGCACACACAACGTAAAGTTTGTTGGATAAAATCAAATTGTTCATCCTTGTAATCTAATGTCTGTTCCAGTGTATTTTGAGCATCACTCTATATTATAAAAAAAAAAAAAAAGGGTAATTAAGTCTTGTGCGACACTAGAAGAAGAAGACACGGGGGGAGAGATTTTTTTTTTTTTTTTGTAAGTTACCTTGCAACAGACAACAATGATGGATATGCCCAGATTATTTGTTAAACTACCCTGTGTCAATGGCAAGGTGACTTGATCTGCTGCTGTAGTTGTTGTGACGAGGGGAGCAGAGGAAGGGACGATGGGTGTACTGGGTGTGATGATGGAACCTGTGGATGTAGAAGCAGCCATAGAAAAGTTATGGACGACAGGTTCTGTATAGGTCTGAAGGTAATATTCTATTTTTTCTCTTAATTCATCGACCACGGCTTTACCTCTACTCCAAGAGGATTCACCTGCACTGCCTTCCTTGCAGATCTCATCCATACGGTGTTGTAATACATTAATCCATCGTTGTAAGGTCTCGAGGAACTCCCAGGGACGCGTCCAATCTAATACAATTACCACAGTAGAATCAGTTAAACTGTCTGTAGCAAGCGCGAATTTCAATAAGGGCATGTATTCGACAGAGGATAGTCCTAATTGATATACGCCCAACCTCGCCACCGCTGCTCAAAATTAAAAAAAGAAGGGTAGGGTGAGTAAATGTATATATATAAATGGAATGAGGTAAAGTGAAGAAGTCTTTGTTTACCCTCGTTCTCTTCATCTTGAACATCAATAAAACTATAGCCCAAAGCCAATGTATTGGTGGCATCATCATCGAGATTATCCAACGGTGTAGTATTGTTGTTGTAGTGACTATTGACACCAAAGTTGTTATTGGTGTTCTCTCCCTCTGGTTGCATTACTTGTGGTCCAGGATCGTTTTTTAAATAGTGAATCAAGGTGGATTTACCACTTCCAGGATCACCTGCAAGTCATGAAAAGAGTTCAATTATTAAAAAAAAAAAAAAACGGATGGACACCCATGATGAATATTATTTTTTTTTTTTTTTACCTAGAACAAGGAGTTTCTTGGTAGGCACCATTTTAGATGAAGCAACACCCGTCAAGATGGTAGACCAAATCTCTACATTCTCTATTGTTTGTGTTCCATTTGTAGTCATTGGTATGAATAAAAAGAAAGAGAGAGAGAAAAAAAAAAGGAAATTTAAATAAAGTGGGAGAGAGAGAGAGAGAGAGACTGGACAAAAAAAAAAAAATTCAACAATTCACAACACACACACATAAAAAAAAAATATTTTAATTATTATTCATTTGGGCCAATGAGGATAATTCAGGGCCAAATTATGGACAATTTCGTTTGAAAAATGAAATTTTGACATGATTTTTTTTTTAAAAGAGATATTTATTATGGAGATCTCCTTTTTAAGGAAAAAGGATGGACCGATGGGAGGGGTAGAGTTTCCCTACATACTAAATAAAAAAAAATAAAAAATAAAAAGAGAGAAAAAGAGAGAGAGAGAGAAAGAAAGAAAGAAAGAAAAAGACAGGTGATGGATGGATGGTTTAAAATTCTAAATAGAACCAACGGCTTTTGTTTATTCCAAAGGGGGAGGTGAAAGAAGAAAGTTCAGGTGATCAAGGAGTGGGATCTTCCTCCAAGAAAATACTAGTTTTTCCTTTGTGGGGATCTGCAATACCGGGTCTCTCTTTTCGTGTTTTTTTTTTATTATGAAATAGACTGAAAGAGAAGGGGGTGGTTCGGGTCTAAAAAAAGAAAAGAAAAAAAAAAGAGAGAGAGAAGGGACGTATCACTTTTTTTTTATTATTGCAGCATAAATGGTATTTGTTTTGAAAAAGGGGAACACACGAATAATAATAATAAATAGTATATACTCTCTCTTTTCCAGTAAGTTGTCTTTATAGACAACTTTCTTTATTTGTTTATATAATACAAGGGGGTAAAAGAACTATTTATATTTTCTTTTTGGGCGGTTATAATAAAGGAGTGGGGACTCGTCTCTTTTTTTTTTTTTTTTTTTTTTTGAGCGCCAAACAGACAATCTTTACAAAAAAAAAGAGAGAGAAGCAGAGAGAAGAGAGAGAGAGAGAAGCAGAAAGAGAGAGAGATAAATAGAAAGAGAGAGAGAAAAAAAGAGAGAGAGAGAGAGAGAGAGAGAGAGAGCGAGTAATGCAGGTTTATATATATATATATATATCTATATAAACACATAAAAGAAAATAGATGCTGAAAAAAAAAAATAAAAAAAAAAAGTAAACAATCAAAGTAAGATGAGGTTAGTATAAACTCCTTGTTTTAAACCAATCATCGTGACAGTTTTGAAACGATTAAAAGGTATTTTTAATTTTTCTTTTTCTTTGCGGTTTTTTCTTGTTTTATATATTTACCTTCTACACATTTTTCTATTATGGAAGGCCTCTATCAAAGCCCTCCTTACAGCTACTTACCCCAACAACAACAGCAACAACAACAACATACAGATCATTTGTACAGATCCAATTCATATACACACCACGCACATCACTCTATGAATCACTGGTCTCCTCCTCTTCCCGTATCTTCCCCTTCTACCGGTGCTGGTGGCAATCCTTCTCATAGTCATGCCTATCATTACTATACCAACACCAACCCCTCTCCCCCTTCTGCACGTCCAAAGATCACCACCAACATTTGGGAGGATGAGGGTACGCTTTGTTTTCAGGTGGATGCCAAAGGTGTTTGTGTAGCACGTCGACAAGGTATGTGTTGTTTGTTGTTGTTTTTTTTTTTATTATTTTTTTTAATCTGTATATATTTGCGCTTGTTAGATAATGATATGATTAATGGCACTAAACTATTAAATGTGGTTGGCATGTCACGAGGTAAACGTGATGGTATCCTCAAGAACGAAAAGGGCCGTGTCGTTGTCAAAGTGGGTGCTATGCATCTAAAGGGCGTGTGGTAAAATAATAATAGTCTAAACTAATAATAAAAAAATGATAACTAAATGTAAAAAAAATATCACTTGTTAGGATTCCATTTAGTAGGGCAACTGAACTAGCAGAGAAATTCAAGATATTGGATGTCCTGTACCCGTTGTTTGTTGAAGAACCCTCTGTTTACTTGTGTAATCCTATTGGTAATGGACAAAGTGTAAATGGTGAAGTGATACCTTCTGTCACGAACAAGTGTAACATGGTATCATCCCCTCTTCCCCCTTTTAATAACAACAACAGTCATCGCACACAACAAGAGGAATATTCCCCTTCAATTCCAAATTGGGATAGTAGACCTTCTTATTTAAATTCTCATTACGATCACCACCACCGTAAGTTTTTTTTTTTTTGTCTTGTTTGTTTGTTTATTCATACTCAACTTTCCTTTTTCTAGCCTTAAACCGAGTTCATCAGCATTCAACAGATGAAAGCGACATGTACTTGTTTAACGGACATACAAACCGAGGTAGTTTCAGCAGTGTATCTAGTCATCAGTCCTATCTCTACCCTGTACATCAACAACATAATGAAGAAGAGAGAGAATCTGTTACCACACCTACCTCGTATGTCGATCAGATATACCATCACACTCTTACTAATCGATCCTTTGATTCTAATAAATATACTTCATCACCCTATATCAAGTCATCACCTTATACCAATCATCACATCAACACTACTACTACTACTACTACTACTACTACAAACCCTCGTGTGGGCATCCTTCCTCCTCCTCCCCCTTCCACCGCCACCAGCAACACCACTACTGCTGCTACCTCTGGTGCTGCTGTTACCACCACCACTGCTGCTGTCACCTCTGGTGTGACTACGAGTGATGGACGAAGTGTGACTGGATCTACCACCCCATCGTCTTGGTTCTCACCCGAAACACCTACGGCTGTATTGTTTGGAAAGGAAGACATGGTGACAGGTTTAAAAAGGAGAAAGACTTCTACTTGCTCTCTTGATTCTCGTGTTACAAGAAGACTTAAAATTGAACAAGATTAATTTTATAAATATATCCCCCCCCCCCATTTCCCATATTGCATTTTGATTCATTACACACACACAAAAAAAAAAAAAATCCCTTCATTGATAATAAAAAAAAAAAAAAAAAAAAAAAGTAAATCCCCCCCAAAAGTCTGCATTAAAAAAAGTGGCAAAAAAAAAAAAAAAAGGTGCGGCATTTTTTTTTTTTTTTGTTTGTCATGAGAGAGTCCAGCCTCCCACCTTTTTTTTTTTTTTAATCGGGAGAAGATCAACTCCGCTTTAAATAATTGTTATTCACCTGTGCGTGTGGCGGTGACAAATCAATTAGACGCGAATGAAGAATACAACATCCTGACAAAAAAAAAAGAGATAAAAATTTGTTCTTTTTTTATGTGAGTTTATAAAATATCTCTACACACACACTCTCACACACACTCATTCACACACTCATTCACACACACACTTACACACACACGGCGCACGCATGTGGCGCATGGGGAGACTGAGGGGAATGGGGGGCGATATTTGGAAAATCAAAAAAAAAAGAGTTACACAAATAGTTCGTATCACATTTGCAAAATAAAAAGTGACTCCGAAAAAATTACTAGAAAGAGAGGAAAAAAAAGGTGTGAACCCCAGGGAGAAGCTTACAAATAGATGACGCACACGAGTTAGTTTTTTCTTTTTTTAAAGGGTATCAGCCACTGAAGGAGGACAGAAAAAAGAAAGATCGCAAGTGGTTCAAAAAAGACGAGCCACGAATGAGAAAGGGGGTGAAAGGAATAAGTAGTGCTTAGCCTTTTTTTTTTTTTTTTTTTTTTTTTTCTTTTTATATAAAATCCCGATGAATTGCCTTTTATGTCACATATAACTTTTTGTATTTTTATTTACTCTTTTTCTCTCTTTTTTTTCTCTTTTCTCTTTTTTTTTTTTTCTCTTATATTTCCCCTTTTTTTCCCTTTCTTTTTTCTTTAAAAATGATGACCATGACAAATGGACAGTCTACTTCACCTACATTATCTAGCTTATTAAACAAGGGCAATAAGGTGGATACAGGCATGAAAGAATATTTACCAACACCTGTTACACCTGCTTCTGATTTCTCTCAATTTCACAACATCAAAAAGATACCAGTGCCTATAGTACATTTTCGGTGATAAAACCGCCACCATCACCAACCACACCAACCACAACCCTATCACGATCCTCCAATAATAATGATGTTAAACCTTATCCATGTCCAGAATGTCATCAAACTTTCTCTCGTCCACATAACCTCAAATCTCATCTCACCACCCATTCCTCAGAACGTCCCTTCCAGGTATTTTATTATTGTGTCACATTTCTTCTTCTCTTACTTATTCCCTATTTTCCGTCTTTCTATTCTAGTGCGATGTCTGTAATCATCATTTTAGAAGGCATCATGATTTAAAGCGCCACCAAAAGTTACATACAGGGGAACGTCCCTATGTCTGCAAAGATTGTTATCGTTCATTCGCAAGACTGGATGCATTAAATCGTCATCGTCGTGCGGAGGGTGGCACAGCTTGCAGTGCCGTGCATCAACAAGTGAAACAAGAGTTACAAGTAAAATCAGCCACCACCACCACCACCACTACCACTACCAACACTACAACATCATCCAATTCCTCCACTTCCTCGCCACCCCCACAACAGTCATCCCAACAACAACAACAACAGCAACACATACAGCAGCAGCAGCAGCAGCCCATACAACAACAACAACAACAACAAAAGTCTCCACAGCAGGGGGGGAGACCAGTGATTCCCCAGCTCCACATCCCCCATCCTGCGTCACACTTGTACCCAAAAGAAAGCAACTTTCAAAACTCACCTATACCTCCACCTTCATCACAACTGGGACAATTATTGCCTTCACCGAGTGCCCTTTCCTCTTTACCCATTGCAACCAATAATAATCTGACACCCATTTATACACCTTCGTCACCACCGTCGTCGTCGTCGGCGGCGTCCTCATCGCAACCAACACAACAACAAAAGAAAAGTAAAAGTAGTAGTGGTACAACGGGTAAATCACCACTGTATCATCATCCATATCAACAATGGTCACCTTATTCACGTAATGAACGACCTACTTTACCACCTCTTTCTGCCTCACCGCCACCCCCCAATTATCACCATCATGCCAGCCCCAAAGGGGGTAACACCATGGACCGACTGATGCAAGAAAATGATGAATTAAAACGAGATATTAATCAGATCCGATCCATGGCACAAAAGGAAGCCGCTTCACTTAAATCACGTCTCCATGATCTTGAAGTCGAAGTAAGATAAAAAAAATTTATACGTATAAATAAATGGTGTAACTCATTTCTTTTTATTTATAGAATAAAGTATTAAGATCATTAATTCATAATCCAAAGAATAGTGAAACCAAAAGTTCATGCTCATTCGCTTAATAATAATAATAAAAAAAAATCTTACTTTTCCCCTAATAAAACCAAAAAATAAAAAAAAAATCGACTCATTTCTCTTTTAGATATAAACAGATTGTGGCAGTGTTTTTTTAGAGTTGTGGCGGAGCAAAAAAAAAAAAATTAATAAGAGATAAAAATAACTTTTTTTTTCTCTTGGCGTAATATATAAGCCTCTCTTTTTTTTTTATCACATCTCACCAAAAAAGGTAGGGGGGAGGGGGTGGGGGGGGGCGTTCCTTCTTCGCCACCCAAACACACGTCATCATTTTTACAGTTTAAAAAAAAGAAAGAAAGAAAAAAAAAAAAAAACTTTTTTTTTACCATTTTCCTGCATGCTAAAAAATGGACACATTGTACCCGTGAAGGAGGGGGGGGAGGGATAAATGCAATAAAAAAATTTTTTATTTTAAATTGCTGCTTTTTTTAGAGTGGAAATAAGATGAATATAGTCTTTTGCGCCTCTTTTTTTTATTTGTTCCCGCCTGTGCGTGCGCGTGTCGCGTGCGAGCCAAGATACCACTGGTGAGTGGGTTGGGGGGGGGGGGACTCAACTAAAATAGCTTTTTTTTTTTTTTTTTTTTATCTCGTTCTTTTCCCGGAGGCGCGGCGAATCGGTTATATATATTAAACATGGAAATGAGGCGTTACCATAAAAAAAAAAAAAAATTGAGGCGTTTTTTTTTTTATCATTTCCCCCCCAAAATAATGGAGCACACATTTTCATGTATAATTTGAAGTACCGACCATGAGTGGCAAAAAAAAAAAAAACTTTTTTTTTATGAGGGTAGATGGGAGGTTCTTTTTTATATGTACAACTTTTTTTTTTAATAATGTGTGTGTGTGTGTTTTTAAAGGAGTGGGAAATAAGGTAGTAAAAGAAATGATTTTTATGACATGCTTTCAACGTAGGCAAGGGTCTTTTCCTTGACTCTTTGAACATCATCTTCTGTACCATTGGCCTTTTCAAACTGAATCCATTTCTTAAACAAAAACTTCATCTTTTTACTACTGAATTTCATGGAGGCAACACGTTCAAATAGACGTCTTGTCTTTTCAACATCGCCTGCAATCATTTCCATATCCAGGTACACGTTCCACAAATCCAAACGTTTAGGGGAATTGCTCATGATGCCTTCCAAAATCGTACGACCTAATTCTGCTTCGCCGTGCTTGAACTCTAATTGTGCAAACTTCACGGCAATGGTCACATGTTCATGCTTGGGCAACACCTTCAAACTCTTCTGGAGCAACTCACGGGATTTATCCGCTTGACCGTGTTCTAAATAATACAATCCAAATCCTGTCCAGACTTGAGGGGAGGATCCAAACTTCTTGATCATCTCTTCCCAAAGCGCTTCTGCCTTATCCAATTTATCACTGCGTTCATAAATCTTCACAAGTTGAAGGTATACCTTGAGTGGATCACAGTACACTAAAGCACGTTTAAACACTTCTTCAAGTGTTTCATCCGTACCAAAATTATTCTCCAAATTCAAAAGAGCTACCCAGACATTCATCTTTTCTTGTTCTTCACGGAAACTAATGGTCTTTAATGCACGTTCACCAATATCACGCGCTTTACCAATCTCGGATAATTGAAGTTGATAAGCCATATAATTAATCCACAAGTAAGAACTGTTGGGTGATCCAACAAGGACACGCTCAAAATCAGCGGCAGTTTGAGGTGTAGTCGTGTTTAATTCACCTGTCTTATCCTCAACTTCCTTCTTCTTTTTCTTGTCCTTGGATTTATCTTCCTCATCGTCTTCCTCTTCATCAGATTCTTCTTCATCACTGGAATCCACACGGGTATTAATACCAGTCCAATCAAAGTTATCAATAGCTAAAGAGGGAGCTGGAGTCTCATCCTCCTCCTCCTCCTCTTCTTCTTCATCCTCCTCCTCTTCTACTTCTTCCTCATCATCGTCACCAGAAGCTTCTTCCATCTCTTCATCAGAATCATCGACTTCGGGCATCTCCTCATCTTCACTCTCAGATTCAACCATAGCACCTGCTCCTTCCACTTGAGACTTCTTCTTTTCGGTTGCAGTACCTTCTACCACACTCTTCTTGAGAGAAGCTTCCAAACGATGCAAAGTATGATCGATATAGATAATTTTAGCTTGAACCAATTGTCCCTCCTTGTAGATACCCTTCCATTCCTTTACAAATGCATCACACAAGTTGGCAATCTTGACACGAGCAGAGATAGCATGACTTAACTTGACAAATACACCGTTGGGTGCAATGTTAGCGATATAACCGCTGTACACTTGACCACGCTTGATATCCCCAAATGATTTGATCTCGTTGGACTCGATACCGGGGAAAATACGAGAGGGACGCAAAGATACATCCACTTGAGACTTTTCAGCATGAACACCAATGATGGCAATACGTACCACTTGACCTTCCTCAAGATCGGCAGTAGGGTCTTCCGTGTAGGTATCAAGGATATCGGTCAAATAGGCTTTACCGACAATATTACTTGTGATATTGACAAGCACACCATTGACTTTATTGATACGCTTGATCACACCGTTCATGACTTGTCCAACTTGGAGAGAAGAGATATCGGTGATGATGGGAGTAGCAGCGTCTTCCTTGTGCATGAATTCCACTGTCTTCTTATTGGCATCCACAGCGAGGACGACAACACGAATGGCTTGACCAGGAACGAAATGCTTGGAGAGGTCGTTACAGATGGTAGGATCCGAAGAAGCCAATTGCTTTTGCATGGTACCTAAAGTATGAGTACCGATGCTGACACGAGCATAGGCGGGATGGATATCGGTGATGAAACCAATGAACTCTTCACCGGCCTTGATGTTACGGATCTCACGTGCACTGTCATCAGCAGAAGCGTCTAAACGAAGAGAACAGTCCACATGTTGCTTGGATTTACCAGTGATGGGTAAATAGGTACTACTCTTCACGTTACGAACACCCATGATCTTGACCTCGATCTCTTGCTTGGATCGGAATTGAGAGAGAGGGTTCTTGAGGTTTTGGATATCGCTAAAATTTTCATACACTTCAGAGACATGGACACGACCTTCGACATCGTTAGGTAAAGTCACGACGAGATGAGCCTTCTTGACAGACTTGATCACGGCCTTGACAATGTTACCAGGAGCAATCACATCATGTTTGGCATCCTTCTTGGCTTGATCAGCGGCCTTCTTTTCAGCCTTCTTCTTGGTATTGATGAAAGAGACCAACATTTTGTTTTCATCGGCATTGACATTTAAAACTGTGGTCTTGACAGTTTGTCCCACATGGAAGACTTCACCGAGGTTAGCAATACGAGTTTCGGTCATTTCGTTACCGGGGGCAAAAGCAGAGACACCGTTATAATAAGAAACGATACAACCATTGTTCTTGATGGCAATGATCACACCATGACTCACATCCCCTTCCTTGATCTCACGAATGTCCTTAAAGATGGGGTATTCACTGTTCAAGAGTGATTTCTTGAGTGTCAAGTAAACCTTTTGTTTCAACAAGTCTGTCTTGAACACACGACATTGGATCTTCTTACCGGGCTTGAATTTGAATTCGGGACGAGTTAAAGTGACATCGGCCATATGGACGGTGGGGACAAGACCTGAGATAGACTTGGAGACCTTGACGATAATACCAGCAGGGATAAGACGTTCGACTTCACACTCGACCATGGAACCAATCTCGATATCGGCCACGCGCAAGAACTTTTCAGCCAAGACAGAAGGTTGTAATGTCAAGATGAGGACGGCATCCACGGGATTGTAGGTGATGACACGAGCACGATGTGTGCTGCCAATCTTGTATTTACCAGCCGTACCACTGATATTGGTGATGGGTTCATCCGCAAGACGAGAGATATGGACATAACCACAAATACCATCCACACCATCCAAAGTAGCCCAGACACCGGTATTGTTGACACGTACCACCTTGATCTTTTCCACAAAGGAACCAGCAGGGAAGAGTTCAGTCACGGGTTTTTCCTTGGCCACACTGGGGACATCGAGTGAGAGCAAATGAGGTAAAAGTGTACCACCAATTCTCTTTTCATCCGTGTTCAACATGGTGAATAATAAACGTAAAGTGAGACTTTGTCCGAGCTTGAAATCCTTTTCGATATTCATGTTGGCAGGGATATGTGATCCGTCAATGGTGACGGGGTAAAGACCTTGGATCTTGACGGATAATCCATTGTATTGAACCGCTTCCACAAGACCGTGCACAAGTTGACCGGGAAGTAAAGAGGTGAGACGAGAGAAAGGATCTTCGACCACGGCACGACCGACTTTCTTACGATCGATGGTGACATTAGCTGTACGACCGTTGAGTTTGGTCACGGCAGTTTCAACATATTGTCCAACGGTGAGTTCTTTCTTGTGATGGTAGGTCTCGATATAGCTGGTAGATTCTTTTAATGGTAAAAAGCCGGTTAAATCCTTTACACCTAAATCCATAATATAACCGTGATCTTCCACACTCTTCACAACAGCTCCCAATGTCTATATATATAAAAGGGGGGATATGAGTATTTTCGCTTGCCTATCAAAACATCCCTTTCACTCTCTCTTTCTTTTCTATACGTACCACACCAGGGGTGACATCCACCTTTTCGATATCCTCATTGACAAAACTAGGCTTCAAACTTAATTCGATTACCTTCTTTTGCTTACTTTCTTCACCAGTTTGGAGAGAAGCGACTTTACAACGCACCCATTGACCGACGTAGAATAATTCGGCCAAGTTGGGTAAACTAGTACCAGTGCCTTCTTCCATATCCTCATCCTCGTCTTCATGAGCCACCTTTTCTACAATGGCGGTTAAAGCGTCCGAGATTTCTGTAATGGGAACAACACCGACTAATTGATGAGGTAATGAAACAAATAAGTCGAGTTCATTGATGCGAGAAATACAACCCATGAAGGCGGTTCCTACTGTCAATTTCTACAAAAAAAAAAGAAAATGGGGGTAAGTTATGCATTTATCTCGATGGAATAATAATTGCCATTGTTTACCTTGAAGTTGAGTTGCTCAATGTAGACATTGTCAGACTTGGGCTTGACTTCGGCCTTTACGACTGTCTTTGTCTTTCTGGAAGGCTTTCTCTTCTTCTTGACAGGTTCTTCACCATCGGCACTCACTTCAACACTAGCAGAAGCAGCTTCTTTGTTCTACAACCCGAAAAAAGTAAATGTCAGTTTTGACATTTTTTTTTTTTTTTTTAGATCCTTACAGTGATGAAGAGATCGTTTGCGACTTTGTTAGAGATCTCACGATGTTCAAGAGGGGTCAAGGTACTAGCACCACCACGAGGAAAATTCTCTTCGGTGGGAGCAGCAATGGAGACTGCCGAGGCAGTATTCTCAGTCTTTCTTTTTCCCATATTTTTCTTTTTTTTTTTTGGTGTAAAAGGGGGGTGTAGTAAAAAAAAAAAAGGTTAGGGAGGACTTCTAATTGACATGTTTTATTGAGCTTTTTTTTTTTTTTTTTTTTTTGGAGTGGGATAGGATTGCCAGTCACGGGGGCTTCGGGTATTTTATGCTTTCCAGCTTTCATAAAATTTGGAAAACGGGGCGGGGGTGATAAATAAACAATTCTCATGATATCAGGTACATAAAAAATATAAGAAATACTTAATAAAAATGTAACAAAATAAAATCGGTAAGGTTACCCCCAATTCAACCTTGACCGATTTTTTTTTTACAGTTGCATCTCTACTGATATAGTTTATAAATCTTCTGACAAGTATATTTATACGTAAATATTACAGTACCATCAGAGCCACAACACCCAAAACAGAACTCCTGTCAAAAGCAGCCATCAAAAATAAGCTGAAGTTATAAAAGTCGTTTGATTTGGAAAAAAAAACAAAGCTCGTGCTGATCGATGTGAGAGCATCTAACTGATTACGCTTCCGCTCATAATACAGTAGTAAAAATTCAAAAAAAAAAAAAAAAAAAAAAACTGAATCAATCTCATTAACAGTCTGTGTAAAAATAAGAGCAATAAAATGTTTTAAAGAGATCAACAAGTGACTCCTGGGTAAGCGACCATTTGATTAAATGACATCTTCCACTCTAGACGGGGGCCATGGTAACGACCCTCATGACTTTCACGCAAAATTTCTACTGTCTTATACGACTTGCGTATGAAGGTATTCCAGTGCGTTTATAGAATACAAATTGGTAACATAATACAGTGAAGAATCCACATGAATGTGTCAAGATATTTTAAACTTTACTTCTTTTTTTCATGCGTCTAGGACGGTCTTTTAAAATTCGTAATGTGTTACACACACTTCTCCATAATCTTCTCAGGGTGCTCATCAATGTTAACAATTATTTCTGGACTCCAAGGAAAACGAAATACAATAAAACAGAAAGATGATAAGCAATTGTGATTATTAAGGCTTCTTTTTACGCGAGACTGTTTTAAAAGTTTATATTTCTGTTTTATAATATAAAAATATAAACGTCATTTTTCTACGCTGAGACTTTATAAAACTCCCTGATATATATATTGCGCGGCTACTTCAATCCTATATGTCTATAAAAATTTTAGACCTTTTACAAGCAATAGTTGAAAGTTGTGATAGAGGATAAAATAAAACAAATGATCTGTATTTTACAGAAAATACATCATTAAAAAGATGTGTAATAAATACGATCGTGGTCTGTGTGTGCCTCCTTTTAGAAAAAAAAAAGGGGGGACCCCCCGGAACGCCGCCGTTAACAAATTACCATCGAACAAACACAACGTTATTTACTAGTTCTTAAAGGTTGTATGTAAACAAACAATCTAGAAATTGATGGTACCTTTTTTTTTTTTTTACTCATCGCTTATTAAACAAATCTACTCCACCAAAAGAGAGTACCTGAATATCTTTTTTCTATTTGGAAATAATTGGACACGATCAAATCATACGATTTTTTCTGTAATGAGTTTCTAGAATAATGTATACAGGTGGTCCCTGGTAAAATGCAATTTCTGTATTTGTTACGCAAAAACAGCTACGCCTCCCCCGAACTGTGATTTAGCTTTGTATAACCCTAAAATAAAAAATCGGGGTAGGGGGGAGCAAGAGTTAATTTGAAGTTCCTGTGGGATAATTTGATTTCATGCAAACATCAGTACATGATAAAATAAAATAATCAGCCAATCATAATTTAGTCTCCCAAAATACGATTTATTGAAAATACGGTATAGGCTTTAGGATAGAAATGTGCCGCAAAAAAAAAACAAGAAAAAAAGGGTTAAACATTATTGCCCTCATCAGCATTAAGCTCACCTGTGCAAGCACTCGACATTACCAAGAAATCTTTAGACTAGCTGACATGTAATAAACGTAGTGTGGATAAAATGCAATTGTTGGTTTTCAAATTTTTTGTTTGGGTTCTTTGGCGATTTGTCTTAGGTGTAGAACAAAGCTTTACAGATCTCAATTGCATTGTCTTTTTTTCAGTTTTAAATAAAATCAAGAACCAATAAATTGCATTCGAAGTTTTACAAGAACTGAGTCCCCAATTGTTTTTTTTTTTTTTTTTTTTTTTTTTTCACACTTTTTGAAAGAGAAGAATTTTGAAAGGGTTTTTATTCTAAAAGATAAAATTAAAACTTAATTTATGACACTGTTTTTCGTGTTTTTAAAACTTCATTCGTAAAATAAAAAATTGTCATTGTCAGTCAGCGTTTCAGTAGTAACATGTACCAAATATTACAGTATAAAAAAAATTCTCAAAAGAAATCTATCGGTCCCAAAAAAATTATGATGTTCTCAAAGTTTATTATTGAAAGTCGGTTCCGCTAATTTATGTCAGTAACGTATTCTGATAAAGCTTTTTGTGTCATATTCTCTACTTAGGCATTGGTAATCTACTTGTATACTCTGGTAACTTACTGACTTCAATTTATAAACAGAATTATAATAACTTTTGTCAATATACACTAAGATCAAATAAGCCATCATGAAAGAAAAATATTTTTGAATTTATCTTTATTTAAACACGCAATAAGTGTTACCATTGTCATGTCGGGTTAACAGTACGTGTAATGTGTTAAGGCTAAGAATCTCGAGATGTAAAAGCTCTAATAACTGACTGAAGCTCAAAAAGAGGGAAATTTTAAAAGATTTTGTTTTGACAGCATGCTGTCAAATCCCAAAATGGCGCAAAATAAACTATGAATATCGGAGGCTCATTCCGACAGTGTAAAAATACAAGATGCACAACCGCACCGAAACATTTTGAATATTACTGTAGTAAAGGGAAAAGAAAGCTTCCCCGTAATAAATTTGATTCGAAGATCGATGCCAAATTAGATTTGTTCACATTCCCTTATCCATTTGGCTGCATCGAATATTCGGATTAATTTTTAGCGGAGTCATTGTAACACACATTTATGTGCGACAGCAAGGAGTAACTTATGACTAGATGATAGGGATAGGCTTTTTAATATCGTTTTTCCACCTCTCCCCATTTTTTTTTTCTTGAAAGCATGACCAGTTTGAATCGCATAGAATACATCGTCGGAATAGGTTGGTGGTAATATCTCAATTACACAGACAAATCTTTTACAGTATTTTGTACAACAGATTTAGGACATTCTAATTCAGGAGTCTCGATAACTCATGTGAACGACCCATTAAATATTATTACCGTTTCATCCTGGTAGCTTACGTTTTAAATTTGTTACGTTTATATAAATTATTAAAAGCTTATCTTAGGAACGATTGCAAGGGAGGCATAAAAGAATTCTATTCATCAATTCTGTACCTAAAGGATGAGAACTATACCCCATTATGCGGTATTAAAGTTGAAGATGTCGGTGATAAAGGTGTTTACATAGCCAACATTAGTAATTATCTTGTTGACATCGATGCTTCAAATGAAAAACTTGATCAACTGATGGATGGTTTAACCGTCAGAAAAGTTGTTACTGATTATTTGAAATATTTTGTTCAACTTGCTCTCAAAAGGTTACAGGTTCATAAAAACGTTGTCGAAAATGTGCACTTCCAAGAATTTGTTAACGAAGAGTTTATTGATGAAGATATTAAAACTATTGGTTATTGCCTCGTTTGTCCAACCGATCGACAAAAATTCATGAAAGATTGCTTTATCGAGGCAGGAATTATCGAGGCGTCTGAAACTGAGCACCGACTTTCATTTGTTATCGAAGCTGTCGCTCTAGGTCTTGTATACATTAACGATAGTCGAAAATTAGGCGAAATTTTAAAAATCCAAGATTTTTATTTTGTTGATGTAGGTGAAATCTCTTTTGGAATAGCAAAAATTCATTCGTCTTTCAATAAATCCTTCGTTACTGCTACGGCAGTTTTTGATGATATCACACAAGGCACAATAAATCTAGGGATGAAGTACAATGATTGGTTGATAAAACGTACGACAGGTCGGAATTCGGTTACTTGTAAAAAAGAAAAGTTTTCAGAAAACATCAAGGTAATTTTTGGCATCCACGATTTGAATATCAAATCATTAACCTGATAAATTTCTCCGTTACTGTTATGCATCTACCATGAATGGTCCACAATCGTCTGCCATCTAGCCCCTAGATAACAATGCTGATTTTAGTAATTTTACTGACGATGACCTTAAGAGAATTGTATACGGGCCAATCGTCGAAAGCATGACCAAAGTCAGATTAAGCGCAGATAAAGCTAATATACACTTCAGGTTATTTCTCCATGGAAGTTGCGATGTTAGCAGATACATTTTTAACGAAATTTTGACCAGTGATGAGGAGATTTGGGAGTATTGCTCTACTTTTACCAAAAGTGAACTTTTTAAAATTTCTTTGGGAGCTGTCTATTCAATAGTAAATACCTACAAATCTCAAACGCCCTTCTTTCTTTATGATGAACACCGACCCTTATTCCCTGATAGCAGACTGTCCTCACCAGAAACAGTGTCGGAGGAATCCATTGATGATAACGGTGAGAATGGTGCTTATGACTTTATTATTGGAATTGGTTCGTGAAGGCTAAAACATTCCTAGGCATAATCTAGTTTTTTTAATATCTTGCTTTTAGATTTTGGTACCACTTTTTCTGGGTGCTCTTATGTTCAACTAAAGGATAAGAGTGGAATACCTGTGGATACCAGAGAAATCAAGACCATAAAAACGGGGTGGTAATGTTAATTGCAAGAATTTCGAAACTCGAACAAAATTTTAATGGATGATTGTAGGCCAGGAGGCAATCTAAATAAGTTCGGAAAGACCCCAACCATATTAACGTACGATGGAGACATGAATCTAAAATATTGGGGTGAAAAAGCAAGACTGGAATCCAAACGTCGTAAAGACCTCGACCTTCTAGGAAATTTCAAATTGTTTCTATGTCCAAAATCTTCGGAGAATTTTTATGATCGCACTGATAATCTGGAAGAATTGAAAGGACAAGGAGGTTTTGTTGATAACAGAACCCCAAAAAACGTATTGGATGTAATCAAAATTATAGCTGACTATCTCAATCTTTTCATAAATCATGTTATTGAGTATATCGTTAGTAAAGAAATGGAGGGAAAATTTAATTTTTTTACCAGGGCAGGGCTTTTGAAAAAATACAAGATTAAATACGTGATGACTGTACCTGCTATGTGGAATTCGGAAGCCCGCGATAGCATGGCATGCACTGCAATGGCTGCTGGGCTAGTTAAAAAAAAAGATCTCGACCAGCTTCTTATAATCAGTGAACCCGAGGCAGCAGCATTGTTCTGTATGAAGAGAATGACCGAATATTTTAAAAAAGAGGATGAAGAATTGAACGATACAAACTTTATTGTATGTGATGCTGGTGGAGGGACTGCAGAGCTGGTTACATTTAATTTACAGCTAAACAAAGAAGAAGGCGATACATCTTCCACAGAACCAACCATTCGTCAAATCGGTGACTATATTGGTGATATCTGCGGTTCAACTTGTCTGGACGTGAGATTTAAAAATTATCTCCATGAATTTTATAAGAGCTTTGGAGTAGATATAGACGAAGAAAATGTCCCTCTTGACGATGTTATACAGGAGTTTGTGAAGAATTACAAGGTAACAGATATTTCATTATGCGGATATAGTTCTTCTTAACTAATTTTTAAATATTGTAGCTTGACTTTATGCCTAGTTCGCAAGGCGACTCTTATTACGACATTAATTTGCCCGAAAAGGGGATTGTAGATTTTACCGAAAATTCTACCTACAAATTGGCTAATGGGAATAGGACGCTGAAAATGAAGAACCAAGATATGAAAGAGAAAATATTTGACCCTGTAGTTGATCGTATTCTTTACCTTATCGATGACCAGTTAAACCAAGCAAAAAAATTAGACAAAAGAATTGACGCAATTTTGATGATCGGTGGATTTTCTCAATCCCCATACCTGCAACAACGCATCAAAGACCGGTATAAAAATGTGTGTCATGTTGGCTTTCCTACCGAAAGTGTTGAAGCTATTTCTCACGGTGCAGTATCTTACGCCTTAAATCCCTATACAATATTAGGAAAAACTGCTACACAATCTTTTGGATTAGAGGTACAGGCACCATTTGATAAAATCTTGGCGGTATCAAGTAAGAGGAGAGTGAAAGGTCCCAATGGAGATTGGAATTTTGAAAAAGACCGTATAGAGTATTTTGTAAAAAGAGGTCAATTATTAAAAGGCGAGCAACAGACAGTTTATCAAAAAGATGTATATGTTCTATACCCCAACGCTGCAGTAATATGTACTTATATTCATTGTAAGTAAACCTTCACAACTGGCTAATTTATATGTAAGCAATATTCTCTTGCGACTCTATAGAAAATGCTAACAGTAGGCACCTTACCAAGAGTCATGCAAAAATAGGGGAGGCCAAAATTATCATGCCGCATATAGTTGGTATGGACGGAAAATTAATTCAGTTCACGGTTAGTCTTCAAATGAAGCATATTGGAGTCAGTGTTACTATTGAATGTCAAGATCAACTAATCAATGCAGAAGTTCGAAAAATCAGCAAAAATCAAATGTCCTCTCTTGTATTTAAACCCATGTGTAACCTTTATGTGGCAAGACCCAGATTTCAATGAGACTCATATTCTTTAGAAAAAACTGGCTATCTATTTAATATTAGAAAGACCTTATAAGCAATAAAAGCAATGAGGATTAAATTGGTTTGTCCTTTAACAACCCAACAAATCTAATATTATACGCATAAGACATTTTCGATATATTACTTAAATTAAACGAGGCATGTAGACCTTTACAATGACACATTGGATATACATCGGCCTAGCCTTTACATTATATTAATAAGTGGTAGGTAGATTTTGTAAGAAGCATGTGTTAATTAGTTAATACAATTGAACCACAAGTGTTTCTGTTAGTGCTAACTTTAAGAAACACATGTTGCGGGTTTCTTCCGCATGTTGCGTACTTATACCACTTCTGGTAGCTACTAAATTCCATTTGATGCGTCTTTTTACCACAATCTAGCGTCCTTTCACTCAAAACGTAGTACGTACGTTATTACATCACTTTTAACTACATTCTTATTGATGCTGATGGACCTTTTTACTGTTGTGCAATCAAGAGATGCATTATATAATAAAAAAGCAGGGCTTAAATGAAAACGTTTTTTATTTTATTCAATTTTTATTTTGCATTTTAATTTATTTATTTTAATGTATGTACATATCATCTCCAAATTGAAAAGGTACACTTACCTCCGTAATACTTCTTGCACTTACTATTAACGGGCCCAGTTAACACCATACTAGCCAAACAGCCGCCTATGTATACAGGTAACATTCGAGAGTCCCGCGAGATGCAGCAGTATATACATAGACCAAATCATTTTATCAGCCTAAAGAAAAAATAGAAAAATTTTACAGCCTAAAGAAAAAAATATAGCCTAATATAGAAATTTTCTTAGCCTCAAGTCCAAAGACGGCTCGACATCTATACAACTCTTTAGAAAAAAACGTATTGGAAATTCAAATGATAATTACCTTCAGCATATGACAAATGTGTACACACAAATTCTTGGTACTTCAAAGTGTAATAATAATTTGTATTTCATATGTCATATTAACCTAGTTTGTATAATTGAACGGTATCTATTACTTAAATAACAGCACTTACTACACGAAGCAAAACTCCAGGCTGCCTTAAAAAAAGCTATAAGAGAAAGAAAGGGGAAAAACTAAGTGAACAAATTTATCAATCTATGCAAATTATTTAAAGTGCGAATTACGCTAAAACATCTTCTACAGTGGCTGATTGTAACACTTTTTTGTAGAAGCACATCATCTATTTTTCTACAGATTTGCTCCTTACTGGTCAAAGAAGAGTTATATTCTTCTTTTAAAGCTTGCTTGCCTTAAATTAACTATACTCATAAGGTTAATCATTATCCTACAGGTCCCTTAGCTGATTTGTAAGTTGGTCGTATCTTTCTCTGTAATGCGTAGACAAGTTTTATTATAATTAAATTATTTTCAACAATTGATCTAATGGCAGTGCTTGTAAAAGAAAAAATTTAAAAAGAGGAAAGGAAGGAAAAATAAAAATAAATTTAAATAAAAAATTATATGCCAATGGTTGCGTGTTTTATCCACCATGTTGCGTCTTTCTGCAACATGTCGTGGAATTACGCAACATGTTGTGGGTTTCCGCTACCGAGTCCGCGGCTGTGCACTAAGATCAAATAAGCCATCATGAAAGAAAAATATTTTTGAATTTATCTTTATTTAAACACGCAATAAGTGTTACCATTGTCATGTCGGGTTAACAATATGTGTAATGTGTTAAGGCTAAGAATCTCGAGATGTAAAAGCTCTAATAACTGACTGAAGCTCAAAAAGAGGAAAGTTCTAAAAGATTTTGTTTTGACAGCATGCTGTCAGATCCCAAAATGGCGCAAAATAAACTATGAATATCGGAGGCTCATTCCGACAGTGTAAAAATTCAAGATGCACAGCCGTATCAAAACATTTTGAATATTACTGTAGTAAAGGGGAACAAAAAGCTTCCCCGTAATAAATTTGATTCGAACATCGATGCCAAATTAGATTTGTTCACATTCCCTTATCCATTTGGCTTCATCTGATATTTGGATTATTTATTGGCGGAGTCATTGTAACACTCATTTATGTGCGACAGCAAGGAGCAACTTATGACTGGATGACAGGGATAGGCTTTTTAATATCGCTTTTCCACCTCTCCCCATTTTTTTTTTTTTTCTTGAAAGCATGACCAGTTTGAATCGCATAGAATACATCGTCGGAATAGGTTGGTGGTAATATTTCAACTGCTTAGATAAATCTTATAAAATATTACACGACAGATTTAGGAGCTGGTACTTCAGAGGCCTCGATAGCTCATGTAAATGACCCACTTAATATTATCTCCGTTTCAGCTTGGTACCTTACGTTTTGAAATGAAATACATATTATGTTTTATGAAAGCTACTAATAGCTTAAGACAGGGACGATTCCATGAGACCTTCTGAAACATTTTTTTCTTCAATTCTGTACTCGAAGGATGGGAGCGATGCCCCAATATATGGTATGCAACGCGACGATGCCGGTGATATAGGTGTTTACGTAAATAACATCCGTCAATATATTGTCGACGTCGATGCTTCTGATGAAAAACTTGGTCAACTAATGGATGGTTTAACCGTTAGAAAAGTCGTTACTGATTATCTAAGATATTTTGTTGTATTTGCTCTCAAAAGGTTACAGGTTCATAAAAAACTTGTTAAAAATGAGCACTTCCAAGAATTTGTTAACGAAGAGTTTATTGATGAAGATATTAAAACTATTGGTTATTGCCTCGTTTGTCCAGCCGATCGACAAGAATATATGAAAGACTGCTTTATTGAGGCAGGAATTATCGAGGAGTTTGAAGCTGAGTACCGACTTTCGTTTGTCATCGAAGCTGTCGCTATAGCTCATAGTCAACTTTCCCGCGACAGAAACGAGACCGGAATTCAGGAAAATCAAGATTACTTCGTTTTAGACGTAGGTGACATCTCTATTGGAGTAGCAAAAATCCATGCAGCTTCCACGATATCGCTTAGCACTATTACGGAAATTTCTGACGATGCCACATTTGGCTTAAAAAATCTAGACAACAAGTTCAAAGAATATTTGATAAAAAATATGACAGAGTTAAATTTGAACATCTCACTCATTAATCGATTTGTCCGGACTTTTTCTGAATTTATTGAGGTAAATAGATGAAATGCTTGCATTTTTGTTTACTTTTTTTTATCTTGACTGCTTCTTTTGTATCAGTATGGGTTTCATATGTATATCCCAACAGGGACTGCCATGTCACAAGATGATATTGATGGAAATCCCATCGAGTTTACGTATGAAGATTTAGACAGAATTGTATTCAAACCCTTTATCGAAAGCATAGCTGCATCTATTATAAAAGCTGATAAATCTTACGTTCAATGCAAGAAGTTTTCCACTGAAAAGTATGGTATTAACGAATACTTTATTAAAAATCTTTTAGCCAGAGATGAGGGTGGGTTGAAGTATCATCGTTCTATTATTGGGTGTCCACTTGGAATGGTTTCCTGGGGCGCTGTCTCTTCAATATTAAATACCTACAAATCTCAAACGCCCTTCTCTCTTTATAATGAACACCGATCCTCATTTTCTGATAGAGGACTGTCCTTACCAGAGATAGTGTCGAAGGAATCTACTGATGATAACGATGGAAATGATGCTTATGACTTCACCCTGAAACTTTCTATCGGTCCAATCGCGTTTTGGACCGATACCGTCGGTATCGATGCACTTTTTCATAAGTTACCGATTCCGTCGGTCCTTTTAAAAAAGTTTACCGATACCGATTTTTAAAAAAATGAAAGTTACTGCGAGATCGAGTTTTATCGTTTAATAAACATGTATTATGATACCTATATAACTTGTATGATTAAAAGAAAGTTTATTAAGATAATATAGTGAGCGTAACAGGGGACCAAAAAGTTTATATTGTTCATGATGCGCTAGGTGTTACGCGATCAGGCTCCTTTTTTTTTTTTTTTTTTTTTTTTCAAAGGCAATAAACTTCACTTCTTCGCTGGTTTTAACAGACGAATAACTATCAAAACGTATGCACTTTTTGAGTGTCTCTATAACAAAGTATTGACGGTTTTATTAGCCTATTTGTATTACAAATAAAATGTTTTCAGTACTAAATGTAATGGGGTTCATGTCCGGATTTTTGCCACTCAATAAACAGCCGCAACACTTTTTTTTTTTTAAATCACCCTCCTTCTTAGCATTTTTTTTTTCTAAATTTCCCCATTTTGTTTTATTTTGTAAAGAGAAAAGTTATGAAAAACAAAAGAATGGCCAAAGGGTTATTGAAAGTACCTATCAAACGCACTGCAAAGGCACTTTATGTTTGTATGTACCGTTCCTTTACGTAACATCAACCTGCACAGACCGACGCAAATCGCCGCAGATCTACACACACCTACACACACCTACACATATCGACACACACCTGCACTGACCTACACTGACCTACACTGACCTACACTGACCTACACTGACCTACACTGACCTACACTGACCTACACTGACCTACACTGACCTACACTGACCTACACTGACCTACACTGACCTACACTGACCTACACTGACCTACACTGACCTACACTGACCTACACTGACCTACACTGACCTACACTGACCTACACTGACCTACACTGACCTACACTGACCTACACTGACATACACTGACCTACACTGACATACACTGACCTACACTGACATACACTGACCTACACTGACATACACTAATCTACAATAACCTAAACTAATCTACAATAACCTAAACTAACCTACACAAATCAGTATACATCGACACAGAGCGACGCAGGCCTCCGTACATTTAGACACACCTACACAGGCTGAGTCCCGCATTTGTTCATTGTCGTACAAGATTTGTTTCCATTCACTCAAATATAACTGTCAAAAACATCAAAAGTAACAGCAAACGAAATAAAGTTCCACCGTCATAAATCTCATCCGAGCATCAATGACAAAGTGGTTTTGCCCACACTTCTTTATCCATTTGACTTTATCAATCTGAGTCATGGTAACACACAGTTTTGTACGACCACAAAGAGTGACTTTTGACTGTATGACAGGATGATTTGTATAATTTAGGCTCTTTGATATTCGTTTTTCTATTTATTTTCATTTTTATCTTCTTTCAAAACCATGACTAGTGTAAATCAGATAGAATACGTTGTCGGAATCGGTTAGTGGTGATATTTCAACTACCCGGACCAACCTTATAACATTTTATACAACAGATTTAGGAACAACTAATTCAGGGGTCTCGATAGCTCATGTAAATGACCCACTTAATATTATCACCGTTTTATCTTGGTACCTTACGTTTTAAAAGGAAATGAATATTAAGTTTTATGAAAGTTACTAAAAGCTTAAGACAGGGACGATTCGATGAAACCTCCTAAAATATTTTTTTCTTCAATTTTGTACTCGAAAGATGGGAACGACACCCCAAAATTTGGTATGCAACACGACGATGTCAATGATATAGGTGTTTACGTAGATAACATCAGTCAATATCTTCTTGACATAGATGCTTCAGATGAAAAGCTTGGCCGACTGATGGATGGTTTAACCGTCAGAAAAGTTATTACTGATTATTTGAAATATTTTGTTCAACTTGCTCTCAAAAGGTTACAGGTTCATAAAAACGTTGTCAAAAATGTGCACTTCCAAGAATTTGTTAACGAAGAGTTTATTGATGAAGATATTAAAACTATTGGTTATTGCCTCGTTTGTCCAACCGATCGACAAGAATTTATGAAAGACTGCTTTATTGAAGCAGGAATTATCGAGGAGTTTGAAGCTGAGCACCGACTTTTATTTGTCATCGAAGCTGTCGCTATAGCTCATTATCATCTTTCTCTTGACAGAAACGAGACCGGTATCCAAAGTAATCAGGATTACTTCGTTTTCGATGTAGGCGACATCTCTATTGGGATAGCAAAAGTTCATACAGCTTCCACTGAATCATTGAGTACTGTTACTGGAATTTCTGACGATATAGCACAAGGGTCAATAAATCTAGACATCAAGTTCAAAGATTATTTGATAGAAAATTTGACAGCGTTAAATTTAGATATTTCACACATTGATCAATTTGTTCAAACTTTTTCCAAAAAAATGAAGGTAAATATTATTATTTATATCTATTTTTCTTTATCTCAACTACTTTTTTCTTTTACAAGTATGAATTTAATATGTATGCCCCAACACAGACTGCCATATCACAAGATGATATTGATGGAAATCCCATTGGGTTTACGTATGAAGATTTAGACAGAATTGTCTTAAAACCATTTATCGAGAGCATAGCTAAATTTGTATCAATAGCTAATGAAACTCATGGTCACTGTAAGACTTTTTTCGCTAAAAGGCATGGTGTCAATGCATACTTTATTGAAAACCTTTTAGCCAGAGATAAGAGTAAGTTGAAGTATCATCGTTCTACTATTGAACATTCACTTGGAATGGTTTCCTCGGGCGCTGTCTCTTCAACATTAAATAGCTACAAATCTCAAACGCCCTTCTCTCTTTATAATGAACACCGATCCCCATTTTCTGATAGAAGACCGCCCTTACCAGAAATAGTGTCGGAGGAATCTACTGATGATAACGATGAAAATAATGCTTATGACTTAATTGTTGGAATTGGTTTGTAAACGCTGACAAAGATCCTGGACATTTAATTTAGTTTTTTAAATTGTTTCCTCATAATCATTAGATTTTGGTACCTGCTTTTCTGGATGCTCTTACGTCCAGCTTAAGGATAAGAATGGAAAACCTGTAGGTACAAAAAAAATCAAGACCATAAAAACGGGTTGGTAATTTCAAGTGCAAGAGTTTTTGAAACTTCAACAACACTCTAATTGATAACCGTAGGCCTGGAGGCCATCTAAATAATTTTGGAAAGACCCCAACCTTGTTAGTGTACGAAAAAAATATGAAGCCAAAATATTGGTCTGAAGAAGCAAAACTTGTAGCAAAGCGCCGTAAAAATAGCATTCTAGGAAATTTTAAATTGTTTTTGTGCTCCAAATATTTGGAAAACACTGATGATCTGGAAGAATTTGAAGAACGAGGAGGGGTTCCTGATGATGGATACCCAAAAAACGAAGTGGATGTGGTCAGAATTATAGCTGATTATCTCAAGTTTTTCAAAAATTATGTTGTTGAGTATATCGTATCTAAAGAAATGGATGAAAGTTTTACTTTCTATAACAGGTCAAAGCTTTTGAAAAAATACAAGATTAAATACGTGATGACTGTACCTGCTATGTGGAATTCAGTAGCCCGAAATTCCATGGTGCAAGCTGCAGTTGAAGCTACTCTAATTGAAAAAAATGAGGTCGACCAGCTTCTTATAATCAGTGAACCCGAGGCAGCAGCATTGTTCTGTATGAAGAGAAAAACCGAATATTTTGAAAAAGAGGATGAAAAATTGAATGATACGAACTTTATTGTATGTGATGCTGGTGGAGGAACTGTAGATCTGGTTACATTTAATTTACAGCTAAACAAAGAAGAATACGATACACCTACTACAAAACAAATGATTTTTCAAATCGGTGACGGTGTGGGTGATATCTGCGGTTCAACTTGTCTTGACGTGGGATTTCAAAATTATCTCCATGAATTTTATAAGAGCTTTGGAGTAGATATAGACAAAGAAAATGCCCTTCTTGATGATGTTATGAATGATTTTGTGAAAAACTATAAGGTAACAGATCTTTTATTATGTGGATATAGCTCTTCCTAACTAATTTTTATCAAATGTAGCTTGACTTTATGCCTAATTTGCAAGGCGACTCTTATTACGATATTAATTTGCCCGGGAACGGGATTAGAAATTTTACCAGCGATTCTACTTATAGCATGACTAATGCGAATAGAACGCTGAAAATGAAGAACCAAGTTATGAAAGAGCAAATATTCGACCCAGTAGTTGATCGTATTTTTTACCTTATCGATGATCAGTTAAACCAAGCAAAAAAAGTAGACAGACGAATTGACACAATTTTGATGGTTGGTGGCTTTTCCCAATCCAGATACCTGCAACAACGCATTAAAGACCGGTATAAGGGTGTGTGTCATGTTAGCTTTCCTACCGAAGGTGTTGAAGCTATTTCTTACGGTGCAGTATCTTACGCCTTAAATCCCCGTACGATATCAAGAACAACTGCCACACAATCCCTTGGATTAGAGGTACAGGCTCCATTTGAAAAAATCTTGCCGGATTCAAGTAAGAGGAGAGTGAAAGGTCCCAATGGTGATTGGAATTTTGAAAAAGACCGTATAGAGTATTTCGTAAAACAAGGTCAGATCTTAAAAAACGAGCTACAAACAGTATATCAAAAAGATGCATATGTTCTATATCCCAATGCTGCAGTAGTAGGTACTTATATTTATTGTAAGTAAACCCTCACAACTGGCTAATTTTTATGCAAGCAATCTTCTCTTGCGACTCTAAAGAAAATGCTAACAATAGGTACCTTACCAAGAGTCATGCAAAAATAGCGGAAGTCAAAATTATTATGCCGTACATAGTTGGAATAGATGGGAGATTGATTCACTTCACGATCAGTCTTCAAATGACGCGTATTGGAGTCACTATTAGTATTGAATGTAAAGATCAACTAATTAATGCAGAAGTCCGAAAAATCACCAAAAACCAAAGGTCCTCTCTTGAAATTAACCACAAATGTAGCACAAATGTGGCACGCTTAAAACGGCCGTTGGTCTCATATTCTTTAAAAAAAACTGGCTATATGTTTAACATTAGAGAGGCCTTACAAAAGCAATAAAAGTAAAGTGAGTTACACTAGTTTGACCTTATTAACATCTGAAGAAAAATTTATTATATAGGAGCAAGACGTTTTTAATAATATAGTGCCAAAATTATATAAAACATAATGCATCTCTTTATAAAATGGTACATGCGACATACATCGGCCAAACATTTACCTGAAGTGGTAAAATCTAAGAAGATAGCTTTATTTTGTGTTAAATAGTTATTGAAAGTGATATACAAGTGCTTCTCTTAGATGTCAGCTAAAAAATAGCTGGCTCGAAGGTGGAAGCATGTCCTGACCCAAAAATAAAGGTCAATCTTCAAGTGATAAGAGAACCTAAATTCAATCAACCCCCATACTGCCTGCCCACAATACACAATATGAGAATCACCAAGATCAATGCCCCTTACACCATGTTGCGGATGATACTTTTTACCTTAGTATCTCATTCGGTGCAGTTGCACCTGTACAGACATTGGCTTTAAGGTGAATATTCTGTATAGATGAAGCAAGTAAATAGGAAGGTGACAGTCTTTGGCTGCTTATACAAATTCCAATATATCTAGTATAGACATAAACAAACCAAGGCAAAGCATTTACAAGATACATTTGGGTAGTTAACTTCTTACATAGCATTAGCATCATAGACGGAACTATATTCTAACCAACCAAGACTAAATACTAAGAGCGTGTGGAAGGCTTCAAACAGATACGGCCATATGCCGTCTTCTTACTAGCTCCTGAATCCACCCTACCGGACGAACGGATGTGGTACTAGTTTTGTGAGAAGTCCTTAGAACCATGAACTACTAACCTAAGTTAGACTGTACTCAAATACAAATGAAGCGACACAAGAAAAAAGCAAAGACCCCATTTGGCTGCGCATAGATTTTTTATTGCCGAACGACTTTGACGACCAACAGACTCCTCTAATATAAAGCGATTAAAGAGTACTACAGCCTTTGGAACACTGCTCGATTTAAATAGTATTAAAAATTTACAGGAACGTGTGACCTGAAGACCAAAGAAGAGCAAAAATGTTTTTTCTCTACTCTTTATACATGTCGATGTCAATTGCTACTGCTTCCAAATTCGTTTAGAACACAAACAAATTTTGAGTGATGCAAAAAAACGAATTTTAGTCGGAGACCAAAGTTACTTTTTGAGGGGAGATGTGCCACTGCATTTATTCTTTTGAAAATGGTAAGGTTTGAGGTAATATTACATTAATGCTGGGTCATCTGCTTTAATGAGGTCGTCTATATACAATTTTTCTAAAAAAAAAAAGAGGGAGGCATGCGCGACCGGATCTCTCTTTTTTTTTAAAAGAGCTTTGCCGAGAGAGTACCAAAAAATTTAGTGTTGCAGCAATTGTTACAATTTTTTAATGCGAAAATGCTACCGTATGCATGTATTACACGAACATTGTAAATTTAAGACTCCAATAAGAACACTGTAACTCATACGAATTGGGATGGGGGGTGGTAATGACAAGATTAATTTATTTTGAGATATTAAAAGGAATAATTGGTATGTGGACACACTCAAAAAGAAAAACCGGTTTTCTTTTAGTGCGATTTTTAAGAGGAGACTTGGGCATATTTCTTGTACAGATCACGAGACTTGTCGTTACTAACAATGTTTGTAATGGCCTGACCAACACCAGCACCATCAAAATGATCGACACCGTAAAGATGGGTAGCATTGTACTCAAGTTTGAATTCAACGGGGCCACCGTTATTGGCATCGTCCAGATCAATATAATATTGTTCCCAGTTACGGATGGTACCATAAGGGTAATCTTTGCCTTCAATATCATAGGTGTAGACACGAAGAGCGGGGTTATGGACAGGAATAATAGAGGGAGCGTTGAAGAGAGCAACAGCGGATTTAGCTAAAGTAGACTTAAGATCACGTGCATCCTTGTCATCAGCAGCAATATAGGTAAAGTCCTTCTTTCCGTCAGGAATCACAGCATTTAAATTGTCGTCTTTACGTAGAATTAAAGGTTAGTGCTCAGTAAAATGCTTTGAAAAAGAAGTAACACTTACTGTTGGTATGACCATTGAAATGACCGGCAATAATGGAACCATAATTACCGAGCAAATTCAAGTATTGGGAATAGCAAGAATCCTTGTAGAGCTTGGAGCCATCATCATCGATGGGTGGAACGTGACTCATCATATAGACTTGGTGACCATTGCCCTTGGACTTGAATTCCTTGAGAGTTGATTCGAGCCATTTCATTTGAACGGTAGCAGGGCTTGTGGAACTGCTACAATCAGCAACGTCGGAATTCTTTTCGAAAAAGTACATGGAGTTTAAATTGATGACACTTAATTTGTCTGGCACAATGTCTTGCACAAAGTAACCGCCCGAACTAAAGGCCTGGGTCAAATTGAGACTTAAGGGGGACCAGATGGTTTTCAGGCTGGTAAAGATCTTATCGTTCTTTACCACGTCGTTGTGACCAAATGCATCATTGTTACCAATGGTGGGTATCTATATAAATAGAAGAATGCAAAAATAATGTGAGTTTCACTTGTTCCAGAAAAATGATAGGAAATAGGCATCTAATATAATTACATAGGGAGTGTGCTTGAGATCATAAGCAGATTGAAAGTACTTCATGACTGAAGTATGTCCATCAATGACATCCTTTTTTGTTCTAGGTAAATCATCATCGCGGTCCTATAATTAATAGAGGTTGAGAATTCTGCAGAATTAAAGGGGAACACAAACTAAATTGTTTGGTAGAACTTTAGGGCTACTCACATGTCTGACGGTGTCACCAGTATAAATAATGAAATCAATGTCTCTGATTTCTTTCTTGAGAAAGTCAAATGCGGTCTTGACAAGAGCCACAGGGGAATCACATCTGGTACCCAAGGCTCCGTATTTACCACTTTCGCTGGATCGCTTCTTGCCATGACGATGACAGTAATTGTCTGGGTCAGCGCCTTCTAAATATTTTGGGTCTATATGGATATCTTTTTTTTTTTACATGTGTTTAGTTTATTATGTATGAAAATTATTTTTAATTAGAGATGCTTACCGGTGATGTGAAGAAATTTACCGGTCAAGGTGGCACCTCGCTTAATGAGAGCTCTAGGTTCATTCATGGGCATGGCGCTCACAGTTGATTGTTGTAATAACAAGACGCAAGCAGTAATGCATGTAAATGATTGAATCCACCCCATTGGAATTGTATAAAAAATAAAAAATGTCGACAAAAAAAAAAAAAAAGAAAAATCATTGAAACCTTTTGTTATATACTTTTTTTTTTTTTTTTCATTCTCCACTTTTTGTTTAACAATGAATTGTCTTTCTTGTGCAATCTAATCATTCATGGTGCCCCTTTTCTCTCGCTTAATATTAGCGCTGACATTGAATTACTTAACGTCAAGAGGCCCTTTCCCCCAATTTCATTTCCGTAATAATAAGGCAAGAGCTTTATGATTTAGTGTAACGATATAATAAAGCCATTAATTAATGCAATACCTGTTCCGGTACTCTTCCCCTTGAAAGAGTAATTAATTACACAATGAAAAAAATAAAACGGTCATGCCTATTCATAGATTTATTTAATATAAATTAAGATGATTGTCAATGTTTTGATTATGTAAAAAAAAAAAACGCTATTGTTTATCTTGACAACGATCATGTCAAGTGACTATGTTTACAACAGAAAGAAAGAAAGAAAAAAAAATGTGTTTATTTTTTTGCCTGCCTAAACCCCAAATCCAGTTTGGGTTTGGAAACTACACAAAAAAATCATATATAAAACGTATAGCAAGGGTGGTATTACAGAAAGAAGTTATTAAGAAAGGGGGAGGAGATTGTGTGAGAGAGGAAAATAATATTACAAGAGGTGCGGGTGGTGGTAGTGGGGGTCATAAGAAGAGTTTTTTTTTTTTGTGTAAAAAAAAAGATATAAGAAGGTTCATATAGTACATAAATAAAAAAGTGTGTGTTCTGGACATTGTTTAAACATCCACAATTCTTTGGACCTTGTTACAATCCATTAAATGCTCTCCACGATACTTGATGAGATATTCACCTTGATCTTTCCAAGTGACGGTTTTATTCACTGGACAACCCTATACAAAAAGTAGTGTGAGTATATGATGCTTTGTTTCCCCTTGCAACTGTGGTATATACCTTATTACTGTTGGAGCATTTGTAATACACGCTCTTGTTACCAGTCTTTTTTTGAACGGTGTTACCATTGTTTTTCCAAAAGTAGCCGTCGACATAGGGATATTCTCTAGTCTCTACAATTTTCGTAATGGCCTGCATTTCTCTTCTACGACGGGGTCTTGGTGGGAAATCGTAGCGAGCATTCGTTGTGATATTAGTAGCGGATGATGAGGAAGGTGAAGACGAAACCATTCTGCTGTCCAATTGATGATGTAATGAGTTGGTATACGAGTCTTCTTCCATTTGATAATCACTTGGTGATAGTGGGTGTTGCTTATTTTGGAGTGACGACATCACTGCAGCAGCGGCAGCAGAACCATAACTGAAGTTTAAAAAAAAATTATTATTAGTAATTTAGATTATAACCCAGGCGGGGGGAGAAAGAAAAAAAATTTACCTTTCCATTTGGAGCAGAGAGGAAGCGGAGACCGGGGTAGTTGTGGATGTGGGGATGGGAGAAAATGTGCGGTCATCAAATTCTTCAGAATCAGCACTGCCTGTGAAGGATGAACCTAGTGTTGAATCCCGTCGATGGTTGTGTTGTTGTAATAGAGGGTTGGGAGCACAATGTGTGGGAGAAGCCAAGATGGCATCAAGGCTCGTGCGTCGCATGTGAGAGAAATTATTAGGTCGACCACCGTCCGTAGAAGAATTACTACTGATGGGTGGTGTAGGATTCATATTAAAGTTGGACGTACTGAAAGATGGTTGCTGTTGTTGTTGCTGTTGTTGTTGCTGCTGTTGTTGCTGCTGCTGTTGTTGTTGTTGTTGTTGTTGTTGTTGCTGTTGCTGTTGTTGAAATGTGGAGGGTGAATTCGTGGGGTAAGCTGACATAGTATCGCTATTGTTCGAAGTAAGCATTTGCTGTTGTTGTTGCTGTTGAATTAATAACAGATCCAATTCTTTGGCTCTTAATTTTGCCTCTTCTGCTCTTCTCTTATCCTCTTCCAGTTTACTTAATAATATTAACCTTAATAATTCAGGCTGTGATTGATAACTGTAAATGATATCTTGGAGGTCTCCCGAAACCATGTTTGGTTCCCCTCCTTTCAGGTTGTTATTGTTCATGACTGGTGAAACTAAATTATTGTAATTAGTATTGCTATTGCTGGAAATCGATTGACGTGAGAATGAATGAAAGGGTACTTGTTCATGATGATAGAGAGGTACTGCTTTTGAGGTATCTTTTAGTAAACTATAGTTATTATAATCAGACATCTTTTATGTTTTTTTTGTTAAAAATAATAAAGGAAAAAAGAAAAAAGAAAAAAAAAAATTATTTCAAACAGGGTTTTCTTTAAATTTTTTTTTTTTTTTTTTTTTTTTTTTTTCCATAAACTTCCCGTCCATGTATTCATTCGATTTTCTCAGGGTCACTAAACCCCTTTTTCTCTCCGCTTATTCGTTCCTTCGTTAGATTAGTAAATGTGGAGTCATGAGTGTGGGAGCCTGCGGTAAATTGTTTCAATTCGTCCAATAAATTGATCCTTGTCGTTTGAATGCTGCAAAATACCAGCAACAGTGCGCTACTAGACGTAATTTTAAACAATAACATTTGTCATATGAAATAATAATCACCAATTTAACACTTTTCATGTGTAAATCATGAATAGTAAACATATCCCATTTTCCTTTTATTCCATTTTTTACAAGCTTATGAAATACAAACAGGGTCATTTCTTCCTTTTTATTAGGATGTGAAGAAATAAAAAAACAGGTGAGTTTAATAAAATGAGCGGAATAATAAAAAAAATTGAAGTAATGTGGGGAAGTTGTTAACGTTTTACAAAAATGACCTAGTAGTAAAAATTTATGATTTATTCACATCCCCTCAAATACCGATATATCCTGATGAAAGCCTCTCTTTTCTCTCTTTCCTTACTGGCTCCAGATAAGAGAAAGGGAAACCCCACTTTGCTTTTTTGACACCCACACTCACGGTAAAGGTAAGGAGATCAAATGGTTAGAATAAAAAATAACGTGGTGTGGTGTAACATGGATCTAAATACAGTAATTTGGAAAAACGCTGGAAAATGACTGGTTTCAGTTAAAAAAAGTCCCCCACACTTATTTATGGTTAAAAATGAGTTTAAACCCTAAACAGATTTTTATTTATTTATTTTTTGAAACTGTTGTTATTTGAAATCTTCTTATTTTGACAAATTACTTTCATCATATGCACTTCGGTCCTATCGCGCGTGCGCATGTGCGTATATACTCGCGCGCCAATTTCTAAACAAAACAATAAAAAAAAAAAAGCATGTACCACTTTTTTTAACTTGTAAGCTGATCTTTTTGTAATACACCGACCTGTACACTTTTTTTCATTGTTACAATTACATCATTGGCTGCTCATGTATAATTACTTTTTAATCTCGCCCTTTTTTTTTTTTTTTTTTACCATTGAAATTTTATAAAAACCATGAAAAACGTGGCATACAAACAGGGTTAATCCGGGAAGGAAAAATATAAGAGGCATCGACAAACAAAAGGGCAAAAGTTGGTCATGCCTTCTTACTTTTTTTTTTTTTTTTTCACTTGCACATAACTGGGAAGATAAGGGTGGAGGCTTTTTTTAGTGGTACGATGTTTATTCCCTGTGATGGTGTTACTAAGAATTATCTAATAAAATTCCCCAGAAAAAAAAAAAAGAAATCTACATTTTACTAAAAATAGCATATCTTTACAACATCTGATACTCCAAGCGGATCACTTAACATTGGGCATCCTTGGGTTTAAAACAACACGTTTTTTCTTTCTTCGTGTGCATTTGACAGACTCATCTCCCACTCGCGCCAATGACAAAAAATAAATTGCAATTCCATATCATGACTTATAAAACCATGTCATTCCACTTTTTTTTTATTGTTGTTCATGCATCGTATTACAATGGCTTGGGAAAAAGGAGGTAAAAACTAGGTCCCAGTTTACCCTTTTTCCTTAGGTAAGTTTTTTTTCACCCTTCTTCAGTGGCAAATAGAGATCTTCTGAGATCATACGCCCCTCCTCCCTTTTTTTTTTTTAATTTTAAAAATAAGCCGGTGATCTTATTTTAATTTAGAACAATAAGAAAAACTCAGTAAAAGCTGGGGCAAAAAATAAAAAATATTTTTTTTTACCATTGCGTATATCCCAATGGTTTCCATGGAGTTAAACACCCCATAAAAGGAATAACACATATTATCTAAACAATTGAAAGGGAGGGGTGTAAATGACAGTAGGTTAACTTTAAATTATCTTCAATTACCAAACCCACTTGGCAATATCGAGTGAGTGAAACCCCATTATTCATTATTAACAAGCTTTCCCCCCATCGCCTTTGTTTGTCAATTAATAATTATATCTGCAAGAGTAATAATCATATGATCAAGACGCTTTTTGTGTATGTGTTATACTATGAATTAAGAATTCTCATTTTCAGAGAAAAATATTATTCTGTAAAATTAGTGATTTATCTACTCAGTTCATATATATTTAAACAAAAAACGTGTGATGTAACTGTCTAATAACCATAAGTGATTGTAAGACTGGTATTGAAAAAACCAGCATGGAAAGGGCCCCCAGCTGTAAAAGTTGGGAAATTGGAGTAAGTAACCTTATGTCACGGAGTCTCTCTTACCCATATTGTTTCTCATGCTTACAGGCAATTTATAGGAAAGCTCCACCCTTAACCCATCACACGTACAATATTTCCTGTCTTGTCCCGAGTTTTACTTTGACAATTTTTTATCTTGATCACTTTTGATAGCAATTATCAGTTGTACAAGAAGAGTTTGCCCCAGGAAAGTTTATAAGTCCTCAACTGAAGGAACAATGTCTAGTTTTATTCAAAAAAAAATTTTAAAATCAATCTCAAATTTTATACTTGGTGGACATAAATCACTTTTTTTTATCAGCCATTGTATATTCATGTTTCATCAATGGTAGGCTATATCTACCCGTTTTGAAAATTCTAGTAATTGGTCATGAGTTACTTTTATATAAAACTACTACTGTTTGGTATTAATTAGCTTTATTATTTAGTAAATGTCGCACCATGCTTAATGAAAAAAAAAAAAAAAAAAAAAAAACCCCCCAATTTTTGCTAAGGAAATAAAAAGCTAATTGTGTGCTTTGAACTGTTGCTCCATATAAATATAAACTTACTTTGAAAGGTATTACTGCTATTGAGACTACGGGGTAACTACAAGGTTAGGCGTTTTCAACCCGAGAATAAGCTATATAACTATGTATAGACGCAATCATAAGTACCGAGGGACATGACTAATTGCAGCAAATAAATACCCATTGATTGATTTGATCTTGGTACCACTATTTTTCCTTTGTACAGTACTCGTAAAGGGTGCGCTAATTTTTTTTTTTTTGAAGCAGAACATACTCATGTTTGTAACATATTGTGCTCACTGTCGCAATACAAACACCAACACGATTTAGCTATTATGTTTTTGGTTTTTTCCCAGTGACTATCCTAATAAAGATAACATCATAGATCGCTTCACTAATGTCACTAACTCCTTGATGATTTCGCTATTATCCGGTATATTCATATATGCCATTATACAGTAACATTTAAAGGGAAAACTGTAAACGAAGCTGAACGTATCATATTTATCATGGATGATGGCAGGGCTAAAAAAGTGAACTATTTTTAAACAAACCCCAAAAGTCTAATTGACCTTATATCTGTTATATTGGGTGTCCACAGATAGTATCCAACCCGGAAATTTGTATAACAAAGCATTCAATTTATCCCTTTAACCGATTTAACCGATTTAACCGATAATTTGAGATTGTTTTTTTCTGTCAGTATCAGTATCAGTCTCCCGAACTTAAATCTCTGCCGTAGCAGAATAAATTTCGACTGAAATTTTAAGATTCCAAAGACGAAAAACGTACAGCTTTTGGTACCGATAATATGACAATAACATCATACTGTTGCCAAATATCATGAATCATTTCATCCCAACCAATTTAAGCTCGGAAATTTTATATTCAATAATTAAAACAAAGTTGGGTAAGTGAGACAGGACAAGGTATTATGTAACTTTGCTTATCCTAGTAGTCTCACATTTTCACTCACTTGGACACAAACGCATTTGAATAAGGCTTAAACTATCTCTGTAAAGATGCATAAAAAAGTTCAAAGCCAATGTTTAATACTCTGATGAATGGCGACAGACCTCCTCCGACAAAAAAAAGGGGGGGGGGGAGGGGTGGTGGAAGGAGAGAAGTTGAGGATGCATTACTTGCTGTAACTATTGTCGGATACCTCACGTCATAGATAAATGCAGATATTGCAGTTAAAAAAAGCTATTAACTGTCAGATAAAAAAGCTTTTTGCACAGTGTAAACACAAAATCCAGCTTAAGCAATGTAGCATAAGGTACAACATTTGTTTCGATAAAGCCATTTGCCGCAACTAATTTGTATGACAGAGTACATAGAGAAACCCCCTCTTGTAACTGTATACCTATAATGTTCTTTTTAATGCTTGTTAGACGGCTTTCAAGCATAGGTCAAGGTATATATAACACTGTTGTGGGGTAGAATGAAGGTCTTAAATGTTCGGGTGAGAGGGGCGGAACTTGTATTGCGAAAAAACAAATTTTTTTAGGTGTCCGCCGGACTTTTTTTTTGTCTACTTGTGTAGACATTTTGCTGTATCGTTAAGCCGTTCTCTTTTCCCTTACTGGTCATTTGTACGTATAAAGTTCAATCATCCATCCATCAAATACATCAAATGGAATCCATCCATAAGACGATTGATGATGCGTGGATAGGATTCGAAAACGACATCGAATTGAATTTTTTTTTGAATATATGCAGAGAACTAACTTAGAACTTTTAATTTTTTTTTTTGTATAAATCCATTCCTCCCCTTCATTTTCAACTTTCTCTCTCTATTCAACCTCCTATAAATATCAACAGATCATGGTTTTAAAGCACAACAATCAGTTGCCTAACCAGCATTTCCGCAAGCAATGGGACCGTCGCGTTAAGACTTGGTTCGATCAAGCCGGTCGCAAGAAGTCCAGAAGAATCGCACGTGTTCAAAAGGCTGGCCGTATTGCCCCCAGACCTATTGATGGTCTTCTCCGTCCTGCTGTCCGTTGTCCTACTGTTCGTTACAACATGAAGTTGAGATCCGGTCGTGGTTTCACTCTTGAAGAACTCAAGGTAAAAAAAAAAAAAAGAAACATTCTCTTTATTTAGGAATCACATTCTAATCTATATTTTTTTTTTCGATTGTATAGGAAGCCGGTGTCCGTCGCAAGGAAGCCCGTTCCATCGGTATTGCTGTTGACCACCGTCGTCGTAACAAGTCCAACGAGTCTCTTGAACTTAACGTTCAACGCTTGAAGGCTTACAAGGCTAAGCTTATTGTCTTCCCCCGTAAGGCCGGTAAGGCCAAGAAGGGAGATTCTGAGGTAAATAATCAATTTTTTTTCTGTGTTGTGTTTATATTATATTTGTGTGATTTGTGTATGCAAAAAAACAAAAAACATCAAGGTGAAGAATGCAATCATGTCGAGAAAATTAGAGTTTATACATTGGGAGGTTTTAGAAAAAGTGTAACCTGGTTTGACAGCATTCATTTTCTCGAGGGTGGACGGACTAAAAGAAAATTGCATAACACACAAATTGCACAAATGGAGATTTATGATGGAGGAAATTTTCGAGTTTTTAACATTTTTTCTTGTTTTCTTTAAAAAAAGGCTGCTGAGGTCGCTTCTGCTGTCCAATTCCGTGGTGCTCTCTTCCCTGTTGAGCAAGCCGCTGCTGGTCCTGAAGCTCGTGCTATCACCGCTGAAGAGAAGGCTACTAGCTCTTACATGAAGCTCCGTTATGCTCGCTCCGCTGCCCGTACCCTCGGTGCTCGTGAGAAGCGTATTCGTGATAAGGCTGAGGAGGAGGCCAACAAGAAGAAGTAAATTTCTTCTTAACCTCACCTTTAATTCTCTTTTTTTGATTATTGTTGCATCAGTAATGATTTTAAAATAAAACTTTTTATTACCTAAAAAAAAACTATAAAATCAAAATTTGCATTTGCATTGTTGTTTTCTTTATTGTGTGTTTTGTGTGTACCCCTATTGAATTGTCAATTTCATAAAAAAAATTTAGGTAATTTGGGGTGGCTTATTTTTGGTGGTGGCATTAGAAAGTTTATTCATTTTTTTTTGGGAGGGGGGGGGATCAATTGCCTTGGGAGCGGTGGGTTGACTGGATTACAGATCAGAAATACCTCTAACCGCCCATACTATCTTTAAAGGTTATCGAAATGTGATAACTGCAACAGAAGGTGGTAAAACCCCGTTTTCGCGAATGTCAAAGTTTTATCATTAACAAACTTAAAAGATAAATGATTGATAACTATAAAGTAGTCCACAATCATTTTACGCTAAGTCAATAATATGAAATGATTATACCTTGTGACATATAAATGTGAGTAGACGGTAGTCGCTTTCGAACAACATGAATAATGTGCACATACGGCTGTTAGCCATCGGAAGATGTTGTATATTTTATGATAATGCATCTGCTATGTCAACAATCCATGCCATAACATAGAGTAAACCTTCTTGATTTAAATATGCATTCCATTTTTAGCATTTAGTCATATTGCTGCATTCAACAAAATAACCTTAAAGTATAATACGATAAGAAAATTATGCAATTAGCTGTTTTATCTAGCATGACTGAATATTTATCAAGATTAAGTACTGTGAAATAATAATGATAATATATATAAAAAAAAACCAGGTATTTCTATTAAAAGGAATTTATTTTGACAAGTTTTAAAGTGCAATAAGAGAAAAAAAAGCTGAGTCTTGTTTAACATAACTTGTTTAATTGGAATGAAAAAAAAAAAAAAATTAACGCTATTTTATCATGCAGTTCTTTATTTGATAAATACAAACATCACGAAAGTTAAAGAAGCTGTTTCAGCATTGTCCATCAAAATTGAACTAAAGCCTATTTACAATATAGCGTCTGGGCACTTGTGGACTATTTGCAGGAGTAATAAAAGGAATTTTACCTAGACACAACTCGTTATTTTTTAAAAAAAAATGGCAATAAAAATAATTAGAAAGCACCTCAAAAAGAGAACAATCAATTTGAACAAGATTTTTATTTTATATTTTTAGGATTGATGAAAAGATAAGACACGTTTTAATTTCTTTGTGAATGATTTTCCTTTACCTGATATCTTGGAAGATTGTCTTCTCATACTAGTGATTGAAAAATCGTCACTGGTGGACGGAGTCAGCTTTTTTTCGAGAAATAAACTCGTCCTTCTTCCCAAGTTTCGCACAGAGTCATCGGTGATGCTTGATTTTGCTTTATGGAGTATACGTTTGGGAGAGAATTTGTTGGGCGTGGAAGGGGGCGTGGGTAATTGATCAATAATATGTTCGCTATCCAAATCGGAAGAAAGGTCGTCGTCATAATAGTCACGGTCATGCTGCTGCTGCTGCTGCTGATTTTGTTGCGGATGCTGTCTTGATTGAATGAGGGGTAAATTGTAAGGGTGGAATGATGTTTCATGAGACATGGCCGGGAGAGTTCTTTCAAATAGGTTAGTGCTGCTACTGGAGCATGAGTTATCACCTGTGATGGAAGGCGGTGGAGTCGTTGCCTTGGTTACTGGGTATTGTTCCGTAGGTGCGGCCGTTACCACGAGTAACGACTCTCGGAAGAGACGCTCTTCGTGTAAGCGTTCCTGTTCAAGACGCTCTTCTTCTAGACGAAACCTTGTTTGTTTGTCTTCTTCTTCTTGACGGTCTTGCAGAATCTTTCTTTGTCTCTCAAACCTAATCTTGTCGCGCTGTTCTTCTTCCTTTTGTCTTTCTCTCTTCATTCTTTGAAGTTGTTCCTCTTGCTCTAATTTCTGTCGCTCCAATTGAAGGGTTTCTAATTCCTTTTCCCTTTTTTGCCGTTCCTGTGTTATCAGGAACAGATCTTGTTCGTTTTTTAGACGCTCTTGTTTTAAGCGCTCGTGTTCATCATCAATGCATTGCTGATCTTGTAATACTTGCTCTTTTCGTTCAGATTTTTTTAATGATTCTAAAATGTCTTTTGGCGGTGCCTGCGGTAAGGAAGCATCGGGTATCGATGCTATTATTTGATTAATAAAAATGTCAGAAGGAGTTAATTTTTAAAAAAAAGGGGAGAAATAAAAGAATTAATTATTAATTACCATTGTCTATTGTAGCCACAGTTTCTTGTTGTACAGAATTATTTGATGTTTCGCGAACAATCACGTTTGACGGACGAGACCATACCCTTTGAAGGTACAAAATGGAAGAGACTCTTAACATGCGCAGTTTTCTTTTTTTTTTAGAAAAAAAAAAAGAAAAAGTAAAAGAGAAAGGGAAGAGAGATGAGATCAGGGAGAAGAAAGGGTATAAACAAAAATGAATCTTTCAGGGGTGACTTTGTGTGTGTGTCACGTATAGACACAAAGGTAGAGTCAAATATGTACCTAGCATGACCTCCTTTTTGGGCGTATCTTGGGCCCATCATGAAAATATAATGGGGAAAAAGGGTGCAAAAGAAGACTCCCTTTTTATTTTGTCAATATTTGTGTCATTCATTTTATTTTACTCTTTGGTAATTGGTCTATCATAAACAGACAAACAACCTATCGCGCAGTAATTAAAAAAAACATGTGCCATAAAGAAAAATACTTGAAGTGATCTACATAATAAAATTTCGTGTGATTTAGTTCAGGTTCAACAAAAAAAAAGTAAAAGAAAAAAACATTATATATGTATATTTTTTTTTTTTTGCCCTTTATATGCTGATAGAATCAAGGAGGGAGAGCATCGACAGTCACCATTCTTGACATTGGTTTTAACAATCGTTAAAGCATAAAGGGGAGTTTAATCACTATGCTCATCATCCATCCCATAACGGAGTTCACATAACGCGTGACCTTTCTTTCTTTTTTTTTTCGGCTCAACACCTTTAACCTTTTTTTGTAAATAACAACCATGGACAATGAGAGCAATGAGATCCCTTACTACGAGACACCTCCAAGTTACGAAGAGTTTTTGCAGAATCATTTGATTCCCAATGTACCAGCTGTCATCGGGCCAAAGTTAACCGAACATTGGGAGTCGAGAAAGCATTGGGTGGTGCCAACAGGGTCAGTAGACGGACCAAAATACAAACCCAACTATGGTTATTTACGAGACCGGTTCGGCACAGCAAAAGGACAAGTAGCACGTTGTAATAAACGTCACTTTACAGACCAAGTCAGAAAAGAAACGTCTTTCAAGGACTTTGTAGATCTATGGGAGGCAGATGACGGCAAAGAATCCCTGTACTATTTAAAGGACTGTCATTTAGCAAAGACATTCCCGCAAGATATATTTTATACAGTTCCTGATATATTCCAAGGTAAAAAAAAAAAAAAAAAAAAAAAAAAAAAAAAAAAAAAATAGAGATATCACAGATGAATAGAGGTATGTATGATTAACTTTCCAAAGATGATTGGTTAAACGAGTACTGGAATCAAACAAGCGATGATGACTATAAATTTTCTTATATGGGAGGTGACACAACATTTACACCACTTCATGCAGATGTGTATCGATCCTATTCTTGGTCTAGTAACATTTGTGGCATAAAGAAATGGACGTTTTTCCCACCCAATCAAGAAGAGTTATTCATGGACAAATACGGCAACATGGTGTATGACATTCGTAGAGTGCGCACGGAAGATTTCCCCAAGTTTGAGCAGGCCAAGCGCATCATCTTGTACCAAAAGGATGGTGAAACTGTGTTTGTGCCTTCTGGATGGTTTCATCAAGTGGAGAACATTGGTGCAGCTATTTCGATCAATCAAAATTGGGCAAATGCATGTAACTTGAAACACACATTTGGGTCATTAAACAAGGACCTGAATGATTGCACTAGAGCGATTCAGGATATTAAGGATGGTATGAGTCGAGTTGAGTTCATCCAAGAGTGCCAAAATCTATTACTTGTCCATAGTGGTTGGGATTGGAAGACATTTCTGAATATGTTGCACTGTGTTGTAAAGAACCGATCGATTTCATTGGTTCACCCAAACCAACCACCTTTGAAATGGCAAATGGAGCAGATAAACACTGTTTTGGAATTGTGGTCGAACGAACAAGGTGAGGATTTATTCGATTTTTTAAAATCTCATGGCGATGGTGAACTTTATTTAAAATATGTCGAGTTGAAAGAGTACATCTCTAAATTAATTTAACTCTTACACCCGGCTAATAAAATAAACATACACTCACACTCACGCTAAAAAAAACCCCGTTTTTTTTTATTATTATTATAAAAAGAAACGTCTCCTTTTCTTCTCCCCTTTTTTTTTCCTCTTCTCTTTCTCTTTTTCTTTTTTTCTCTCTCTCTCTTTCTTTTAATAATGTCATTTATCTTTACTACAAATTCCCCTAGCACGCCTAGAAAAGAAAAGGTGGCAGACTGGGCAGGTTCTAAAAGAGGTACGAATAAAATAGAGATGTACTGGTATACTATTATAAGGGATGGATCGCTAAAATATACATATATACATGATTATAGCAACGATAACACAAAATAACCCCAAGCAGCAAGATGAGTGGAAAGATGTGTATAGCAATATCAAACAAATGGATCAATTTTATGATGCAACTTTTTATGCATGGCTGAAATCAGAAGAGAACGTACTAGTCACATCAATTTATCTGCATAGAATTGCCAATGAATATCCACTAGAGAGAATTGTCAATGCCTTGGAATGGCTTACAACAGATTGGCGATGGGAAAGTACAAGTATTCTGGTTCGACATGTGACTGTAGATTGGTGTGATGATAAAGGTGATATGAAACGAGCCAATTTATTAAGACACCTAACCAGTCAATGGGCCACTCACTATACGGCCACACTCATCTCCACTGTACTCATGTCCTGCCCTTATTCGAATTGTGTCATCTTGAAGCGTGAACGTTTTTTAAGGGAATTCACTAAAAACTGGGATTTTTCTAAACTATCCGAGTTCTTTATGTTCCTGAGAAGTAGAGCTAATATCGATTACAAATTCAAGTGTATCATGCTTCAAGAGGCTGCAAGAAGAGATGTATCTATCATGAAAGAAACAATACATCATCCTACTAATCATCATAGAAGAACATCCAGCAATGACTTTCAACGTCTTAAAGAGGATGATCATCTCTCCTCTTCTTCTTCCACGACAACCTCCAGATATCACCATCCCCACCACCATCATCATCATCATACTTCTGCTTCTACCCTCACAATGACGACCACTACTTCTACTACTACTACATCAACAAGTTCCGATAATTTAATTCCTTCTCCTTCATCTTCTTCATCAAACAATGATAAGAAAAGAATCACTGTGATATAATAATAATAAATCTATTCTTTCTTTCTTAAACAATCATTATTGGGGTATGACAGCACACGAGGGTCACTGGTGTAACTTGCGCTTCTTCCATTACCATATTTCTTTGTATACTACTACACCATTCAGGGCCACACTTGTGATGATAGTAATTTAACGTTGTGTTTCAAATAACCTTTTTCTTTTCTTGCACTTTTCCACTCTTCTTTTTTTTTTTGTTTCTTTACTTTTTGTTGCTTCATTGCAATCATGTATTCAACTTACCAACCTGGTCTATCACGACTACTACCACCACCACCACTACCACCAGCACCAGCACCGACAAACTATCAGTCAGCGCCTTCACACAAGACAACATTATGGTAATTTTTATACAACCTATAACTTCTATATACTGACTGATTCGAGTAGGATGGGAGAACTCGAACCATGGATGGATGAAGGGTACATTCAAAGACTTTGGTTAAACCTGAATGCACAAGTGGCTGTGAAAGTGATTCGAGATAAAACCACCTTGTAAAGTTGTTTGAATTCTATTTTGTGAAAAACTCGTTTTTTTTTTAATAAGAATTATAAATAGTACAAGCTCCGGGTATGCTTTTGTCGATTTTGGATCCATATCAGCTGCTCAATGTGCACTTGATATGTTCAACGGAGAAATGATTCCTAATACATCATGTATAATCAAATTGAATTGGGCTTCAGGAGGTGGTCTTGTTGATCGAAAGTAAATTAAGGCGTTAAAAAATTTATTACAATGCATCTCTTTTTAAAACTCTTTTTTTTTTACATAGGGAGGATAGACAACCTGAGTATTCAGTGTTTCTTGGTGATTTGAGCTCTGAATGCTCTGAACAAATATTACTAGTAAATGTGGAATGCAGAGCACTTTTTTTTTTCTATTTATATTTTACTCACATACACACATTAGAGCATATTTCAGAATCGTTATCGATCATGTAAATCAGCTAAAATAATGACAGATCCACGCACGGGTCTGACTCGAGGTTATGGTTTTGTTCGATTTAGTTCACAGTTGGATCAGCATCAAGCCATGAACGAAATGCAGGGATTTGTCATTGGCAACAGACCTATTCGTGTCTCCTTGGCAACACCAAAGACAAACAGTACACATCAGCATGAATGTCTTTCTCCTACCACCACTTCCTCTCTATTAATATCACAGCCGTTGGCACCGCCACAACCACCATTAATACCATCACACCAAAACACCACTGTATTTGTGGGTGGTTTATCATGTCCGCTACAAGAAGACGAATTGAAATCATATTTTAGTATCTTTGGAGAAATCGTGTATGTCAAGATCCCACCTGGGAAAGGGTGTGGATTTGTTCAATTTGTTTCGAGACAGTCAGCAGAAATGGCCATTGATCAAATGAATGGCTACCAAATTGGCTCTTCTCGAATTCGACTTTCATGGGGTAGATCACAAAACCAACCTGCTGCTGTTGCTGCTGCTGCTGCTACTTTACCCGAAGAGATAACAATGCATGGTGGTAAAATGCATCCATTTGACGAGGATCGAGGATTTATGACTGTATTTGATCAATCTCATTACCCAAGCTATATAACCAATATGAGTTCTTCATCCATTATGCCTGACTCCACGACTGCTCCTTTATGGTCATCCGATTATCATACCTTTGCTCAATATATTTGATTGTTTCACTTATACCCCAACCCCCCTTATTATAATTATTATCATCATCATATGTAACTTGCTGCACAATGTGCCCTTTTATTTACTTTTTTTTTCTAAATTACACATTATTATTTTTTTATTAATATTACTTATTACCTAACTTTAAATACATATTCTATTATACTACATGAGCACTTTACTAAACATGCCTTCTCCAACAATCTCTTCCAAGCCTTGTCCCAAACACTGATACTTTACAAAATCACGTACTTGCTCTGTAGTCATACCCGCTACCCTCACAAGAACACCCCTTCCCTTTAAGATAGGACTAACCGACCATAGGACTTGACGATCTTCTTTCGATTTGAGTGTCAATGGCATCAAACGCATCTGTTCTGATTTTCTCTGGATTCCTTCTACCGACTTGGTTAAAGGGCTATCGATGCTTGAAATCATGATTAATGTAGCAAAACATGTGTAAGGCTGTAAGCGAGATGCATAAGATGTATCCTCTCCTTCTTTTCGCATATAGTCTTCATCCTCCAATACCATCGCATCCTTGATCACTAATTTTTGTCCTACACGAATATCAATGCGACTGGAATAATGTCGAAACGACCAGTTTTCACCGCGAGTTATCCTTCCACTCGTGAACCAATCCAATAGTACCAATTGCGATGTATCGTCCTGGAGTTTAAACTCTTGTCTCGATTGAAACGATGCGTCTCGAAAACAAGTGACGGGATCCGGGATCACTAATAAAGTAGCTTCATTTTCTACCACAGACACAATAGTCTGAACAGAAGGCTCAATCACGGGCGCTGGTTTAGGTTGCGATACAAAGAGGTTGCTGATGGCAGCTGGTAAGGAAGGTAAAAGATTGGAGAATTTAATCGTGGTCTCCTGTTGGTCGTTTAGTGAGGCCAACCAGAGCCGCTGGTGAACACGGTCCTTAAAAATCTTTGTATTTCCTTGAGTCATGAGTAGCAGGACCGCACGCGTTTCAATACGCATGTCAATATTGAACTTGTCACCACTAATGACACCTCCTCCATAACTCATCATGTACACAACCGCAAGTCGATCGGCATGGCCAGTGGTTGGAATAAACTTTAAAGGGTATTGAGCATGGATGCGCTCGAATTTGGTGCGATCATTGTAGCAATGACAAACGAGAATACCTTTTCCTGGTTCGTTTTCAGCAGTGGTTGCAAATTGCTTCATTAGAGAAAAAGTTAAAGACGAGGAGAGAGAGAGAGAGAAGAAATTAGCCTTTTCGTCTTTTTGATAATAACGATAAAGGGAACGCGGTTTTAAAAAGGGGTTCGCTAATCTTTGGTGTTACGCGTAGATATGGATTTTGTGTGTGCGTAAATTCAGGTCCTTCAAGCATTTCCGAGGGGTTTACAATAGTTTAAGTCACTGGATCCTTTGGCTGGTTTTGGATCTTTTAATGATACATTCATGCCTCCTCCTACAAGTTTCCTTTTACGTTTTCCCTCCAAATTCTGGGTTATTCGCCTCCATCTTTACTATTTTACCGCATCTCTATTGTTTTACCCACATCTGTTATCAAAATCTGGGTATCCGCTAGAGATATCCTGAATGCAAGACGTTTGTTTTTGCCATCGCTTTCTTCATTTGTATCCCCTGAGCAAAAGTGCCTTATGCGGTAAAATGATATTAAAAAGTGCGAATAGACCGTTTCACTCTCATGTGTCATTTTGAAGTACAGAATGCTTTGACGGGGTGAGACGGGAGAAAATCACAACGTCATTCTCTTATTAGCGCCGATGGGAAAGGATATTCCATTTTTCTTTCTTTCTTCCCAACAAATAAAAACAAGATGACAGAAACTTCCTATATCGTAGACGTCTATACAACTCCAGATCACTACAGACATATTGTTTCCTACTTTCGACAAAACCGACACATCTTTAAACTTTATTTTAACGGAAACCAGGATGGATCCCCCATTTCGTCCGAACAAACACGTCCTATGCTTCAATCCTTAAAGGAAGATGGTATCATCCCCCCTTCCTGGAAGCATAACGATCTTGATCGCTGTCTCAAGGAATTCATGCAAAAATATAGAAAGCTCGCCGTAGCAAGAACAAAGCGTACATTCAAGGTAAACGCATCGGATTTGAAAAAAGGTATCACCACCACCGACGATAAACTAGACTACCTCATTCCCGATTTCTATCAAATGCTCGAATTACAAGGCCTCTGCGTAACCAAAGTAGTTGCCTTTCATGGTGCACCCACGGGGACTATTTATACCTATCCGAACGGCAAAGATGACTATCCTTGGGGTAAAGAAGTAACTGAATCTATGTTGCGTCAGGCTCAGGCTCGTAAGATGGTGGACATCCCAACCACTGATCGTATAAGACCATCCATCGATCCAGCCACAGGTCAATTAAGACCCCCAACCAGAACCCCAACCACCACCACCACAACAACATCGCAACGCGCCAGACCTGAGGCTGACACCGAAAATGAATCATGGGCTAACCAATTGGCAAGAGCTAAAAGAGCCAGACCTGTCGATGAAGGTCCCATGGAGGAAACCATGTCGGATTACAGTTACAAGTTGGAGCTGGTTAAATTGACTTTGGAGGCTTTTAAAAACAAGACATTTGGTGATGTGTCGTTGGACGAGGTGACAAATAAAGTTCGTCGTATCAGTAAAGCGTTTGACGAGGACTGGTAAAAAAAAAAAAAGAATAAATTATACAGAGTTTTTTTTTTTTTTTTTTTTTTTTTTCTGAAAGTGGTGATCCTTTCTAAGGGTGTGGCAATAGCTTTTTTAAATATTTGGTGAACCATTGAGGTGGTATGGATATACGAATCGAATGTGTAATATGTTTCTTTTGGATAGTGATGGGTAAAATCACTGTTAAAAAAAAGTATAGAAATAAAGCATTTTTTTTTCTTGGACATAAGAAAAAAAAAATCCAATTGGCTATCGTAAAACATTACATTTGACAGGTGCCCGATTGTATAATGCGCAATTATGAAAGATAAAGCGACAGCAGTGAATTGGAAAAGTAACAACTCACTGGGAATTTATATGACCGCTGCCCAAAAAAAAAAAGTACCAGTTATCATAATTTTTTTTTTTTTTAGTTTCGTTCACTTTTTTTATTCATTTACACAACAAATGGTGGCCGATTCAGACAACATTAAACAACTCAATTCATACTTGAACTTCAAATCTCGTATAAAGATTACAGATGGAAGAACATTTATTGGAACCTTTGTTTGTATCGATAAGCAAAAGAATATTATCCTTGCACACACTGAAGAATTCCGTGGCTGTAAGATTCTTTGTTTATCCACTTCTCCACACTTTGGCCACTGACAATTTTTTTTATACACTTACAGCTGAAAAAAGGATGGTTGGTCTTGTCATGATTCCCGGTAAACATCTAGTTAAAATCGAAACAGAAGACTTGGACGTGCCCAATTCAATGTACACTTAATAATAAATTATACCCCCAATCATCCCTTGTAATATATATACAATTATCTTTGTTTATTGATATTTATTGATCATCTTTATGCTCTTGTATTAAGTGGGACCAAGGATCTTTAGTAATGGTAGGTGAATAATAGGCTGAAAATCTTGCTTCGATCGCCTCTGGAGAATAATCAACGTCTGTATATTGTTTACTATAATGATTATTGTTATGAAATCCTCCTCCTCCTCTTCCTCTTCCGCCTCTGTTAAACCCACCACGGTTTCCACCGCGACCTCTTCCACGACCACCACCTCGTCCCCCTCCGAATGAATGGAATGGTTGTTCAGACATGTTTTTCGTTGATTATGAAAAAAATTGAAAAAACAACAATTTTCGGAGAGGCAGCGCACTTCACATTAAAAAAAAAAGTGCCATTGAAACTGCGCTAAATGACACTCATGCCTTTTACTTCTTAAGAGCAGTTACCTTTCATCATTATAGTCGCCATGATGCGATTGGGGCAATGGATTAATTTTTTTAATAGAAGGGGTATTTAATAATGAAAAAAAAAGGAAAAAATCCCTAAAGATATCTAATTCAAGAGGATGCAAAAATGTCCAGACAAAATTAATTTTATTTTCTTAGTTTCTTTTTAAGTGATGGTTGCTCAATAGTCATTGGAAAGGTTCTTCTGACTCTGGCATCACGTGGGTATAAGGGCGTCAGTGATGAGGGAAAGGACGACAGTGATGAGGACAAGGACGACGCCTTTGTGCATTCTTCTATACTAGAACTACACTTGATTATAATCTTAACAGAGGACCTTTGATTATTGGTGATTTTTAGAACTTCTGCATTGATTAGTTGATCTTGACATTCAGTTGTAACAGTGACTCCAATACGCGTGATTTGAAGACTGATCGTGAAGTGAATTACTCTCCCATCTATCCCACCTATAGACGGCATGATAATTTTCGCTTCCATTATTTTAACATGACTCTCAGTAACGTATCTTTTGTTAGCATCTTCTTTAGAGTTACAGGCAAAGATTGCTTATATAAAAATTAGCCAGTCGTGAGGGTTTGATTATAATTATTACAAGTACCTATTACTGCAGCGTTGGGATATGAAACATATACATCTTTTTGATATACTGTTTGTTCCTTGCCTTTTAAAGATTCACCTCTTTTTACGAAATACTCTATGCGGTTTTTTTCAAAATTCCGATCACCATTGGGACCTTTCACTCTCCTCTTACTTGAATCTGTCAAGTTTCTATCAAATGGTGCCTGTACTTCTAATCCAAGGGATTGTGTGGCAGTTTGTTTTGATATTTTACGGGGATTTAGAGCGTAATATACTGCGCCGTAAGAAATAGCCCCAACACTTTCGATAGGAAAGTTAACATGACACACACCCTTATACCTGTCTTTGATGCGCTGTTGCAGGTATAAGGATTGGGAAAAGCCACCGATCATCAGAATTGCGTCTATTCGTCTGTCTAATTTTTTTGCTTGGTTTAACTGGTCATCGATAAGGTAAAAAATACGATCAATTACAGGGTCGAATATTTTCTCTTTCATATCTTGGTTCTTCATTTTCAGCGTTCTATTCCCATTAGTCATTCTATAGGTAGAATCGCCGGTAAAATTTCTAATCCCCTTTGCGGGCAAATTGATGCAGTAGTAAGAGCCGCCTCGCAAATTAGGCATAAAGCGAAGCTACGTTATTAAAAATCAATCAGGAAGAGCTATATCTACATAATGAATTATATGTTACCTTGTAATTTTCCACAAAGTCTTTCATAATATCGTCAAGAGGTACATTTTCTTTGTTCATATCTACTCCAAAGCTCTTATAAAATTCAAGGAGATAATTTCTAAATCTTAAGTCAAGACAAGTTGAGCCGCAGATATCACCAATACCGTCACCAATTTGACAAATCATCGGGTCTGTGGTAGGCGTATCGCCATCTTTCTTGTTCAGTTGTAAATTAAATGTGGCCAGATCTACAGTTCCTCCACCAGCATCACATACAATAAAGTGTGCATCGTTCGGCTCTTCATCCCTTTTTTCAAAATATTCGATCATTCTCTTCATATAAAACAATGCTGCTGCCTCAGGTTCACTGATTATAAGAAGCTGGTTGACATCATTTTTTTTAATCATTGTAGCTTTAATTGCAGCTTGCGCCATGGTATTGCGGGCTAATGAATTCCACATAGCAGGTACAGTAATCACATATCTAATCTTGTATTTTACCTTAAGCCTTGCCTCGTTATAGTGATAAACATTATCATTCGTTTCTTTAGCAACGATGTACTCAAAGACATGCTTTTGGAACACTTGAAGATAATCAGCAATAATGCGGACTGCACACACTTCGTTTTCCGGGTTTCCGTCACCAACAAATCCTCCTTGTCCTTTCGGTTCTTCCAAAGATTCCGGACATAAAAACAGTTTAAAGTGTTCTAGAAGGTTGCGATCTTTATGACGCTTAGCTTGAATTCTTGCTTCTTCACCCCAATATATGGGCTTCATTCTTTTATCGTACATTAATAAAGTCGGGCTCTTTCCAAAATGTTTTGTATTGCCTCCTGGCCTGCAATCATCAATTAAAGTATTGTTAGATTTTTATAAACCCTTGTATTTTTATATTACCAATCCACTTTTTTGGTCTTAAATTTTTTTTTATCCACAGGCTTTCCATTTTTGTCTCTAAGTTGAACATAAGAACATCCAGAAAAAGTGGTACCAAAATCTAAAAGCAAAAAGAAGCCTAAGTTATGTCTAGAATCTCTTTTTTTATATTCTTATTACTAACCAATTCCAACAATAAAGTCATAAGCATCATTTTCATTGTTTCTATCACCAGAATTACACAATAATGTTTCTCGTAATGAGAGTCTTCTATCAGAGAATTGGAATGTGTGTTTATTATAAAGAGAGGAGAAGGGCGTTTGAGACTTGTAGGTGCTTAGTCTTGAAGAGACAGCGCCCGAGGAAACCCTTTCAATTGAATCTTTAACAATAGAATGATGATACTTCAACTTACCCCTATTTCTGATTATAAGATTTTTAATAAAGTTTCCATTGACCCCATAACTTCCAGAGAAAAACATTTTGCATTGACGATAAGTTTCATCAATTTCTGATACAAATTCCGCTAAGCTTTCGATGAATGGTTCTAAGACGATACGATTTAGATCTTCATACGTAAAATTAATAGGATTCCCATCAATATCCTCTTGTGAGATGGCAGTCTCTGTCTTGATGTCTGTATGAAATCCATACTAGTAAAAAAAAATAGTTTAGATAGAGAAAAATAAATAAAATGCAAATATTATAGGTATTTACCTTGGCGTTTTCGGAAAACGTCTGAACAAATTGATCAATGAGTGAATGATTTATATTTAACTTCGTCATATTTTTTAACAAATATATTTTGAACTTGATGCCTAGATTTATTGAGATTTTTACGATGTTATCACAAACATTTGTAATAGTACTAAGGGATTCCGTGGAAGCCGCATGAATCTTTGCTATTCCAATAGATATATCACCTAAATCAACAACAAAATAATCTTGGTCCTGTTGAATTCCGGTTGTGTTTCTGTCAAGGGAAAGTTGATAATGAGCTATAGCGACAGCTTTGATGGCAAATGAAAGTCGGCGCTCAGCTTCAGACTCCTCGATAATTCCTGCCTCAATAAAGCAGTCTTTCATAAATTCTTGTCGATCGGTTGGACAAACGAGGCAATAACAAACAGTTTTAATGTCTTCATCAATAAACTCTTCGTTAACAAACTCTTGGAAGTGCTCATTTTTTACAAGTTTGTCATGGACCTGTAACCTTTTGAGAGCAATTTGAATAAAATATTTCAAATAGTCAATCATAACTTTTTTAACGGTTAAACCATCCATCAGTTCACCAAGCTTTTCATTTGAAGCATCAATGTCTACAAGATATTGACTGATCTTATCTATGTAAACACCTGTACCACCGACAGACACAGGTTTAATACCGCATAATGGGGAATCATTCTCATTTTTCAGGTACAGAATTGAAGAATGGAATTTTTGAGAGATTCTCTTGGAATCGTCCCTATGTAAAGCCTTTAATAATCTTTATAGACGTAACATATTATTTTAAAATGTAAGATACCAAGATGAAACGGTAATAATATTTGATGGGTCGTTTACATGAGCTATCGAGACCCCTGAAGCAGTAGTCCCTAAATCTGTTGTATAAAATGTTATAATATTTGATTGGGTAGCCGAATTTTTGCTACTAACCTATTCCGACAATGTATTCTATCGGATTTAAAGTAATCATGCTTTTAGAAGAAAATAAAAATGAGAAGAAGTAGAAAAAGGAATATCAAAAAGCCTAAATTATACATATCATTCTGCGGTCCTGTCATAGGTCAGACACTTTGATGTCGCACACAATTATGTATTACAATGACTCAGCCAAATAATAGATGAAGCCAAATGGTTAAGGAAAAAAAAAGTACGTAGAAAAGAAAAAAACGTAGGTGTAGACATTCTCCTCTTTAAACCAAACAACCAAAAATGTTGTGGTATTTAGCCATATTATACCGTAGTCGAATTAGGTTACACGATCACAACCCACAACAATTGACATTATTGTGACTACTAATAACCTCATATAAAAGCAGAAATTAACTATTCAACTAGACGGATCCTCCTTATCTTTTTATTATTATAAAAAAAACAATAAAGTTATCAAAAGTTTCATTTTATTTCTTGACCCATAATTATCACAAATGTCACACTTTTTAAAATCTCGTAAAAAAAATGGAAAATTATGTAACCAGCTTATCAACTTTACACATGAGGACTCTTATAAGGAATTATCTTACAAGGCGCAGATCTAACAATGAGTAATTGCCTATGTGTTTGTGAGCAATATGAAATAACTAAATTATGCTAAACGGGCCTCTTAGGGACAATCAGGGTGCGCGTAGTCGTAATGTTAGTTTATGGTACTTTAATAGACACCAAGAGGTCAATATAACTTATCGTCTTGAACTGAATACAATTTATTACAAACAACATATGGTAAACCAGTATGTGTGAGTTATAGTTTATTTTCAGCTTCTCATTTGGCCTTTACCTTAATAATTTAGTGGAAGATTAAAATCAAACGAGCTTAAAGGCGAAAGAGTGACGAAAGAATTGTCAAAACAAGTATAAATCATTCAATATATATTTATTCGTAATTATCACATTGTTCTTGATTACATATTCTTGTTTCCAGATCGAAAGGACAGGTAAATCACAGATCTTACGTTGTGACTATGTGCACTTTGGATGTCCCTAAGAAAAGCGTATGCTACATAGTAAAGTAAAAATAACTTACAGACCTAAAAGTACTCCATATGATTACCATCGGAACATAGTGTTGACAGCACTAAAAGTGCTCTTTTCAATCATCTCCGGCGATATTCGTTACATGCAATAACAACTCACTTAGGAGCATAAACTAAAAAGCTATGATCGCCGGAAAAAAAAAAGATTAGCGTCATGGTAGTTGAAATATTCCAAGAAATAAACGGTTAAATTATTTGAGACTAAAACTAGATATCTTTTTATTAAATGAAAAAGGGGATCCTTTTCATAAGAAAGGGTTCAAAAAGATTATTATCCGGGAAGATCAGATGGGAGCGTGGATTGGAAGTAGACATTAATATCTTGATCAGTTAATGCTCTATGTTTCAGATAGTCTGGATATATACTGTGTATATATCAGTAGTAAAGGCGTGCGTGAAGAATAACTCACCTCGGCAATGCTACTAATTGTCGTGCCAGTCGTATACCATACCACACTCTATTAACATACGCTTCCAGTGATACAGCAAGTCGCGATAATATCGTTACATGCAATAACACCTCACTTGGGAACATACACTGGAAAGCAATGATCGCCAGTATATTCCCTTGTCATAGAATGAGCATAGTTTTGGAAATCTGTTAAAAAAAAAAGATTAGCGTCATAGTAGTAAAGGCGTGTGTGTAGAATAACTCACCTTTGGTAAGGCCAATAATTGTCGAGCCAGTCGTATACCATACCATACTCTAATAACATGCGCTTCCAGTGATACAGCAAGTCGCGATAATATCGTTACATGCAATAACACCTCACTTGGGAACATGTACTGGAAAGCAATGATCGCCAGTATAGTCCCTTGTCATAGAATAAGCACAGTTTTGGAAATCTGATAAAAAAGAAGATTAGCGTCATGGTAGTAAAGGCGTGTGTGTAGAATAACTCACCTTCGGTAATGCCAATAATTGTCGTGCCAGTCGTATACCATACCACACTCTATTAACATACGCTTCCAGTGATACAGCAAGTCGCGATAATATCGTTACATGCAATAACACCTCACTTGGGAACATACACTGGAAAGCAATGATCGCCAGTATAGTCCCTTGTCATAAAATGAGCACAATTTTGGAAATCTGATAAAAAAAAAGATTAGCGTCGTGGTAGTAAAGACGTTCGTGAAGAATAACTCACCTTCGGTGAGGCTAATAATTGTCGTGCCATTCGTATACCATACCATACTCTATTAACATACGCTTCCAGTGATACAGCAAGTCGCGATAATATCGTTACATGCAATAACACCTCACTTGGGAACATACACTGGAAAGCAATGATCGCCAGTATAGTCCCTTGTCATAGAATGAGTAAAGTTTCAGCAGCCCATTTTTGATAATAATTGCCGCAAATGTATTTCTTCACTAATTTAAACTTGAACTTGGATTTGGATTCGCCTAAATGACTAATACTCGTAATAATTCTGCCTGTATTGTACAACTACAAAAACTTAAGAAGAAAAACAGATTAGGGGGATTCATATAAAAAAAAAGTATAATTCTTGTAATCAATAAAAACTTCGGAAATGTCTAGAACTCCGTATTTTCTTCAAACGTATTTTTTTTAGAATCACGTGAAGGTCTACACATAAGTCTTTACGTCGATTGACCTGCCCTATCGTCTAAACTTTATAGGATGATCGATTTTCGTTTTCTATAGAATCTGCTTCACTGTCATTACAAGCTACTAATGGAACGCAGATAGACAATTACCTAATTCTGACTTGCTTGGGAAGTTTTTGCAGACATTATGGATGATGAAACAAACAATGAAATCATTCTGACATAAGCTCTTGTTTATCAGCCTATGAATAAAGCTGGTTCACACACTTTTTTCTTCTCCTTTTCTTTTCCCTTAACATATTTCTTCAATCTTATGAAAGTAACCAAGCATGTTAAAAGGTTAGTTGGTAATGACTCTTGTTTCTTTAAAAAGACACTAAATTAAAAAAGATTTATTGCAATATTGCGGCTGCGGCTAGTCTTTGCTATAGGAGGGTGACCTTCTAAGCAGGGTTCTTGAGTTCTTCGAACTCGCAGCCTGTGAATAACAGGAGCTGCACTGTAAATAGGCGCGATCATACTGGCCTGCTGGCCTTAACCAGAATTCCTGTGTGGTAAAAAAAAATACGTTTGAAAAAAAAATACGGAGGTCTAGACACTTCCAATAAATTGCGTATTATAATTTCGTTTTGCTAATGGAATTTTCTGGATAAGAATTGACAAACTATGTTAGAGAGACTGATTCTCCTTCATTCAAGGAATTTATTAGCTCTAATTCTATGAATATCGCGCGTTGGTCAGCCGACAGCAATGTTGAAGCAGCTGACCTTTATTCTACGTGGCGTCGAAGATTTGCTCTTTCGCTAAAGGATTTCCAAAAACTTGATAGTGCTTCAACGAGGTAAAAGTATATAATTAGGATATGTAATAAGTGTTTAACCTTTGCTTCGTAGTAAAAGATACGATGAAAAGCACTGGGTTCAAATCGCCAAAATGGCGAAGACACTGGTAAAGTCCAAAACCTAGCTATGCGAACTACAGCTAATATTTCCTTAATCTTTCACTTATACAGGCTGAGGCTTCTTTTGTCACCAGAATCGAGATGTTGGAAGCAATGATAGCTGCTGCACCAACTTCGTCCAGTATCTTAAAACAACTACTCGTCAGCCAAAAGGACGAGCATACACAGCAGCAAACTCAAGAGCAAGACGTACGACGAGAGAAAGGAAAAGAAGTCGAACAAAAGTTACAACAGCAGCAATCTTCTGAAGAACGTCAGTACAAAGATGTAGTGTTCGGAATGAAGATCGAAACTCTCGAGTGAGCTTCGATCGTGTTCCAGTCGAAACTCGCTCGAATGCGTTTTTTCGAAGATCGAACTCGCGCGAGTTTTTGTAAATTCAGCTCGGTTACATTATCGAGTGCTCGAGTTCAAAAACTCGGTTCGAGCTTTTTTCGAACTTGCGCAAGATCGGTGCAAGCTTGAAAAGTTTTAATACTTGGAGGGCGTATATACTTGCCAGGACATAAGAAGGTAAATGCGAGTATCGGTTTTAATCTTTTGAGCTACTAATTTTTTTTTTTTTTTTTTTGGCTTTTTTCTAGGCTGGGAATTTCAAGGATTGCAAATACAATCAATCCAACAATCAGAAACTTGATTCTCAACAATCTTGATGATAATGAGAAACAAGTTTTTTATGAAAAATGCTCTGAATCTCCTTTATCAAGCTTAGAACCAGACATTTCTACTACAATTGATAGTATTCTAAAAGCTGATGAATCCGGCCAGCCAAAATTGTACTCAATGGAAGATATGGATGACTTGTTGGATCAGATACAGACCAAGAAGGCCGAATGCAGCAGAAGCAAGCAACGAGATACCCAGCTGTATCAAGTTTTATGTTGTATGGAAATGATGTAAGACTAAAGCTATTAGTATACTTTATTCACTATTCAATTACTTATTTTTACGCGCTAGAATTGAGTCATTTGATTTATGGGATGACGATGATAATGCAAGCGAGATGACCCATTATCGCAGAGTCGCTTCGCTTTTAGACGTTGTCTTTAAAAAAACAGGCATCAGACTTCATGAGTAAGTGTATAACTACTATTTATGATACATAACACATTAAGTTAATCATTTCATACATTTTTACTATTGTTTCAGCGGTGAGACCGGATCCAAGTCTACGAAACTTGAACGAGAAACAAATAAGGCCATTTTCCATACAAAGGATACGTCCCCCACCTATCCAAGAAAGATTGATTTATTATTGAAATGTAATGACGCAAAGACTGATATCGAAATGTCGTCTAATGAATGGAAACGTGCTTCTGTCAGCAAAAATGTCCAACTCATGCAGCAATGCAAAAATTTGAGGATCAATACAGTAATCCTGAAAAACTTGAAAAAATTAGGTGTAAATAAAACATTGTCAATGGATTGGACTGGTAAGAAATATGAATATTGTAACAATGACATTAGCTAGTTATTAACTGCTGCTTAAGGAAATTCTGGTTATATTTATCAGCTGGAGTGGTGCCCAGACCAGGAAGTTTATTTAGCGAGCAATTGTATAATTGTTCAACTGCCCTCAAGTCCATTGCTGTTGTTTGATTTAAAACCCACATTAGAATCATTTTTCGGACTTAAGGTATGTTGAAGACGTTCGGGATAAAGAAAGCTATTATTAATAATTATCTTTAGCTTTCTCTACTTCAGGATGCCAAGATTATCAAAGCCTCTTTACAAGTTCAGAAACAAAAAAAGAATATGCAAGGTGTAGCTGATTCATGTTCGCTGAGTATTAGAACTCCAGCGTCTACTTCTCTTCTGAATTTTTTATCATCACTGTTGAGGATATCATAGATATAATAATAAAGTTAATTGTCACATCACATTAAGGATGGATGATAAATATAAAAGTTAATCATGGATCACACATTACCCCGCTTGTTCTCATCCTACCGTTGGAGTCTGTACACAGGGCACATCCCTGTGGCGAGTAAATTTTTATTCTGCAAAAAGCAATACAATCGAATGGGCCTGGACCATAGAATATTAATAGATCCTGAGCACAAATATTAGTCTTGTCATTTGATGTTATAACTGTTGATCCCTCTGACTAATATTTATATACTCAGTATGGAAGGGTTAAATTTAAAGACATGTTGATTATTTACTATCACCAGATTATTACATCATGATCCAATAAGGCGCTTAATATTCTCCCTAAAACTATCCCATTTCTTTATATAAATATCCATAGTTTTTTCTCATAGAAAAAAAAAACAGATTTAATACGTTTTTTAATTATATTTTTTCGTCCATAATAAAGTGGTATCCAAGTTCTAACAGTATCACTTTTTTGGTTTATTTTATTTTGTTCTCCATGCAACAATCACCTACCTTCTCTCCAGTATCATCACCATATTCACTATCTTCCAACGAAGCATATCCACATGAGCCGTTTGTATGTTTTACTCCAAGGAACAACCGTATTAAGTGAATCCGCTTATTGACAGAGGACGATGATGATGATTTCGATGACCCAAATAATGATATCTATGCCGCTTTTTGAAGTGCATATCCCCAAAGTTTTTTAATCTTTTACGTATTAATTATCCATTGTATAAATTTTATTAAAATGTCAAAGGCAATAAAATTCACTTTCTTTGTGTATCTTACGAACAGGTTGTTTTATACTACTCATGCAAAAATAATATATCTGGCCATGACTCAACTTGGTCAATTGAAAGATATATTGGGCTTTCCAAGAAATATACCGAGCGATCAAACAACTTATTACATATGCTGGAGTTTGTATTTGGGTCTTAATTTTGATGTGTTCAAACGTAAACCAGTTTAATCTTTGTTTACGAATCTTATGATTATTATGAAACCTGTTTATTTGTGGGAAAGTTTATTCTGTTCATTGGAGGTGGATTCTAAAATTTCTTTTTTTGTTCTAGCTTCAATCACAACAATCACAACAAAAAGAAGTAAATTCCCAGAGGTTTTTTAGCAGTGACAAACCAAGTCCAACAATAAGATCACAGGCACCATTTCCATTGTTATCATCATCAGTAGATTCACTGGGCACTGTTTCTGGTAAGGACCATTTCCTACCCAAACATTGGGACTGTTGATTATCGTTAAGAGAGAAAGGGGTTTGAGATTTGCAGGTGTTTAGTCTTGAAGAGACAGCACTCGAGGAAACCATTCCAAATGAATCTTCAATAATAGAGTGACGATACTTCAACTTACCCTCATCTCTGGCTAAAAGATTTTCAATAAAGTATGGTGCATTAACATCATACGTTTCAACGAAAAAAATTTTGCAGTGACCATGAGCTTCATCAGCTTTTGATACAAATTCAGCTATGCTCTCGATAAATGGTTTTAAGACAATTCTGTCTAAGTCTTCATACGTAAACTCAATGGGATTTCCATCAATATCATTATGTGATATAACAGTTTGTGTTGGGGTATACATGTCAAATTTATACTGGTAAAACAGAAAAGTGGTTGAGATAAAGAAAAATAGATATAAATAAAAATATTTACCTTCTTCATTTTTTCGGAAAAGGTCCGGACGAGTTGATCAATGAGTAAATTATCTAATTTTAACGCTGTCATATTTTCTATCAAATAGTCTTTGAACTTGATGCCTAGATTTAGTAAGCCTTGTCTGATATCGTCAGAAATTCCCGTAACAGTACTCAGCAATTCAGTGGAAGCGGCATGAATTCTTGCAATTCCAATAGAGATGTCGCTTATGTCTAAAACAAAATAATACTGATCGTTTTCAATTCCGGTCTCTTTTCTGTCACGGGAAAGTTGGTAATGAGCTATAGCAACAGCTTGGATGACAAATGAAAGTCGGTGCTCAGCTTCAGACGCCTCGATAATTCCTGCCTCGATAAAGCAGTCTTTCATAAATTCTTGTCGATCGGTTGGACAAACGAGGCAATAGCAAACGGTTTTAATATTTTCATCAATGAAATTTTCGTTAACAAAGTCTTGGAAGCGCTCGTTTTTGATAAGTTTGTCTTGGACCTGTAACCTTTTGAGGGCAAGTGGAATAAAATATTTCAAATAGTCAATCATAACTTTTTTAACGGTTAAACCATCCATTAGTTGACTAAGCTTTTCATTTGAAGCATCGATATCAACAAGATATTGAGTGATATTAGCTACATAAACACCTCTATCATTTACATCGTCGTGTTCGATGCCGCATAATGGGGTATTGTTCTCATCTTTCAGGTACAGAACTGATGAAAGAAAATATTTAGAAGATTCCTTCAAATCGTCCCTATCTTAAGCTGTAAGTAGCTATTATAAACGTTGAAAACATCTTAATTCAAAATGTAAAGTACCAGCTTAAAACAGTAATAATATTAAACGGGTCGTTTACATGGGCTATCGAGACCTTTGAGGAGGTAGTTCCTAAATCTGTGAAATAAATTGTCGTAAGATTTATCTGAGCAGTTGAAATAACACCACTAACCTATTCCTACGATGTATTCTATCTGATTCAAACTAGCCATGCCTTTAGGAGATAAAAATGGGGGAAATATTAAAAAAATAATAAAAAGCCTATTATTATATTATCTCGTCCTTCAGTCGGAAGTTGCTCTACGGTGTCGTACATAGCTATGTGCTACCACGACTCAGCCAAATAATGGACGGAGCCAGATTGTTAAGGAAGTTTGAGCAACCCCAGTTTTCTAATGATGTTCGGATGGATTCATCGTGAGGAGACTTTTTTTTTCCTCTTTAGTGCTCGTGTTATGCATATCTGTAGTTTTTCAATGCTTATTAAATCGTTCAGTGCTCCGAAGACCGTAGCATTCTTTGATTGAATTATATAGATGAGAATATAGGTTCTCAATTCGTTTCATATATTTCAAGATTTAATTTCTTTATAATATGCCTTGAGTCATAGATTCATGTTCAGACTTAGGGTTAGTAAAAGCATTATTTCCAGGAACTGTTATCGCACTGGTATCATACTTTATTCTTTTTGGCCAGACAAATGTTTGTAGATGTAAGCAGCTCGTCAACACCAGGTCTTGATTTACACGTAACAGTTGATGGTTCATCCTCCTCGTGTATAGACACCCAGATAAGTAGTTTAATGCATAAATGATTCCTTTAATTCTTTTCTTGTCTTAACTTATTTAAGCCCACGCTAGAGATACTGCAATTTATATAGTCAGTCAAAGATTGAAATCCACTTATATAGTTACCACATCTTCGCAGAATGTTCGCTTTACAGTCGATGTTCGTCCAAATGCGGCTGCTACGACTTAGAAGCTAGGGTAAAAAGTATCACCCCAACACGAGGCAAGGAGCATTAGTACTGATGATTCTCATGTTGTGAATTGTGGGTAGGCAGCAGGGGTTTAACTGAAATCAAGTTCTTTTGTCACTTTAGAATTTATTTTTATTTTTAGGTCGGGATATGCTTCCACCTTCAAACCAACTTTTTTTTAGTTGGCATCTAAGAGAAGCACTTGTAATTCACTTTTATTATCTAGTTAACACAAAAATAAAGCTATCTTGTTGAATTTTACCACTTCAGGTAAATATCTGGCCGATGTATGTCGCATGTCCCATTTTATAATAAGGGATGCATTATGTTTTATATAATTTTGGCACTATAATAAAACTTCTTGTTCCTATATAATCACTTTTTTTTTGAGCTGTTAGGGAACAAACTAATCTAACTCACTTTACTTTTATTGCTTTTGTAAGGCCTCTCTAATGTTAAACAGATAGTCGGTTTTTTTTAATGAATATGAGACCAGCGGCCGTTTGAAGCGTGCTACATTTGGGCTACATATGTGCTTAATTTCAAGAGAGGACCTTCGATTTTTGGTGATTTTTCGAACTTCTGCATTAATTAGTTGATCTTTACATTCGATACCAACAGTGACTTTAATATGCGTCATTTGAAGAATGATCGTGAAGTGAATTAATCTCCCATCTATTCCAACTATATTTGGCATGATAATTTTGACTTCCGCTATTTTTGCATGACTCTTAGTAAGGTACCTATTGTTAGCATCTTTAGAGTCACAAGAGAAGATTGCTTACATGAAAATTAGCCAGTTGTAAGGGTTTAATCACAATGAATATAAGTACCTATTACTGCAGCGTTGGGATATAGAACATATACATCTTTCTTATATACCGTGTGTTGCCCGCTATTTAAGATATGGCCTTTTTTTACAAAATATTCTATACGGTCTTTTTCAAAATTCCAATCTCCATCGGGACCTTTCACTATCCTCTTACTTGAAACTGGTAAGATTTTATCAAATGGTGCCTGTACCTCTAATCCAAGGGATTGTGTAGCAGTTGTTCTTAATATCGTACGCGGATTTAGGCCGTAACATACTGCACCGTAGGATATAGTTTCAACACATCCGGTAGGAAAGCTTACACGATACATACCTTTATACCTGTCTTTGATGCTTTGTTTCAAGTATGGGGATTGAGAAAAACCACCGACCATCAGAATTGCGTCAATTCGTCTGTCTAGTTTTTTAGCTTGGCTTAACTGATCATCGATAAGGTAAAAAATACGATCAACTACTGGGTCGAATATTTGCTCTTTCATAACTTGGTTCTTCATTTTCAGCGTTTTATTCGCATTAGTCATCCTATAGGTAGAATCGCTAGTATAATTTCTAATTCCCTTTCCAGGCAAATTAATATCGTAATAAGAGCCGTCTTGCAAATTAGGCATAAATTTAAGCTACATTTTTTAAAAATTAGTTAGGAAGAGCTATATCCACATAATAAAAGATCTGTTACCTTATAATTTTTCACAAAATCATTCATTACACCGTCAAGAAGGATATTTTCTTTGTCTATATCTACTCCAAAGCTCTTATAAAATTTGTGGAGATAATTTTTAAATCTCACGTCAAGAGAAGTTGAACCGCAGATATCACCAATACCGTCACCGATTTGACAGATTATTGGTTTTGTGGTAGGTGTACCGCCTTCTTCATTGTTAAGCTGTAAATTAAATGTGACCAGATCTACAGTTCCTTCACCAGCATCACATACAATAAAGTTCGTATCGTTCAATTCTTCATCTTCTTTTTTAAAGTTTTCGGTCATTCTCTTCATACAGAACAATGCTGCTGCCTCAGGTTCACTGATAATAAAAAGCTGGTCGATCTCATCTTTTTTAATAATTGTAGCCTTAATTGCAGCTTGCGCCATGGTATTGCGGGCTAATGAATTCCACATAGCAGGTACAGTAATCACGTATTTAATCTTGTGTTTTTTCAAAAGCCTTGCCCTGGTAAAATAACCAAATTTTTCCTCCATTTCTTTACTAACGATATACTCAATAACATGATTTTTGAAAAGCTTGAGATAATCAGCTATAATTTTGACCACATCCGTTACGTTTTTTGGGGTTCTGTCATCAACAAAACCTCCTTGTCCTTTCAGTTCTTCCAGATTATCAGTGCGATCATAAAAATTCTCCAAAGATTTTGGACATAAAAACAATTTGAAATTTCCTAAAAGGTCGAGGTCTTTATGACGTTTGGATTCAAGTCTTGCTACTTCGCCCCAATATTGTGGATTCATGTTCATATCGTACATTAATAAGGTTGGGGTCTTTCCGAACGTATTTAAATTGCCTCCTGGCCTACAATTATCCATTAAAATTATGCTCGATTTTCGAAATTCTTGCACTTAACATTACCACCCCGTTTTTATGGTCTTGATTTCTTTGGTATCCACAGGTATTCCACTCTTATCCTTAAGTTGAACATAAGAGCACCCAGAAAAAATTGTACCAAAATCTAAAAGCAAAAAAGAAACTATTAAATAAAACTAGGTTATGCCTAGGAATGTTTTAGCCTTTACGAACCAATTCCAACAATAAAGTCATAGGCATCATTTTCATTGTTATTATCAGTAGGTTCCTCTATCGTTGTTTCTCGCAAGGGCCCTTTTTTATCAGAAAATAGGGGCTGGTGTTCATCATTAAAAAAGAAGGAGATTTGAGATTTGTAGGTGCTTATTTTTGAAGAGACAGCGCCCGAGGAAACTCCTTTAGCATGATAATATAATTTCAACCTACCCTTCTCTCTGGCTATAAGATTTTCAACAAAGTATTCACCAATACTACCATTTGCAGAGAGAAACATCTTGTGTTGACCATGAGTTTTATTTGCTTTTGCTACCAATTCATGTATGCCCTCGATAAATGGGTTCAAGACAATTCTATTTAAATCTGCATATGTAAATTCAATAAGATTTCCATCAACATTCTTTTGTAAGATAGCAGTCCTTGTTGGAGTATTCATATTAAACCTATACTTAAAAGAAAAAAATGAAAATAAAAAAAAAGTGGTTGAGATAAAGAAAAATAAATAAAGACATGTATCTACCTTAATTTTGTCGGAAAAAGTCTGGATAAGTTGATCAATGAGTGAAGTATCTAATTTTAACGCTGTCATATTTTCTATCAAATATTCTTTGAACTTGATGTCTAGATTTAGAAAGCCTTGTGTGATATCGTCAGAAATTCCCGTAATAGTACTCAGCGATTCAGTGGAAGCGGCATGAATTCTTGCAATTCCAATAGAGATGTCGCTTATGTCTAAAACAAAATAATACTGATCGTTTTCAATTCCGGTCTCGTTTCTGTCAAGGGAAAGTTGGTAATGAGCTATAGCAACAGCTTGGATGACAAATGAAAGCCGGTGCTCAGCTTCAGACTCCTCGATAATTCCTGCCTCAATAAAGCAGTCTTTCATAAATTCTTGTCGATCGGTTGGACAAACGAGGCAATAACATATAGTTTTAATATCTTCTTCAATAAACTCTTCGTTAGCAAATTCTTGAAAGTACTCATTTTTAATAAGTTTGTCGTGAACCTGTAATCTTTTGAGGGCAAGTTGAACAAAATCTTTCAAATAATCAGTAATAACTTTTCTGACGGTTAAACCATCCATCAGTTGGCCAAGCTTTTCATCTGAAGCATCGATGTCAAGAAGATATTGACTGATGTTATCTACGTAAACACCTACATCATTGGCATCGTCGCGTTGCATACCACATTTTGGGGTATCGTTCCCATCCTTCGAGTACAGAATTGAAGAAAAAAATGTTTCAGAAGGTTCTTTCGAATCGTCCCTATCCTAAGCTGTTAGTAACTTTGATAAACACAAAATTGTTTGAGAAAGTCGCGTACCAGGATAAAACGGTAATGATATTAAATGGATCATTTACATGAGCTATCGAGACCCCTGAAGTGGTGGCTCCCAAATCTGTTGTATAAAATGTCATAAGATTTGTCTGAGCAGCTGAAATATTACTACGAACCTATTCCGACGATGTATTCTATCTGATTTAAATGAGCCATGCTTTTTAAAGGAAGAAAAAGTTGGGGAAAAGTAGAAAAATGATATCGGAAAGCCTATCCTCGTGTCATCCAGTCAAAAGTCACTCTTTGGTGTCACACATAACTGTGTGTTACCGCAACCCAAATAGTAGATAAAGTCAAATAAATGAGATAGTAGTATGAGCAAATTCAGTTGTTATTGATGTCCGGATGAAATTTACCATAATAGATTTTTTTCCCTCGGTCACACATTTCTATAAATCTTTAATTTTGTTTAAATCGGACAGTGTTCCATGGGCCATAGTATTCTTTAATCGGATTACATTTAGGAGACTGTTGATTTTCAAAGTCGTATTATAGATTATAAGGCTAATACACTCCCCTTAAAATATTGCTTGATTTGTGTTTTACACCCTAACTTGGGCAAGTAGCATAAGTTCTAAGAAGTCTTATCACATTATAGCCAGTTCTTTCTTAAAACAGAAATTTACGTCCGTTTGACGCTTATGTGGTGTTTAAGTAAAACAATCCCAAAAGACAAATAAGACAAAATATGAGAATAACTGAACACCGTTGATAAAGTTTTATTTTGATGGAAAGTTATCTTAAAATAATATTTTAATATTGAAGGAATAGGATATAAGAACATAGTATAATAAGTATACTAATTTATTATAGTGTATTCTTGCAATATTTTAGTTGAATGGATATTTTAGTGTAAAGTAGATAATACAAGTGTATCTGATACTATATCACGATTATGATTAATTAACAAGTGTGTCAAATCATTACAGATTGCCACACCAGGGCTACACTTGAGATTTATTTTAAGAGACGACCTTTGATTATTGGTGATCTTTTGAACTTCTGTGTTAATTAGTTGATCTTGGCATTCAATCGTAACACTGGCTCCAATATGCTCTATTTGAAGATTAACTGTGAAGTAAATTAATCTTCCATCTATCCCAATAATATACGGCATGATAATTTTTGCTTCCGCTATTTTAACATGACTTTTAGTAAGGTACCTATTGTTAGCATCTTCTTTAGAGTCACAAGAGAAGATTGCTTACATAAACATTAGCCGGTTGTGAGGGTTTACTTACAATGAGTTTAAGTACCTATTACTGCAGCGTTGGGGTATAAAACAAATACACCTTTTTTATACAATCCTGATCGCTCATATTCTAATTCTTGACCCATTGTTACGAAATAATCCAAACGACCTGTTTTAAAAAGCCTGCCTCTGTCGGGACCTTCGGTTTTCCTTTCTTCTAAACTCGTCGAACTGTCAATAAAAGTTGCCTGTATCTCTAATCCAAGGGATTGTCTGGTAACTTTTTTTGATATTATATGAGGATATGAATCATAAGATATCGATCTGTGAGAAATAGCCGTAACACCTTCGAGAGGTACCCTAACATGGCAGATACCCTTATACTGGTTTCTGATACATTGTTGCAAGTATGTAGATTGGGAAAAGCCCCCGACCATCAAAATTGAGTCAATTCGTCTGTCTACTTTTTTTGCTTGGTTTAACTGGTAATCGATAAGGCAAATAATACGATCAACTACAGGATCAAATATTTGCTCTTTCATATCTTGGCCCTTCATTCTCAGCGTCGTATTTCCATTAGCCATCATATAGGTATAAGTGCCGGTAAAATTTCTTATTCCCTTTCCGGGCAATTTGATATCGTAATAAGAGTCGCCTTGCAAATCAGGCATAAAGTCAAGCTACATTATTAAAAATTTAGTTAAAAAGAGCTATATATTCACATAATAGAATATCTGTTACCTTAATTTTTTTTACAAAATCCTGCACAACACTGTCAAGTACATTATCGTCTACTTTATATCCAAGGGCTTCATAAAAGTTATACATATAATATTTAAATCTTAAGTCAAGACAAGAGGAACCGCAAGTATCACCCACACCGTCACCAATTTGAGAAATCATCGGTTTTGTGCCTTCTTGTCCGTTAAGCTGTAAATTAACTGTAACCAAATCTACAGTTCTTTTACCAGCATCACATACAATAAAGTTCGTATCGGTCATTTCTTCTTCCTCTTTTTTAAGTTTTTCAGTGCATCTCTTCTCACAGAACATTAATGCCGCCTCGGGTTCACTAATTATGAGAAGCTGGTTGGCCTCATCTTTTTTGATTATTGCGGCTTCAATCGCAGCTTGCGTCATGATATCGCGGGCTGATGAATTCCAAATAGCACGTACAGTAATTACATATCGTATCTTGTGTTTTTTCAAATAATTTACCCTTTTAGAAAAACTATATGGGATAATTTCTTTGGTGACGATGTGCTCGATAATATGCCTTTTAAAACGCTTGAGATAATCAGCAATAGCTCTGACCGCATCAACTTTGTTTTCTAAGGCTCCGTCATCATTAATTCCTCCTTGTTCTTTCAGTTCGTCCGGATCATTAGCGCGACCATGAGAATTCTTCGAAGATTCCGGATATAAAAACAATTTGAAATTTCCCAAAAGGTTCAGATCTTTATAACACTTGTCTTGAAGTTTTGCTTCTTCACCCCAATATTTTAGTCTCATATTCTTATCGTACATCAACAAGGTTGGGGCATTTCCGAATTTATTCAGATTGCCTCCTGGCCTATAATCATTAATTAGAGACTATGTTGTTAAAGTATAAAAAAACTATTTCATTTAATATTACCAACTCCCTTTAAAGGTCTTGATTTCTTTTATATCCACAGGTTTAATGTCCTTGCCGTTAAGTTCGACATAAGAGTACCCAGAGAAAGCGGTACTAAAATCTGTAAGCAATAAAGAAACAAAAAACAAAAAAAAGATAAATTATGGCTAGGTTTTTTTTTTCTTTTTTATCTTTACAAACCAATTCCAACAACAAAGTCGTAACCCGCACTTCCATTGTTACCATCAGTGAATTTCTCGGACACTGCTTCTGGTAAGAACAAGTCTTTATCAGAAAATAGGGACCGGTGTTGACCATTAAGAGAGAAGGGCGTTTGAGATTTGTAGTTATTTAATATCGAAGAGACAGCGCCCGAGGAAACCATTTCAAGTGAATCTTCAACAATAAAATCATAAAACTTCCACTTACCCTTATCTCTTTCTAAAAGATTTTTAACAAAGTATGCATCAGAACCATAATTTCTAAAGAGAAAAATCTTGCAGTGACCATGAGTTTCGAAAGCTTTTGAGACAAATTCGGCTATGCTCTCGATAAATGGTTTTAAGACAATTCTGTTTAAATCTTTATACGTAAATTCAATAAGATTGCCATCAACATCCTCTTGTGAGATAGCAGTCTCTGTCGGGGTATCCATATTAAATTTGTACTGGTAAAAAAAATGTGGTTGAGATAACGAAAAATATATAAAGACATGTATTTACCTTCATTTTTTCGGAAAGAATATGGACAAATTGATTGATGAGTGAAGTATCTAAATGTAAGTCTGTCATATTTTTGATCAGATACTCTTTAAACTTGATTTCTATATTTATTGAGCTTAGTGTAATATCGTCAGAAATTACTGTAACAGTACTAAGGGATTCGGTGGAAGCCGCATGAATTTTTGCTATTCCAACAGAGATACCGCTTACATCTAAAACGAAGTAATCTTGGCCGCTTTCAATTTTAGTCTCGTTTCTGTCACGGGAAAGTTGGTAATGAGCTATAGCGACAGCTTGGGTGACAAATGAAAGCCGGTGCTCAGCCTCAGACTCCTCAATAATTCCTGCCTCGATAAAGCAATCTTTCATAAATTGTTGTCGATTGGTTGGACAAACGAGGCAATAACAAGCAGTTTTTATGCCTTCATCAATAAACTCTTCGTTGGCAAATTCCTGAAAGTTCTCATCTTTAATAAGTCTGTCATGAACCTGTAACCTTTTGAGAGCAAGTTGAGCAAAATATTTCAAATAATCAGTAACAACTTTTCTGACGGTTAAACCCTCCATCAGTTGACCAAGTTTTTCATCTGAAGCATCGATGTCAAGAAGATATTGACTGATGTTATCTAAGTAAACACCCATATCATCGACATCGTCGTGTTGCATACCACATTTTGGGGAATTGTTCCCATCCTTCGAGTACAGAATTGAAGAAAAAAATGTTTTAGAAGGTTCTTTCGAATCGTCCCTATCTTAAGCTGTTAGTGACTTTGATAAACAGAAAAAGTTTCTTTGGAAAATGGCGTACCAGGATAAAACGGTAATAATATCGAATGGATCATTTACATGAGCTATCGAGACCCCTGAAGTGGTGGCTCCTAAATCTGTTGTATAAAATGTTATAAGATTTGTCTGAACAGCTGAAATATTACTACGAACCTATTCCTACGATGTATTCTATCTGCTTTAAATTAGCCATTTTTTTTTAGGAAACAAAAATGGGAAGACATAAAAAAGTAATAAAAGCCTATTATTATATTATCTCGTCCTTCAGTCGGAAGTTGCTCCACGGTGTCGCACATAGCTATGTGTTACCAATAAATAGCCCAAATAATAGATGAAGCCAAATGGATATCTCTGGGCAAATTTTCGTAGGTGTGAACCCCAGGTTTTAGTTTATACAATGTCAATCGATGGTTCAGTCTCCTCATGCACAGACACCCAGATAAGTATGTAGATCAAAAGTCTTTTACCGCTAAAAAAATGAGGACGTATGTAACAAGTTTTTTGTTTTTGGTTGTTTCAAATTATGAATATTGCTAATAAATGATCTGGGTGATATTGTACCCCCAGCTCTTTGAAACTAGAATGACAGCAGTGATTGACTCGATGTCATAAATAAGGAATCGACTCGAACCGACAGATGCAGCACAAGGTTTGATAATCCGACAGAATGGAAACCCATGTTTGGTAACCTCATGCGCCGCAATCATAACAAAACGATTGTGGCTACACAATCTATTGTGTTCTTTTTTTCATGTCCGGAACTCATTAAAGTGACATGTATATCACCTGCAGCTATTTTAACTTTCAACAATGAAAAATTTTGGAGGGCCGAGATCAACCATCACATCAAAGGTTTCTCTTCGCCTGACAAAAAAAAAAAAAAACTATCATATTCACATTTGAAATATGGTAAGACATTGTTCCTTATATGGTCAACATTTTCTTACTTTCTTTGTTTAAACCTTCAGCCTCACTAAAAGCTTTCCGGTTGTAATGTTAGTTTATGCCATATATGTAAAGTTGGAACAAAAAAATTGATACATCTAGAGAAAAAATCTGTACTTGATATCAAATCATGCTTCATTCATTGATCTTTATAAAAACGCTTACCCATATGGTTTTTTTTTTGCGATATATCTCCATTATAGGGTTGCTCAAAAAGTGACCCACATCAATCGTAGTTTCAAAAAAAATTAAACCCGAATTTGGAAGTATGTTTTCAACTTGTACATCAAAATAAGGGATCATTTTTTTTTAATGCCGGTCTTCTTTCTTTCACCTTTTTTTTAATTCTCACTTTTTATACATTCAATGCAAGATTACAAAGAAACAGGTAAAAAATAAATAAAAGACACTAAAATCCAAAGGAAGAAAAGAGAAAAAAAAAATCATACCTTTTAGTCATAACAAGTTTTTTAAAAAAAAAGAAAACCATCTTTATTTTTGAATAGATACAGTTCAAGATTTATACAACGAAATTGAGCATTTGATTGATATTCCCTTTGAGGCGACATGTCAACCTACTCAAAACAAGGACTTTCACTATAAGCAGGAATCAGAAGAGCCTAGAAATGATTATACATTTGAAAGGCCAATCCTGATTGAAAGTGATAGCGATGATATCGAAGAAGAGTACGTATAGCATTTTTTTTTTTTTTATCTTCGCATAACTTTTTTTTCCTTCTGTAAAAATAATAATCATACTATAAAACAAAGTAGATTACCCACACCAGACCAATATTGTAATCAATGTGATAGACCCATAACATCCAGTCAATTACTGACTGTCGCCAATAACATCTGTCATGATTGCTCTTCCTCCATCACCACCACCACCAAAAAACCTAGATCTCGATCCGGCTCATTTACATTTACACAAATTGCTGATAAACTCAAGCAATCCTTTGGTCACTCTTCCTCCTCCTCCAACACACTTTTGGCTCCCGGTGTCAAACCCGTCGATCGTCGAAAAAGTATGCCAACCATGGATTCCTTATTCGACCAACAGCCACAACAATTGGAGCCACCCAGTCCCGTGCCTTCAAGACCTAGTAGTCGGGCCTCTTCCTTTATCGAAGATGTCAAACAATTTTTAGCTCCCTTGTCCAGAAAATCAAGCAGAAACTCAATGTACCAAGATTATCAGCAATCGTCCGATCCTGTCTTACAGAAAAAATCGAGTCATCACTCTTTACTAGACGCCATCAATATCTGTAAACCCGCAAAGGTGAAGCAGGCTCCCTCTTATGAACGAAGAATCATCCAAAGTGATGACACACCCAATTGGTCCAGAGAAGATGACGAGGTAATGGGTATACATCAAAATAATAGCTGGATGCAAGACGCTCATAGTATGGAAAACACAATTGTCCCTTTACGAAGAAAACAAATCAAAAAGATTGAATCGCGTCAAGAAAGAACGGATATCTACAGTAAGCATTACCTAATTCTGTACTTATTTTTGCTTTTTTTTTTTTTTTTTTAACAAAGACCGTCTTGTCTAGTCAATGCCTATATCGAATGCATGAAAGTCGAGACCAATCTTGTCCCATGGATTATAAAGCAAACCCAAAAGGGACCACCCGATGCCTGGTTTGGTAAAACACCTAAAAAAAAAAAAAAAAAAAAAAAAAAAGATATATTAAACGCATTATGGCACTTTAGGCTACACACCTCCAGTAAGAGAACCGAAAAAAATTATGGGTATTTTTAAACGTAAACCCAAAGAAAATAGCAACAATTTGAGAGCTCAGCAACAACAATTAGGCGATGACTTGTTGAACAGGTCTACACCGCTTTTGCAACACCGCTACAGTAACAGTAACTTATCCGCATCTCCCAGCTCCTTTGTCTACGCACTAGATGATCAACAAGTCACTTCACCCGTTACCATGGGTTACGAAGAAGATCAGGCGTATTTCGAGGACCAAAATTATACCCCTTCCCTTACCACAAGCTTATCACCTAATAGCAGCACTGCTGAGCATGTACCAAGGTCCTCCTCTGTTCAACCCGTTTCAATCTTAAAGAAGAAAACCTTTGATGAACTACCTCAAGATGAATACGATGACACATACTACAATGATGCACAAGCCGACTTTCAGACAAAGGAAGACTTTTATCAACAACCCGTGAAACCCAAGAAGGACCGAAAACAACGTATGTCTTCTGGGTACGATCAACAGCAAATGATGATGATGGCCATGATGGAGCAAGCACCAAGAAGTCATTCCCACTACCGTTCAGAGTTTGAGCATAATGGAAGAGATGATTATTATAATTATCCTCGTTCCAATGACACTGCCCCTTCATCACGTCGTCTAAACGAGGAACCAGCGTATTGTCATGATTCAATTGTCGTGAATAAAAGAAGGAGCAGTCGTCGTCCAACGTACGAAGAAGAAGAAGATTATTATCAACCAGCCCCAATAGATACGCGAAGATGGTCTAAACCAACAACCAATGCACGTTATGCAGATGAGGAGCATTATCTACCTCAAGTTGTTCCGGATGTCAAGAGAAGATCAAAACCAATTCATTCAGAGGAAGACTACTACCAGCATTCCCCTACTACCGATACCAGAAGAATACATAAACAAGAGGAAGAAGATTACTACTCGCCCATCAGCGACAGTTCCGAAGGCAAAAGAAGGTCAAGGCCAATACGTCAAGTGCATCATGAAGAAGAAGAGTACTTTCAATCGGCTCCAGTTGATACGAGGAGACGATCCCATATGTCTCCACAGGAAGAGGAGGAAGAATACTACGTACCTGCTACCAACGGAAGAAGGTCTAAACAAAGCCATAAGGACTATTACGGTCTAGGTGCCAAAATGACACCCTTTATGATGGAAGAATGGGAAATTGCTCTTGATGATTTATGTGATCTCTATCCTCGACTAGATCGTCATTACATTAATGATTTCTTGAGATCGGCTCAAGGTGATTTTGTTACTGCAAAGGAGATGATTATGGACATGATTATGGACATTCGGTAAAACCCATGGGTGCGTGTAACCTCTCTTACCATTTCCACACCAATTGGCATTAATAAGTCTTGGTCACATGGCGCCCTTAAATAAAACGCTTTAAAATAATTTTTTTTTTCTTTTCTTTCTGCTTTTTTTTTTCTTTTACATAAAAAAATGTCCCAAGAAGTTTTACTATCGATACATAACCATGTGGCAACACTGACTCTCAATCGCCCTCATAAAGGAAACGCACTTACCTCCACCATGAACGAACTGTTATTATCGTATTTAGACCAACTTTTAAAGGACATCGAAGTTCGAGTGGTCGTACTCACAGGCGCTGGTAAATACTTCTGTACCGGTATGGATTTATCAGTGGCAGCGTCTGGAGGAGATGATCTAGATGCGTCGTTTGCCAAAGGTCTTTTAGTATTCGAAACGCTATTCCGTTTTCCTAAACCAGTGATTGCACGTATCAATGGTCCCTGTCTTGGAGGTGGCGTGGGATTAGTCTTCACAACCGATATACGTGTAGCCCACCAAGACGTGTATTTTGCTCTCACCGAAGTCAAACGCGGTATCATTCCAGCCATTATCTCTCAGTACATCGTGCCTGAATTGGGTTCGCACAAGACAAAAGAGTACATGTTGACGGGTCGAAGAGTCAACACGCAGGAAGCTGTCCCCTTTCTCAGTAGCGTAGCAAGTACATCCGAACAGTTGGAGGAACAGGTTAAGATGTACAGCGATATGTTGCTAGAATCCGCACCGGGTGCTATGGCGGATATTAAACAGCTTGTTGAGACCATCAGTAGTGGTGCTGAGACCCAAAGAGGCGTCAGAATACAGGAGGACGTTAAAAAGGCCTATCTCAACATGATGCAATCGGAAGAAGCTGCCTATGGTATCATGTCCTTTATGACAAAAAAGAAACCGGATTGGTCGAATTTTGCAAGAGACAATGCTCATTCAAAATTATGATTTTTTATGTACCCAAAAAAAAAAAAAAAAAAAAGTCATGCTTGGGCCTGGAAGAGGAGGGGGGAAAACAATCTCCAAACAGTCACTTGAGCGTGGAAAATTAATGATTTGATACATTCTCCCTTTCCCTTTTTGAATTTCTTTTTTTCTTTTTGCTTCTGAATTATTATTAGAATATATATATATATATTTGCTTCTACCTTTTAATAAATGCAGCATCCTTCAGAGTTTGGATCGAATATAAGAACTAGAGTTCCACCTGTGGACCGTAATAGTGCAGTAGATGGTAATACATACGCTTTTGTTTTTATTTTATTTTTTAAATTTATGCATGATTTTTGTTTTTATTTTTTTATTTATTTACTCGATTGTTCTTTTTTTTTTTTTTTTTTTTTTGCGTAGTAAATAGACTCAGCACTTGGTATGAAGACCTTGAGGAATACGAAGGTAATCTCGAAGAAATGGCTTCTGCCACTTTAGATCAGGTAAAAAAAAAAAAAAAAAAAAAAAATATCCCGAAAAGACATTGAGCATTTCCAAAAAAAAAAAAAAAAGTCTTTTCAAGATGAATTGCAGCATGTGGATCAATGGTTTGGATTCTTGAGCGATGCGGAAAAGACAGCTACGTTATATACATTGCTTCAACATTCATCACAAGTACAAATTCGATTTTTCATTCACTTGTTGCAAGAAATGAGAAAACCAAAGCCCATCCTTCGAGGTATTTATTTAACCCCTACTTGCTATTTTTCCCCCCTTCCCCAATAACCCCCCCTCCCCTTATTATTAATTTTTTTTGTATATCTAAAATAACACACACACACAAAAAAAAAAAAAGGTTCCGATCGAGCTTCAGCATTGATGAATTTAAACAGAAGAGCACCTGTACCATCACAGCCAGTCAACAATCGACATTCATTTGCTTTAGGAGACACAGAAGAATTATCCCGGATGTTTGGCCATATGGGATCCGATTGGACAAATAAAGAGCAACAACGAACGAATATTCCTCCCCACGCCACTAGCAATTTACGACCCAAGTCAGTCATGGAATTAGGAGGTGGAACTGGAACTGGAACTGGAGGAGGAGGAGGTGGAGGAGGAGGTGGTGGTGGGGGAGGGGAATCTTCCTTCTCGAATTCTTGGTTGAATCAACGACAGCCCAAATTATTCAATAATGATAACGTGATTGAAAGACCTCGTTCTGCGGATATTTCCTCTTGGCATGTACCATCCGCAGCTTCTTGGAAACCCTTGGGTTCTGACCTGAATTGGAAAGAACCCATCCAACGCTTCAATAGCAGCATCGTACCTGAAAACTCGTCATTAAAACCAGACGACATCATTCGTAACAGAAGAGCTTCTGCAGCTCCCGTCCATAACAACAGCAGTAACAACACTAATAATAGATTTTCACAACAACAATTTTTATCTCCACCCCAAACTAATTCAAGAAGATCCTCCTCGGCTGAAGTTGTACATGATGTCTTGTTGGGTTACGGTAGTGACCAAAGTGATACTTCCACTCAGTCTCGTTACCGTCCTCCTCCTCCTCCTCTTCTCTCCAGTAGCAGCAGCGCTCATCCAACCACCATTATAGAAAACAATCGCGAAGACGATGTAGACATGGACCTACTACAAGGTAAAACATATACAGTGATATACACTGATAAAAACAGATGCCAACACGCCCTTTTTTTTTTTTAAAAAAAAAAATATAGATGTTACGGCCTGGCTCAGAAGTCTTCGTTTGCATAAATACAACAGCATTTTTGAAAACATGCGTTGGCAGGATATGGTCAAATTAGACGACGCAGGACTACAAGCTAAAGGTGTAGCTGCTTTAGGTGCTCGACGTAAAATGCTCAAAGTATTTGAAAATGTTCGGGAACATTGTAAAAAGAATGTAAGTCCTACCCACAGAACAAAACTTGTTTTCAATCGCTCACTCTCTTTTCCCTTCCCCCTTTCTTAGCACATTGAATATTAATGACACCATGGCGCATTCATAACAACTGAAAAATATATACATTGTACACATGAATAATAATAAATTTCCTTTTTTTTTTCCAGAGTGATGTTTGCTGGTCGCCATTTCCCTAAACTATTCTTCGCTCTCACTCTCTCATTTACACACAGACACACACACATAAACAAAGGGTTACAGAGCAAAAAAAAAAAAAGTAAGACTGAGTGATTTTTTTTTCTCCTTTTTGTATGAAAAAGTGTTGGGGGCTAGTTTAATACAGAAAAAAAAAATATTTAAGCCTTGGTGGCAGCAGCGGCAATAGCCTTTTGAGTACCCTTCTTGGCGAAACGTTGGTTACGGAGGAACTTGGCATCCAACTAAAAGATTAAAAGAAGAGGTGAGTATTTCATAGTCTGGGTCTTTTTTCTTTTGTATGATTTTTAACTTACACCCTTTTGAGTACCATACTTGTGAGCAATAGGCTTCTTAAGACCGTTACGATGGGCCTTCTTGACTATAATAAAAATAAAATGATCAGCAACAGTTGGATGGTGTCTCTCTCTCTCTCTATTTTTGGTGTCTTACTTTGGTTGTGGTTGGTGTGGTTCTTGGACTTGGACATTGTTCTATTGCTTGCTACAAGAAATAACAGAGAATTAATCGATGCTCTTCTCCCCTCTAAAAAACACACACACACACACACACACAATGCTTTTTGATTATCAATCCACTATCCAAATCTTATCATCCATCCTATATTTTTTCTTTTTTTTTTTTTGCTCTCTCTTTTTTTTTTTTTATTGATCCAAAAGTGTGTGTGTTTCTATGTTCTTCATGTCTCTTTTCGTCCGATGGTTTACCTTAGTGTCGAAAGTAAAGAAGGATATCTACGGCCCAAGCGTATCCCTAATCATATATCGCGGGATGCTTACTTTCGGAGTCAAAACCTCTTTTGTCCTCCCCGGACCTGCGCCGGACTTTAATACACGCTAAAAGCTCTTTTTTTTCGCACTAACCACTGATTTAAATTTTTGTCATCTACTAAGCACACCTGCTATTTAACAGAAAAGTATTGCTCTGATTTTAATTCATTCTCGGGTATAAAAATTCAGCAGCATTTTTTTTTTTTAAGCTTGGAGAATTAAATGTAGTAATATGTTTGCGAGATATCTCTGACACTCCAGTCATGAATTATACTTTTTCGTTACTGGATGAAAAATGGTCTTTTTTTTTATGTATATATAAAACCTGCATGGTTATTTTTTTCATCATCAAGTATTTAAACATGTCATGATTCTTAAATAATCATTCAATCCCCGGGGCAGGGGGAAGAAAAGAAAAAAAAAAAGTTGTAGTAATAATCTGACAGCCTTTTAAGGGAGTGGTTCCTCCCAATCTTCCTCTTTAAAAGTTTGATCCAATTGTTTAACTTCTTAAAAAAAAAGGGGGGACTAACCCAAAGCAACACACAATGATAAGAAAGGGGTTTTTTTTTCTGGCTTAAACTGATCACTACAGATCTTTTTTTGACGAGAAGAAAAAAGAAAAAAACGCCGGCGAGTATGCATGTAAAAGAGAAAGAAGGGAGTTAAGCTGTTGCCACGATTTACAGTTTCTTAAAGCGTCATTGGATAAGGAGTGAATTGGATATGGAGAGTCCAGACTTTGGTAAACACCTAAAAAAAAAGACAACTTATTCTTTACAGGCAAAAAAAAAGGGGGGGGGACAAGTTCATATAAGATCAAAAATGTGGTTATATCACCGATAATGGCACCATATCTGACAAGATTCTCAAAAAGATTCGGCATTATGCTTGTGGTTAGGGCGCGTCAAGTTGTTTCCCCTTTTCCATGCTTCCCTTATTTCTTTACTTTTTTTTTAAAAAAAAAACCTTGCATAGAACAATAATGATAATTAAAAGGCATATATATAAAAGTTAATGCATTATGTGTTTAGGAGATGTATAAAGTCCTAGTCTGTTGCTGGCGTTATGGTCCAACGCAAAGAAAAAAGGGGGACATAGCAGAAATGTTATTATCGAGATTATTGCAAGAAAACTTGTTTTGATAAAGTAGCCAACAAGTGTAAAAAAAAAAAAAAGAGAGAGCGAAAAGAGTGATTAATTTACACTGTGCATATTATATATTCAGCTGCCTGTTTGTTTAACGAAGAGAAATAAGAGGAATGGGGAAGACAGATGAAAATAAAAAAGGGAGTGATCTACAGACACGTGGTAAAGAGAAAAAAAGATAATATATAAAAAAAAAAAAAGGTGTCTGTGCATAAATACTTGTTAAATGCACATATTTAAAAAAGAATACATTTATAAAATCTAATATCCTTTTCATTTCTCTCTCTTTTCTCTCTTTTTCTCTCTCTTTTTTCTTTCTCTGATATGAATTACTTTCCTTCACCACCGTCTTCACCCTTACTATCAAGTATTGAAAAAGTGATATGCGGATCCTGCGATAAACCACTTTCATCAGACTGGTTTTGTTCAGACTGTCATAAGAAATGCAACACATGCAATCGATTCTTGAGCCATCACGAGTATTGCACTCGATGTTGGACACTTGAAAATAACTGCTTTAAACGAAAGCATTACTATCGCTATTGTTAAATATTCTCTCATATACTCCCTTTACCTATCTACCTATATAAAAAAAGAAGACTTATAAATCCCTTTCCCTTATTGTACAAAACAGAATTATGATTCCCCATAATAATAAAGAAAATCACAAATTCCATACTTTTCCCATTCATTCTTATTCCCGAGAAGTTTCATCATCCCAACTCAAGAAATTTAATTTAATTTTTTTTTTTTTTTTTTTTTTTTGATGTACATTACACATATATTAAAAAATGAGCATTGTATTATAAACATTTTACTATCAATATGTGTTAAGGAAAAAAAAATATAGGGGTTTTTTTTTTGTTTTTTTTTGTCTGGGTTCGTGTGTGTGTGTGTGTGTGTGTGTGTGTGTGTGTGTGTCTTGTGGAATATAAAATAATTGACTAACAAAAGGGGGGAGTATAATTGGTTTTTTTTAAATGGACCATAACATTAAGTGCTTTTCTTTTGGATGATGACTTGCTGTAGCTACAATGGTTTGTCCAGAGACAGAATGACAAGCAATGCTCACCACATTACCTGATTGAGAGCCTGCTTTTTTAGGTTGTGCTCCTGGAATACCACATTGCCATAAAAAGATCTCTTCATATCCTCCATACAACAATCGAAGCTTTTCTCCACCATTCAGAAATGCACATCCATGTACCTTACTTTGTGGGATATGATTCATCACACATTTCCAATGCGACGTCTCGTACACGCAAACCTTGTCTTCCGATGAAGCCACCAAGAAGTTACCATCCGCTGACCAATCAAACGAACAAATGTTCTTTCCGTGATCCGTCGTAATCGTACGCATACCCATATTATCATTACCGCTACCACCTTTAACCAAAGTAATATCAATAATGTAGATCTGATTTCCTACTCCACAAGCCAAAATACTAGCCGTTCTTGGGTGGAAACGCATCGAATTAGCTGAAAACCCTGATTTCGATTGTGTCTATGATTCATTAATATGTATATACACATATATATATAAGAGTGACATAGTCCTCCCCCCGCCCCCCTCGTTACTTACCATCTTTAACGATTTTTCACAAACGGATGTTTTTAAATTCCACACTTTTAATTCTCCCTCGGCATCCAATGAGCAAATCGTATCAGGTCGGTCTGGAGCAAAATCCACTGCCGTCACTTGCGCTCTACAGTCCAATTTTACCAACTGTTTGGGACTCTTCATATCCTCTTCGCCTTCCTCCAACTTGACAATCTTGTCGCTATCGGCAGCTCCCGTCACAGCTGGAATCGCATTACCTACGTCCCAAATACGCAACGTCTTGTCATACGACGAAGTAGCTACCAGATTTCGATTATCTGGACTCCATCTCGCACAAGTAATATTGGCTGTATGTCCCACTAAATTGTACATGGCTTTCTTCTCGCTCACCGTCCAAATAATCGCAATTTTATCATGTCCAGCACTCACCAAATATTTTCCATCCGCCGAGAATGACACTGTCGATACCTTGTTTGTATGACCTGATAAATCCGCAAACGGTTGCAACACTGCACTTGACATATGCTGAAGCTGTAATTGTTGTTGCTGCTGTTGTTGTTGTTGTTGCTGCTGTAAAACACTAGGATGAATCGCATTACCATCTAAATCCAATCCACCCCCCATACTAGCTAAAAAACCGCCTCCAAATGGATCTAAATCTGTGCTCGCTTCATTTGTGTTGGAAAGAATCAAACTTTGATCCGCATTCGTTTCATCCCCCGACGCAAACATCTCGCCAAAATCACCACTGTCCCCCATCATAAACCGTTCCAGATCAAAGGACATCACATTATGATTCACAGCAGGAGATTCCACAGACGGAGATCCTAAATCATTTGGGTTCCATGCCATACGTTGCTGCTGTTGCTGTTGATGTTGTTGCTGTTGTTGCTGCTGCTGCTGCTGCTGCTGCTGCTGTTGTTGTTGTTGCTGCTGCTGCTGCTGCTGTTGAGCTTGCAACTGCTGTTGCTGCTGTTGAACAATCTGTTGCGGAATCACATTTCGATGTTGTTGTGGAGACTTCATTTGTTGTTGATCAAACCGTTGCTGTTGCAACCGTTGCTGCATAGCCATCACGGGCGACTCCTGTTGCATCTTGTGCTGTAACTGAGGTGACAATGTCTCGTCCCCCGTACGCTGGCGCTTGGGTGGTGGTGCATGAGGTACAAATTGCTGTTGTTGCGCTTGTTGCGCTTGTTGTGCTTGTTGTGCCTGTTGCTGCTGTTGCAACACATGATTCACTTGGCGTCGCTGATACAAGGCCACTGCAATCTTCTTTTTATCACCGCCTTCAGGGGATCCACTTCCAGGTAAAGCGGGGCTAGGACTTCCCATAGCATTAGGTGGTGTCTGAGGTCCTCCGGCCTGTTGATGTTGGTGATGTTGTTGTTGTTGTGCTTGCTGATGTTGCTGTTGCTGTTGTTGCAACTGCTGCTGCTGTTGTTGTTGTTGTTGCTGAGCTTGCACTTGCTGTTGCTGCTGTTGAGCTTGTAACTGCTGTGCTTGTTGTTGCTGTTGCTGATGTTGATGAACAATGCGACGTTGTGTCATCATCATACGCTGTTGCTGCTGCTGCAATATCTATTATTATTATTATTTTTTAAAAAAAAGAAAAGAAAAGGATGAATTGATCGCTATCATGACCATACCACACTTTTACTTACTTGTTGCTGTTGTTGTTGCTGCTGAGGAGTTAATCCAGCAGGCATCTGACCTTTATTCATCATTTGTTGAGCAATCATTAAATTCACTTTTTTTTCCAAAAAATAAATAGAAAGTTTTAGGGCACAAGTCAAATTGATACAAAAAATAAAAACATTGGACTTACTTTCACCGCCATTAAAAGAAGGGTTTCCGTTCATGGGATTATGCATACTTGGGTTCATCACCATTGGACCCGAATTCACCATATGTGGCCTCGGTTGACCATTCACTACAAGAAAAAACTTGTTAGGAGAAGAGAAACAAAAAAAAAGGGAGAGAGTCATGATGGGGGGGGGGAAGGGGTGAAAGTGTTTACTGTTGGGACCATTTGGCCTTTGATTGGGATCCACTTGGGGACTTCCCATCGGATGTCCTTGAGGTAGTTGTGCTTGCTGTTGATTAGGCGTGCCTTGCATATGCTGTTGATGCTGCTGTATCATGGCGGCTTGCTGTTGCTGTTGCTGTTGTTGTTGGAGCAACGCTTGTTGTTGCATTTGAAGTCTGGCCTGTGCTTGAGGGTTACCTGGCATCATTTGTCTAGTTTAAAAAGAAAAAAAAATTAATCACGTTATCCCATGAGTTGTTTCCTATCTTCATATTTAAACACGCTAAGAAAAAAAAAAAAAACTTACGGGTTTCTCATCATGGTCTGTTGTTGATTGATCTGGTATCTTCTAATCTGCATTTGAAGATTTTGCTAGTAGTAACAAAGAAAGACATTATTAAAAATACGAAAAACGTGGGGTAGTCATGAAAGCCACTGTCTTTTTTACCTTTTCCTCCATCGTTAAAGACTGTTGATCACGACCTTGTAAACCCAATGTGGTCATGGCAGCCGAAATCAAATTACTTTGTTGAGCTCGATGAGCAGCGGACATGGGTTGACCCACCATGGGAGAAGTCATCATGGCTTCAGGTACAACTTCTGCACCTCGTTGCATTTGTTGAGGCGAGAAAGAGGGCGAAGCAGTAGCATGTCGTGCGGGATGTTGAGGTGGTAAATTGGCGGACATGCTCTGCGGTGTATTTACATTATTAGTGGTGGTGGAATTAGTATTAGTAGGTGGTGGAGGTGGCATGCCACTATTTGGTAAAGAGGCAGTGCTACTAGCAGGCGAAGGTCGGTGTTGCGAAGGCACACTCTGTTGTTGCTGCTGCTGCTGCTGTTGTTGTTGTACCTGTTGTTGCTGTTGTACCTGTTGCTGTTGCTGCTGCAAATGTTCAGGTGGGCCAAGATGAGGCGATTGCATCGATCTTTGAGCTACTTCAGATGCTCGACGTTGTTGAGCATGTTGCACTTGCTGATGTTGTACTTGTTGCTGCTGCTGCTGCTGCTGCTGTTGTTGTTGTTGTTGCTGCTGCTGCTGTTGTTGTTGTTGTTGTACCTGCTGTTGTTGTTGTTGTTGTTGTTGTACCTGTTGTTGTTGTTGTTGTTGTTGCTGTTGTTGTTGTTGTTGTTGCTGCTGCTGCTGTTGTTGTTGTTGCTGCTGCTGCTGCTGCTGCTGTTGAGCTTGAGCCTGTTGAACTTGAGCTTGTTGAGCTTGTTGTTGTTGGGAATGTACATTAAACGATCTTTGTTGCTGTAAGGCTTCTTCTCTCTTGTTTCTAAGAAAGTCGTGATACTTTTTTTTTTTTAAAAAAAAAGAATAATAAATCAGCAATAGATAAAAATAAAAAAAGGGGGGGGGGAAGGGAATCGAGCCGATATGATACCTCATCATGAATTGTTGCTTCTTTGCTTGCTTGAGCATCTTTGCTTTTAGCATAATAAACATCCCAAAAGACACCCCACCAATCAGCTAAAAAACCAGTTGGGACATCGATAGGGGGAGGTTGATCGGTGGATACGCCCGCCTCTGTTGAGAACGCTCGAGCCGCTTGATGATATTTTTGCTTTTTACAGTAATCGTAAATGTATAAATGTAAAAGTTCGGTGGCCCTGACATCACTGGTATGGCCATTTTGTCTAAAACAAGATGGGGGTTAATATATCTTCGTGAATAGAACCAAACTAAAAGCCCATGGGCGAATGCTGGTTTTTTCGTATACAATTAAAAAAAAAAAAAAAAAAAAGACAGAAAAGTTAATTTACCCATCCCAGGTGTTTCTCCTGTTTTGCGACTGTGCCATTTTGTTATATATAATTATTAAAAAAAGGGGTTTGGAAGAAAAAAAAAAAAAAAAAAAAAAAAAAAAAAAAAAAATAGAAATATAAAAGGTGGTGTGGAGACTATTTGTTTCGTTTTTTTTTTTTTTTTTTTTTTTTTTTTTTGTTTATCCTAAGAGTATTGTTGTTTTTGTTAACCCAGAATAAAAAAAAAAAAAAAAAAAGTATCAGAATTCGTTATTTTTTTCTTTCAGCAGTAAATGATAATTAACAAAAACAAAAAGAAAAAGAAAAAAGAGAGATAATTATAAAAGAAAAATGAAAAAAAGTAACCCCCCCTCACGATATTCTGTTCACTCTAAAATGGCCCTCTCAAAATAAACGCTTGATTTCCATTAAAAAAATAAAAAATAAAAAAAAATAGGAGAACCCTATTTCAAGCGCCCCTTGAACATGGTTCGCGACGTCACTCCGGCTTTTTCGTAAATTGTGTGTGTATTATTAGTGTAAGTGTATTAATTTTGTAAAAATAGAGTAAGGGAAATAGATAGTTGACATGGAAGAAGAAATCAATTTTTTTTTTTTACTTCTTAGTGTCCAAATCCAACATCATCCACAACGCGTTGATGTTCAATTTCGTGATCTGAATTATAATCCAAGTGAACAAACGCTCTTTCAACATTATCAAGCATCTCAAAAGCATTCTATCAAACCTTTCCTTTATCAGTTGTCAACTCAATTAAAAAAAAAAAAGTAAATGGGATCATACCTGTAACGCCTCTCCGAGATCATGACATTCTCTAAGTGGTGCGTTGGGTGGCAACACAATATGAACCTCCACTAATAATCGATCCCCGACATAATAAGCTCGCACCGTGTCAATCGAATCAATTCGATTAGAAAACCGATATGCCATGTACGTCAATTGCTTAAGATCATCTACACTCGCTGCCTGTCCTGTTAACCGTCTGATATTCTCTATAACACTTTTTTTGTTATTTATGTATATCCCAAAAATCGTTTTAACCCCGCCCCCCCCACCCCACGCCCCGCCTTTCCCTAATGCGGGACTCGAGGATTACCTAATAATACAGTCACCCATTCATAAATAATATATAGCGACAGCAAAATGGCCCCAATCGGATCCAAAGGTGGCATCTTTGCCCAGACAGCTTTTAAACAGCAGAGTTAAGCACATGTTATTACAGTTCATCATCAATTCCAAAATAAAATAAAAAAAACTTACCAATGACCGGGAAAAGCGTACTAGCTATATTAAACACCACGTCATTTTCATGATCCTGAGCAAGCGCCCTCACACTCGAGCTTCCCTTGATACTGAGACACCAAAACCACAGGATACCTTTGACCACAATATTTGCTACCAACAAAGCAATTGAAATTGGGCTCAAATCCACATGCTGCACCTGCCGGTTTTCCTCTGTCAATTGCTCGACCGATGAGGCCAATACCTGAATGAAAGAGGTTGTGATGACCACAGCAAACACAATGATGCCCAAGGGTTCCATGCGTGATTTGCCTACGGGGTACGTATAAATATTCTTTTGCCGGATCACACGAATGGTGAAAAAGATGATGCCATTGCTGAGGATATCCAGAAAACTTTCAAAGGCCGAAGCAAGGATCGCAATGGATCCCGTGAAGAACGCAAGAAAGGCCTTGGTCAGAAACAGGACAATATTGGCTACAAATGATAGATTAATGGCTAAATGAATAAGCCAGGTCGAAGAAGTTTCCTTGTTAGGAGCAATTAAAGGTGTGCTTTCCTCCTCGTCTTCAGCTTGGAGGCTGTTTGATCGGAATAAGACACTGCAATTATCTCCACGTAATTCTTGAATGATTTCATCTACTTCCATGTACCGGTCGATAATCTCATTTTGGTGCTAATAATTTATTTTTTTTAATAACATGTTTTTGTTGTTTTTTTTTTTAATAATTTTTTTTTTTTTTTTTTACCTCGTAAAACTTTCGAACGGCTTTATCGTCGATCTTGTCGAGTTGATCGTCGGGAATTCGAAGTGCATAAAAATGCACGGGCGGTGCCTTTGCATTCTGCGCTAGCGTTTGCATGGATTTTCTTCTTCTTATCGGGAGACTTTCCTGATCAAACATTTTTAATAGTAACAAAAAAAGAGGAAAAGGGAAAAAATAACAATTCAACTTTGGAATAAAAAGAAAAAAAAAAAAAAAGGATGAAACCGGCGGATTATAAAAATAAAAACATTTTTTTTATTTTTTTTTTTTTTTTTGTACAGATTAAAATATTATTGAGTAAAAAGTAAAGACGAGAATTTAAGCAAGCATGGCAACGAAGCTAGCAACAAAAAGAGCTGCTAATGCAGTCACTTGGATCATCATATTATTGTTGTTGACAACAGACATACCAGCACTGGCAGCTTCACTAGCACCAGCAGCAGTGGCAGAAGACAACAATGAACTAACAATACCACCTGTGGAAGAGGCGGCTGTACCAGAGGCGGCTGTACTACCACCAGCAGCAGCAGAGCTATCAGTGGCAGCACCACTCGAAGCAGCAGCAGAGCTTGCACCGGAGGGAGCAACGGTGCTAGTCGTGGTGGCGGCAGCAGCACCACCAGCCGCAGAGGAAGAACCTCTACCAGCAACTTCGGATGAAATACGGTCGTAAGCAGAAGAGGCAGAGCTGTGCATGGGTGATCTAAGAGGTTGGGAGACAGAAGAGGTGATGGACTCAATCCTATAATTGTGGAAGAAAAGTTATTAATGACTGATTGAAGCAGACAATCTTAGGATAGACTTACTTGCTGCTGAGAGAAGTAAGAGCGGGAACTATAGATAAAAATTAAGGTTATTGTTTGTATCATTAAACTTAGTTTTTCCCTCTAATTTTACCTTGAGCATTGACACTGGAGAGTGCAATCATGGCAGCAAGAGCGAGAATTAACTTGGAGTTCATTGTTTGTAATTATGAAATAGGAAGAAAGTAAGGTTTATAATTCCAGAAATAAAAATTATTTTTAAGCTTTTTTATATGAAATTTATTAATTCATGCTTGGGGGTTTATCAACTTACTCCGATACTTGAATGGGTTTCATGACAGATCGGTGAATACAATGCTGTGTGGCTTGCGGGGTTTAACTTTTTTTTTTTTTTTTTCTCGGCTGTCGCTCATTTTTTGTGCAGGGCATAGCGGTAGTATGTGAGTGTGAGTGAGTTGGAGATAATCAAGTCCATATATGTGTGTGTCTGGTGTGGGTGTGTGTGCGCGGGGCACAATGAAGTGACTCATATTTAGTCTCCCCCCCGCATCCCCTTTTTATTTTATCTTATTTTTCCCTTTATTCTTTTTTTTTTTTTTTATTTTCTTCCAACATGCTTCCTAAAAGTCAACTACGCGACAAGCAATCCTTGACCATTGTTGTCAAGATTGGTACTTCCTCCATTTGTAATGAAGTGACTCATTTTCCTTTACTGTCCAACTTATCTGCACTTGTTGAAAGTGTCCTGCACCTGAGATCCCTCGGTCACCGCGTTGTACTTGTCACCAGTGCTGCGGTCGGTACAGGTCTTCGTCGTTTGAATATGGCCGAAAAACCATCTAAATTAGCTGCTAGACAGGTAAAAAAAAAAAAAAAAAAAAACCTATCCCTCAAAACGTCAAAAACCATTCATTTTTTTAAATCCATCATTTTTTTTTTTTAGGCTGTTGCTGCGGTTGGTCAAGGTAGATTGATGGCATTATATGATGATTTATTTGGTCAATTCGGTCAACCTGTTGCTCAACTTTTATTAACCAAGAATGATCTTGCTGATGTAAGTCCCCTCTTCATTGATTCCTCATACCCTAATTAATTAATTTTTTTTTTTCGAATAGCGTTCACAATATCTGAATGCAGTCAATTGTCTTGAAGAATTGTTGGATATGGGTGTAGTACCCATTGTGAATGAAAACGATACAATTTCAACACAGGGTATTCGATTTGGAGACAATGATACATTATCAGCCATTATGGCGGGTATGATCAAGGCAGACTATCTCTTTTTATTGACAGACGTCGATTGCCTTTACACCGATAATCCTCGTACCAACCCCGATGCACAACCCGTCACGGTGTGTGATGATATGGCGACACTGATGGATAAAGTTTCGGTCAGCTCCATGGGCTCCTCCCTGGGCACAGGAGGTATGGCTACCAAGCTCATTGCCGCTGACCTGGCCATCGCCGCAGGTGTCATCACCATCATCACCAACGGTTCCAAAACCAAAAATATCCATCAAATCATCGAAGCCGATCGAAATGCCGAACTCACCGCCCCCCTTCATACAAGATTCGTGGCAAAGAATAACCCGCTTTTGGATCGTAAATGGTGGATCCAATATGGTTTGCATACAGCGGGTACCATCTTTGTAGATGAAGGAGCTGCGAAGGCTATTTTGGCCCCCCGTATCAAATCTAGTTTGTTCGCTGCGGGTATCGTGGATGTAGAAGGCTCGTTTGTAGCACAGCAAGCCGTGAATATTGCTACACGTCAAGGAGACACTGTACAAGTGATTGGTAAAGGTATCGTCAATTACTCGAGTATCGAAGTCTCGCGTGTCAAGCGTTGTCATAGTGCCGAAATTGCGAATATCCTAGGTTACGTTGATTCCGAATGTATCATCCATCGTGATAATTTAGTTCGAACAAAGTCACTGTAAAAAAAATAAAAATAAAAAAATAAAAAAAGATTTATTTTATTTTATTTTAAAAACTCATTAATTTCTTTAATTCATATAATCTTCGATGTAATTCTTCTTTATCATTTTCACTTTGTGCATAACGAATCTTGATATCAATCAGGATGGATTCTGCCTTTTGTAATTGATCCTCGAGCGAAGAATTCTTTCCGATCAGAGAAGCATTTTCCTCACAGTAACCTTCGAATTGATCTCTTGTTCTCGCCTCAATTTCTTCAGGCACGGATTTCACTTCCTTTTCCAAGTTCGTCACGACCGTCACCAATTCAGTGTTTTCTTCTTTTAATGTATTCAATTGTTCCAACGTGCCGTTCAGTTGCTCTTGTACGTCCGTCTGTTCCGCTCTCAACGTCTCCGTCTTTCCTTCCAACGTTTCAAACTTCTTTTTCAATACCGCATTTTGTTTTTGTAATTCCTCCATCAAGGTCGCGTCCGCCAGCTCCTTTTGAAGCATTTGCTTGTATTCCTTTTCAAGCTGGTATAATCTTTTCGCTGTGAATTCTAAATCACACGCATCACTTACAAACCGACGATCATCATCCTATATCATTTTTTTTTTTTCATTTAACCTCTTATCCCTCTTACTCTTCTTTTTTTTTTTTTTTTTTTTTTTTTTTTTTTTTTTTTTTTTTTACCTTGTATTGCTCAAATAAGCCATTCTTCAAGAAATGCAACAAGTGTTCGAAATCCAGTCCCAAAATTGTCGTCTGGTTCTTCTTGAGCAAGGCAATGGCGAATTTAAAAATAGAGCCGATGCCCTCGGTAAATATCACGTCATAGATCCGAAAAACCAGGTTTAAAGGAAATTTATAGGCAAACAGTGTCATGAACCACTGTGAAGCATACATGGTGGAGTTGATCCCTTGTCCAATCAGATGCCGTGCCACATGAGGCAGGTGCTCTTGCACCAACGCATCAAATTGGTACAGCCGTAATTGAAGTCCGTCCATTTCCGGTGTGAAATGGCCCCGAAGACCATATTGTTTCATTAATTTGATTAGCACACAGAACGCATCTTCATCTGGCATCTAGATGGGGGGGGGTTGAATACGCGAACAATTTCTTTAACTATCATGTAAAAAAAAAAAAAAAAAAAAAAAAACTTACGTTGAGGAGCATGGGACCCACAATAAAGGCAAGCCCTTGACAATAGCCAACTTCATCATCATATAAACTATAGGCTCGGACCACGTTATAAAGTCCCTCTTGACCTTGCCCATCTGTATCTTTGAAATAAACATGGCCAGGGAAGGTACGTGCCAGATCTCGCTGAATCATTTTATCATAGGGGCTCGGCAGTTTAAGAAGATCCATATATTTTGTGACCAGCATTTCGTCTTTTGATTTGGCAAGTAATTGCCATACCATACCACGAATGGAAGGTGGAATGCCCACCCGAATATGTTTAATTAATTCTTGATTTACCTTGTTCAAATGTTGAAAATCGCACATAATCCCTGCCCAAAAGTCTATTTTTTTTTTTTTTTTTGCATTTATATTAAACAAAATGTGTGTGTGTGTGTGTGTATACTTTTTTTTACCCCAATCATAGTCATCGCCTTTATTCTCCGTCACAAGACTATGGCGGATCGATTGTCTCTTTAGGTTCTTAATGACTTTGGACTTGGGATCATTGGTATTGGCCGAATTCAACTGCTCCATTTGTGCCAACAAGGCTTCTTGGAATCCCGGTAAGGGAGAAATAATACTCGTCGGTCGTGAGAGTCGCTTTTGTCGTGTCACAAAGGACGCTGAAGGACGAGGTGTGGCCGTCTGTTTGGAAGGTCTTCGTGAAGAACTCGGTGATGTGTTGGTCGATGATGAAGAAGACCGAAACGGTGACCAAAGTGCAAAGATCGATTTCGCTGTCGATGCTGTAGACACGATGGATTCATTGTCGGAGCTTTGGCGGCGGGGGACAATGACAACGGGAGACACGCTTGATTCGTAAATGATATCCTTGGGTGGAGGTATGGGTTTATGGTTCGTAGGATTGTTATTATTATTATTATTATTGGGTGTGGGTGTGGGTGTAGGTACAGGGACGGTCGTGACAGTTGGTCGGGTACCACTCATTAATGCACTGGTAATGATTTTAAGTGGATTGTAAGTGTCTGGTTCTGTTGTTGTGATGGGAAGATCTTCAAGGGAGACATCATTCATATCTGAAAACGATACAGAACTTAATTTATGTGATAATTTTCTTTCCAGAGGGGGTGTTGAAATAATAGGAGATGTGGCAGGATAAACAATTGGTGTTACCTCCTCTACCTCTATTTCTTCTTCTTCAGGTACATCTTTTAATGACAAGGTGGGAGATTTAGAGGGTGGAGTAATCACTGTATCTTCTGAAAATGTACGTACGGGTTTCTCAAAGTAACTGGTCGAATCATCCGATATCGAGGACGATGAACTGGAATCGATGGTGAGGGGTCCATTTTCATCGGATATAGACGGGGTAGATGCTATAGTGACTGAGTCTAGAATTAGAAATGTTTTTTCAGTTATGTGTGTGTACACCCAATTTTTTTTCTTTATTGTTTATATTAACCTGTATTAGCACTCATTACTGTGGTATCTTTATAATCGTACTCATCGCTCGACTCGTCAGAATAAAAAGTAATGGTCTCCTTGTCTTCTGCAATAAGCTCTTTTTGACTTGCTATGGTGGTCATTGTTCAGATGAGAAGAAAAAAAAGAAGAAAAAAAAAAGCAGCAGTAGCTAATGAAAGAACAAGAGAAAGAGAGAGAAAAAAGAAAGAAAGAAAATAAAGGGGAAGTATCACACGAGGGAGGTACAATCGAAATTAAAAAAAAAAAAAAATATAAACCCTACCTTTTGGCGGTATTTGAACAAAAATGAACACTTTTCTATTCTCCTCATTATTCATCGTGGCATGCGTTCAAGCTGCCGACATTAAAATGTTTTGCAAATGCTTTTGTGGATCCAACTCAACCGTGTTTGAAATACCCACCATCGATCCCAAGCCATGCGCCAATTGCACCAAACAATTCTGTCTGGATAATGTCAAGGATGGCATGTGTGATGGCATTGCTGACGCCACTTGTCCTAGTAACGACTTCAAGACCGCATGTTTTGGTAGGTTCTTTCTCTTTTTTTTTTTTCAAAAGACAATATAAATAACTGACCACTTCCTCATGTAGCGCGTGATTCATACAAGGATGAGTTTATTGTACGTTCTTTCCTATTCATTACCTTTGGTTTGGTCCTATTTGCATTTATTAAACCTTATTACGACAAGTGGCAAAAGGTATGTCTTCCCTCCACTCAACAAGACTTGCGTACATTTTTTAATTTTTTTTTTTTCATTTTGGCAGGAACGCATCACGCATGCTCAATATCAAACAGTGGCTCATGATGAACAATAAACATTTTTAAAATAAAATAAATAAAATCTTGGCTTTTTTTTTTTTTTTTTTTACCTCGTCTTATGGTAACACAACCAAATTATGGGTGATCCCCCCCAATTTATTTTCTACCTTCCCCCCCCCCCAGCGCCCTTTCGTTTAAATTTTATCCTTGACCGGGATAACGTTTCACAAGAACTGTCAACCGTCTTTCTCCATCCCCCATCTTACTTTGTTTTCGCATTACATTTATAAATATACATAAAATGCACGCATTGTGTGACCCAAATCAGTTTTTACTAGCTGGCGCAAAAGGCACATTTCATAACTCCTTTCACCGTGAGAACCGATTCACTGAAAATCAAGCAAAAAGATCGTTTTTTTTTTTTGACGCACTTGCAAGGAGAAATGGTGCAAAAAAAAAGAGCCCCTCCCACCATCTTGGTATGTGTCACATGCAAACAAGTATATCCACATATCCATACGATCAGAAATAAATAGAACAAAAACGAACAAAAATTTAAGCTTCTAATATGTTCATCTTTGGATGCAGGAGTATATTATAACAACAGAAAACAACAATCGCTTTGAACTTAATTATAGGAATTATATTAATATTTGTTTGTTACCATGGATACCTCTCTTCCCCCGCAACCAACCAACCAACCAACCACCCCTATCCCCCCCCAAAAAAAAATCACTCCTTTTTCATATTGTTGCATAGCCCCTCTGATTGTCCAACACGTAAACAAAGTTAAATTTTTTTTTTGTTTGTGAAACGGCAATAGCCGAAAGACACTATAATTTTTTTCATCGGACGAACAAATCAAAAGCAAGGTTGACTAGCACCCCCCCCAAAAAAAAACTTTTAGACTCTCTTACTAGTAGTACTTATCCTAATACACTCTAAACAAACCAATTGTTATCACTTGGCATTTCATGCAAGACGATTGAAATTTTTTTGTATGGTTATATGAAGAGAGGCCCGAATTCCTGGGTAGAAACATATAGTAGGTTAGGGCTATGTATGACCAGCCATGAAACGATAATCAATTAAGTAAAAAAAAAAAAACAGGATCTCTCTCCCTCAGTGAACGGTATAGATGGTTATAGAACAAACCCCCATCACCACCCTGTGCTTTATAATAGGTGCGGGTTCAGTCATGATTAGAACTGCTGTGCCAAGTATTTTTTTAAATGATATATAAAAAATAATGTAATGCAAAAAAAAAAAAGAAACATCTGTGATGGGATGGCCCCAAAAGGACATCTTTTTTGGAAAGACAACGTTTCATGATGGAATACCTCAGAAGGAAAAAGAGAGAGTGAGTGAGTGAGGGACACTAAAATAAGCCTAGGTGATAAAATAGTCCTCCCCCCCCCCTCTCCTTCCTCCCCCAGTTAAACAACAATGTGATCGTTCATTTTGAACGCAGACCTACCGTAAATGGTTTGGGTTGCCTTACTGTCGGTTACATTGGGGGGAGGGGGAGTGTAACTTTAGTGTGCTTTTTACAAATTAGCTCAAATGGTCAAACTTTTCATCAGAAATCGAGAGACTGCACAAGAAATTTCGATGAGTTGGTATACTTATCGCATAATGTGAGTTTGAATAAAACTTTAAAATTTTTTTTGTTTTTTTTGCATTTTTCTTATAAAAGACAACTGCTTATTTATATTTCCCCCTTTTTAATTTTATATATTATTCTACATTTTTACTTAATTATCATCATCATATAAAATGAAAAGCTGCTGCAATACCAACATTCTCCCAAAGTCTGCAATTCATACCCTACCCAGTCTTATCAAGCCTACACCCATCGTCACAAATAAAATTACAAGTTTTCAAATCGATTCTGGATTTTGTCAATACTGTGGAGTCGATGTCTTTTTATTTGCGTAAGTCTCTTATCAGTGTAGTCCACACTTTCTTTTTACTCATCCAATTGTGCTTAATAATAGACATGAATTCTGGTGTCGTCTCTCATTAACAGAAGACTAAATAGGATGGACCCCCCCCCCACAAAACAAAAACAAATTTACCCTCTTACCCCCCAATCGAAAACTATCTACTTTTTTTTTTCCCAGCTGTGATTAAAAAAAAAAAAAAAGGTCGAACAATCACATTCATTCTTGTTTAAAATCCCAAAACTTTTTATTTCCCTGTATTTTTTTATACCCTAAATCCTGTGTTCCATCTTTTTTTGTAAATATAAATTCATCACTGTAAATAAAATAAAAAAACACACACATTTAATTTATAATGGTTAAAAAAGAGGAAAGAAGCAGCCATGTGAGAAAATACTAAAGTGACAGAAAAAAAAAAAAAATTATTTTATATGTGAGGGAGGATCATATTTCGATTTCCAGATCCAGGAATTCCCCATGATACCCTGACCTTGCTTATCTGCAAGTCGATAGTATTTAGCTGCCAACATCATATCTTTCTTGACACCATGACCATGATAATAACAATGGCCCAAGTCATTCTGAGCATCCGCATCATTTAAATCAGCAGCTATTTTGAAATAATAAACAGCTGTTTCCTTGTTCTTTTTACACTATCCCAAACAAACATTAACAAAACTACAACATCATCAAAAATTAAAATATGACTTACACCCCAACCATGTCGAAACGAAACACCGAGCTCATAAATAGCCATGATCAACTCACCCTTCGTAGCAGACGTATTCATGCTAGAAGAAAACCGATTCAGATCGACCACCGCATGTTCCGCCGATTTCTGCAAGTATTGAAACGCCAAGTGCTCATTCTTACCACATCCCCAGCCATGACGAAGTGATACACCATACAAAAACATACCCATCGGAAAGTCCAGCATGGACGCTTGCTTAAACATCTCCGTCGCCTTTTCCAATTTACCCGACTCGTGGAATTTGATACCTTCATGCACATATTGCTCCGCTTCACCCTCCGGTAACAGCGAATGCTTTTTCGTCGTTGTCGTCGTTGTTTTGCCTCCTCCTTGCTGTTGGTAGCCTAGAGGAGAGGGAAGGAGACCGTTGGGAGACGGCGTGTTGGGTGTATAAGGCGATAACCCGCTATGGGGAGAATTCATACTACGCGAAGAACCTGGTGTCATTGATCCAGGTGTCAATTGTATATTTTGAATGGAAGAAGAGCGAGTGGGCGTTCCCCTGTTGGGTGAGGAAGAAGATCGAATAGGAGTGGGTGGAATGACCAGTGGCGTAAGAGGAGGTTTGGGTAATCTGCTATTCATTGTATTGGAAGACTTGGTTACGGTGGGTAAAGGAGAAGTGCTATTACTATAATTGTTATTCTTTTTATTATGGGGTACAGGCTGAAGAGCGAAATTCGTAGCTGGGGATGCATGAACAGGAGTCGATGGCTTAATAAATGATTGATGTGCTTTCACAGGCAATTCTTCCACATAGTATTGGACGTTGGATTTGACTGATTTAGGTGGTGTCACCATTTGAATCTCAGGATCTTTATTTAAAGGATATCCATTGTAGAGCTGTTGATGATGGAAATAGTTCATATTGGCAGGAGAGTTAGGAATGTAGGATGTCGTATTCATGTAATCCTCTGTGACGGAGTCCATGGTTACAGCGGCAGGATCTATAACAACAAGAAAAAAAAAAAAAAGAGTTTTTTGGAGGAGGGGCATTTAGTAAAAAAAAAAAAAAAGGGCAAAAAAATTAAACTAAAATTTAATTAATCAAAAGTAATTTACCAATATATGTTTCACGAGCGTACCCTCCATTTTGATATGAATACGCATCCTCATTGGCACTGTTAGGATCAATTAAAGATTCACGGGGCAAATGATGTGCTTTTTGCAAAGACGAGGTTCGTGCAGGCTAATATAGAAGTTTTTTTGTTTAAAAAAAAAAAAAACTTTAAATTTTTTTTTTTTTTTCCTTGTATATTATTTACCTGTCTCCACATATCATTCTTACTGACCTGCAGGGTTAAAAAAATTAAATAAAAAAAGGTGTCAATACATGAATCTCGAAAAGAACGTCCCTCATGAACGTTCTTTTATCTATATAAATAAATCACTTCGTCAATGGAGGGGATTCTTACATGGTATGGTGTTGCTGAAGGAGCTGGAATCATTCTGTATGAAAAAAAAAGAATTCGAAATGCTTTAGGTTAATACCCAATGTTAAAAAAGTGAGTCGACATTACAGCTGTACCTAGAGTTGGGCGTCACATGTTGAAAAGAGAGTGGGTCATAATGTTGGTTGTATATTTCTCTGGACATTATACACTAATAATAATAATAAAAAAAAATATATAAATTTAAAAAGAAACAAAGAAATGCTAATACAGAGAGAGAGAGAGAGAGTGATCTACAATCAATTGGGTTGCATTGGTACGAAAAAAAAAAAAGGGAGCTTGATACTATTTATGGGTATTCAACCGTGTCCTTGACAGCCATTTCTGGCTTTGTTCATGGTCTCACAAAATCACTACGCTAATTAGATTTCTCTTACCATTGGTATATAAATTGACCAGTTTTATATCGTATTGTTCCTCGTAGGATACTTGAATATTTATCATCATCTCATTTTACAAATTTTTTAATTAGATCGACTATCAATGAAACAAAAAAAAAAAAGACATGTAGGGCGGGAATCGAATCTCGCGTTGGACCAAAAGTATTTATATTAATGGTTTAAAAATAAACTTGACAAAAACAAGGTTTGTTTTTAGCTTTATTTCCATATTCTACATCTTTTTTTCTGAGCCCTTTTTTTTGCATTCATATAAATCCCTTAAAACAAGAATTTTATTGCCCCCAAATAGATTTATAATGGACTGCTTTATTAAACATGGTTTATACATAGTTGCCTGCCCCCAAAAAAACACCTGCTTTTTTTTTTTAATATAAGAGGTGCATAAACAACGAGCATTAAATTATGAACAATGGACAATCATTAAAAAATAGAATGCACATTGCCTTTTTTTTCACTTTATAAATGTGTCATCCACAATGAAGACTAACGTCACCTCCAATGGATGTATTCCCCCCATCCCCGCCGCCGCCGTTTATTTCACTTGTACCCATAATCATCCTTTACACAGATACGCCCTCCCCCCACACACCCACACACCCACACACCCACACACCCTTACTTACATTAAACGTGATACACGCTTGTATGATGTTCATGTACGACAAGTCCCCCCCCCCCATCTTTTGTTTTTTTTTCTGCAAATCAAAATCCACCCGCTTTCCCCTCGTACTCCTGGATACACGTATTGCGCACAAGCCATCAAGGCGCTCTTGGGGGAGTCATGCCATTTATTAAAATCAATTCTGTTCCGGTATCGTACCATTAAATGAAATCAGGGATCCTATTGTCCTTCCTTATTTTTTTTTTCATGCATTGTTCAACTGACATTCAAATCATAGACGACGTCATGTAAAAGCATTGGCCAGTTGCTTTAAACTTTTTTTTTTAGTTGACGTTTAGACTCTCTTTTTTTTTTTTTTTAGATGTATATTCCATGCTGCATAATTGATTAGCATGCACAAAAGTAAGAAAAAGAGGACGATGATTGGGGAGGGTTTGTATGGAACTTGATTTTTTTTTTTAGTCAGTTTTAAAGCTTCCGGGACCTGACTTTTTTTGTATCTGCGTAATTACGCCCATACCGATCATTCTCTATTCTTTTTATTACTGTCTAAACAAGATCAATAGAATGGTCAATGCGAATATTTCATGTCTACACCTGAAATAGCCACCGCGTAAAAAAAAAAAAAAAAAAAAAAAAAAAAAATTAAAATGACAGCCCTGAATATGAATTGCAAAATACAAATTTATTTCGTCATGTTACTTGATTAGTAACCATGGTGAATCATGACTCATTGTTTCTTTTGTAAACAAACTTATATCCTGACAGTTGTTTACTTTGGAGGGGTAAACAATACCATCTATTTGAATTCAGACTCCATGATGAGTTCAAAACTCAAGCCACTACAGACTAAACGCGGGGTGGAAAATCCCCTTCTTCGTAACTTTAGACAGGATACGTGGAATTTCGGGTGTATGACTTCACAAGCAAACTTTTTTTTTTTTTTTTCAATTCCGGTCGAAAGGCGTTTTTTTGTAGACCCCTCATCCCCCATACGCATGACAATAATTCAAAAAAAGAAAAAGGGGAAAAAAAGAGAATCAGGCCATCCTAAATTTTTTTTTTTTTACAATATGATGATTTAAATATATGCGACGGGGGGAACTGTCAAAACGAACGCGGAAGTGCATCGTTCCTTCTTTAATTTTAAATAGGCTCCCCTCAGAAAATGTCTCGGAAAAAGAAAAAAAGGGCTACATTGGAAAACGGATGATGTGGATTAGGTAATTTATTGGCTATTTCGAAAGTCCGTTTATCTTCTCAGTCTTGAAACCTCGCCTTTTATATGGAAACAAGCTAGAACAAGAAAGGGGCGGGTAGGCGAGCGAGCGGGGGGTACCTAACACACTAAAAAAAAAAAAAAAATATATAGTTACCACACATTTTTTTTTTAAACTTCTTTTCTTTTTTTTTCTCTTTACTTTTTTAACTTTTTTTTTACAATTCAAGAATGGGAAATAATCAATCACAGCCTAAAAAAAATTCTAAGCGCACCTTTTATGACAATGTTCTACATGCGTCCACTACCAATCATTCTATGCCTACTCCACCAATGTCCACTAAAAGTTCGCCCAATTCAAGACCTGCTTCACTTGTCGATGATGTCAAATCAGGCGTTCATAAAATGCTTCATAAAACACCTTCTAAACTGGATGAAACAACCATGGCTGACACTTACAGTCTCAATAGTTGTCAAACAAAGGGCTCTAAATCTGCAGATCATCAATCGCGAGATAAATGCACTACGGAAGATGCCTTAATCAATGGCCGAACTTATCAAACCTTAAACAACAAATATTGTCTTCCTATTGACGATGAAGAACAAGACCGCCTTACCAATACAGTAATGTTTTGTCTTACCATAAACAAACATACATAAAAATTGACGTCTTTTTTTATTTTGTTATTTTTTTTTTTTTTTAGCACTATGTCTTGAAGCAATGCTTTGGTGACAATTTCACTGCACCCATTCATGATCTCCTGTCTAGATCAGTGTCAGTTTCAGGAGATGTGACTAATTCCTCATCCAACCTTCCTTTAGAGCAACAATGCAAGCATAGTAACAGCATGATGGATAATTCGATTATTTCTGTGTCACCATCATCGAGTCGAACGAATTTGAACAACAACGGGCCTGTCACACCTGCTCGTGTACTGGATGTAGCATGTGGTTCGGGTGTTTGGGTCCTGGACATGGCTTCATCCTATCCTGATTCCCAATTTTACGGAATAGATTTTGCCTGTATTTTTCCAAATACAATTAAACCACCAAATACCACTTTTCATCAAGGCGATCTATTGGACCCAGAGGGCTTTCCTTATCCCGATGAATTCTTCGATTACATTCACATGCGTCTTGTATATAATTGCTTTTCGCCTGCCGATCTCAAGGTAAAATTCCTTTATTTATTGCTGCTTATATAAAATCTAATTTATTTCATTCTTATTTCTATTGTCTAGACTGTACTGAATGAAATCAATCGGGTCCTTAAACCTGGAGGTTACGTCGAATTCAGAGACATTGATCCTACCATCAAGAACCCAGGTCCCACAGCCGACCAATTCTTTGCCGATTGTAAGTCTTTTTTTTTTATGAATTTATATCAACTCACTAATATTCATAAAAATTTCAAATAGTTACTGACCGTATGTTGGAGTTACATTCGGTTGATGTTACCTGGACACAAAGATTGTGCGAGGTACTTTCAAATCTGGGTGACTTGACTGATATTCATCACCAAGAAGTATCGGTCGGCTTCGGCTATGACGGACCCTTAGCCAGCTCCATTGATTGCAGTATTCGTGACGCACTTCGTAGTCATAAGCAATTCTTCATGAATGCCTACAATATCACAAGCGATGAATGCGAAGAAAAAATCAATAACATTATCAAAGAAAGTGCAACGCATCATTCTTACTTTAACTATTATATGGCTTGGGGAAGAAAACCTCTGGTCATGAATCAATTAAGAAGTTCAGGTCAAAATACACCTGCCACACCTACCACACCTGTCTCTGCAGACTTTATGCACTCTTACCACGTCAATATTCATGATTCACCAGAACTATTGGCTTCTGTCCTGACTGAAAATGCTTTTGACATTGTTCATTTTGCCAATGGCTTTATTGAATAATCAATTCCCCCCCCCCAACACACACACCCTTTCCTTACTAATATCTACTAATAATAATACCCTTATTTATTCATACCCTAAGTAACTTTCCCCCAAACTATGTAAATCTCTCTCTCTATGTAACAATAAAAATTTCCCTTAATTTACTTGTATAAACTAGCGCTACAAATATCTAAAAACTCCTCCTCAATATTTACCATTGGGTCGGCGCAAAGGTTACCTACATATAACATACCAAAGCCTTGTATACCCGTAATTGAGAAGAACCCGAAAAAAAAAAGGTCTCTTTAGCACATGTATTTAGACCCGTTATTCCTGAAAGAACAAAAAAAAAAAAAAGTTCTAGAATCTGCCAAAACACATGAAAGATATAAAATGAAACATGCCCTATGGTAAGAGCGTTTGACAAAGGAAAAAAAAAGGTGGTGCTATTTTTACACGTGCATCCAGGGACTCTTGAAATTTTCTGCTGATCGACCTACCCGCATTCTGATAGTTTTTTTTTTTGTGTGAATTTATATCGTATGCTAAAACATTTCCCAGTTTGCAAGTAAGGACATGATGAACCAAAAAAAAAAGGGGAGGGGGAGAGGTTGGGCCCATACATGATGTCATTTCCTTCCCCTCGTCTGTGTTGCCTTACTATGCAGATCCTATAAACTCTCTTTTTTTTTGGTTCAGGTGGAGAAAACATCCGTCGGGCCTCTCGGTTAATCAACGAACTGTGTAACTTTAATGTTTCTTACTGTAAAAATATAATATAAATTGATGAAACTCCCAAAAATACTCTAGTTCAACAACAATTAAAAAACTGTCAATTTTTTCTTTTTTGTTTTACATATTGAATTAACTTAAATAGTATATGTTTTCAAAAGCATATAATATTTACATGTCATTCTTTTTTTTTTTTTTTTTCACTGCTACACAAAAAAAAAGTAAAAAAAAAAAAACCATTTTATGTGACGCCTTCTTAAGATCGAGACCTTTGGGGGGAAAATAGTTAGGGGATACCTCTTTTTTTTTTTTTTTGCTTTTTTTTTTTTACCATGTGTGCATGTCTATAAATAGTGTGGAATTATACCCATCATCCCACTTTTATTCAAACCATCCCCGTAATTTTTTTTTTTTTTTTTTACTTTTTTATATATACACGCTATCGTCAACCTTAAATTTATTACAAATCAAGTAACTTGTCAATACTTTATGACAGCCGTAATTACACAAATTCGGCTTCCCTAATAAATAGAATTTCACTATCATAACTACAGAAAATTATAAAATAATAATAATAAACAATGATTGATGGGCGGCGTAATTCATCCTCCACCGCCAAACTTAATCGCCAAAAAATCCAACCCCCTTTGTTATTGAATCCAACGCATTTTTTTTTAACTGCTACCATGCATTTATTATTACAAACATCACTATTTTCCCTTCTACTTTAAAAAAAAAAAAAAAGAGAGAGAGAGACAACAAAGGGACTGCATGGGGAGGGGGAGACTTCATTTGATTGGTTTTTCTTCTTCTTCAAATCCACAATTATAAGCCCTCCTTACTTTAATTTTCATTGCCTTCTTCTGTTAACGGTGTAGAAGCCCTCCGCTTCTTTGCATTCTCCTTCAACATTTCCCATCTTTCACGGTATTTGTTCACCAACACAGTCTGTTTCTCATTTTGTGCCTTTAATTGCTTATTCTCCAGCTCCAATTCTCTCAAACGGGACGCCGGATCATGCCCATTTCCACCTGCTAACGTTGGATGTCGAAGTGAACTGTTGACAGCACTACCACTCGGCCCTAGTAACGCTGCTGCAGACGATCGCATCGATGTCTCATGGTGTGATTGCATGATTCGTCTTGCCTGTATATGAACATCGTTTCTAAACTGGAGAACACTACTCTTTAGCATATCACCTTCTTCAGCAGTCTAGTTAAATAATAATAAGTCTACCACCCCGTTCGCGGAAAAAAAAAGACCTCAGTAAATTTACCATTTCCAATGATTTCATTCGTTTGGTTAATTGCGCTATTTGCGCTTGCAGTTTTTCATTTTCTGCCTTGTAATGGTCCTTTTGCTGCTGTTCTATACTAGATCATTTTGTTTACTTTTACTCCACACAAATAATATCCCCACCCCCCCCTTTTTCATTAGTGACATACCTTTTTTCCTGTTTTGTCCCTGTTGACATGGGTTGTATTTGATGAACAGGCGGATTATTCGTATCGTCTTCAGATCCATCTGGACTATAGACCATGTAGTAGGAATCAAACATGTTTGTCTGTTCAGATTTGGTGGACATATCCTCTTCGAGCTTATCTTCTGTTGGTGTAACAGGAACCGGAATATCGTTCTCGTTTAAAGGAACCGAGGTAAATGCCACGGCAGGGTTAAAAAATTGCTGTACAAGACCCTCCACTGCCTCTAAAAACTTGTTGAATGGATCATCGTCATGGTCTTCCTATAAGTTTAGAAAGTTTTATTTAGTTCTGATGACGAAGACATCGATCGTCTCTCCCTCTTTTACATTGGACAAAAGTGCATAGGATTCACCTATGCCACCTGTACGATGATGGGAACTCTCACCAAATTCTCCTCGGGCCATCCGTGACACCAGTCCATTCATATTCGGTCGCTCCGGTAACCGATGATTACGGTTATTTATCCCCACCATTTGTTGCATCCGCTGATTCGCCGCTGCCTTGATCACCCTTTCCGCTTTACGCTTTAACTCCTTGGCCTTGCGTTCATGATTTGATGTCAAGAGTAAAAGTGTTTTTGTAGCCTTTTCTTTCCCGTCATTTTTTTTTTTTTTTTTTTTTTTTTTAGTTTTCATACAATAACTTAAGCCACTCCCCTTTTTTTACCTCTGCATCTTCTGTGTCTTTCAACGCAATCTCAAATTGATCTATCATTGGAATTCAATATGGTTGGGAACATTTAATTTTTAAGAGGGGGAGGAGGATTTACCTGCCGCTTTGGAATGGGCTTCCGATGCTTTTAACCACATTTCCCTCTCTTCATAATCTTCAGCTGCATTAGCAAAATTATGACCCTAATCATTATAATTACTTTTTTAATGAAGCAATGAAATCGGTCCCATGAAGAAGAAGAAAAAAACAGTTTGGGTATACTTACTGCGTTTACGGGTGCTTCTGCATTCATGTTCAAGTGTTTCAAAAAAAAAATTATAAAAAGGGAGAAGGGGAGAGAGAGAATTGCATAATGCGGTCTTTCAAGACAAAAAGTCAATCATGCTGGGCTTTTGTTGACAAAAAAAAAAATTGGGCTAATACGATTGGCTATCCAAGGCATGACTGATGCGCTCCCAGGGTTAAATGATTGAAAATTACGTTTTGTCATGCAGGTGAACTACCATCAAAGAGTTTCTTTTTTTTTAAAAGAAAGGGGGGGGGGGTTCTGTACAGCCAGAACATGATTTTAATAACGAAAAAAAAAAAATAGTAGTCTGTCCTTGTCTTTCTCGAACAGAGAAAATACCAGCACAGACCGCTTCGGTCATGCTGAAGTCAGCGAGTGCTACTCTTTAAAATGGTTTAGCAGTACATAATACAAAGATCAAGTCATTAAATTTTTTTTAGATAGACTACTATTTATTTTTTTTAAATAAAATCACTGTTTGACTGTATATTAATAACAGATTCGTATCCAAAAAAAAAGGGCCAGATCATATGCTTTCTATTATTTGTCAGATTGGTAGGGGAGACATGTGTTCTAAACAAAAGCCTGGATTTATGATAAATCTTCTTACAAGTTTATGATAAACCTTCAGTGATAAATCTGGATACTCTAATAAGCCCAAAAAAAAAGATATGGTTTCATGGCTTAAAAGTAGTGATCTTCATGGTAGAATACAATGGTATTACATGAAAGCATTCTTTTACAAGTTTATTGACCAAGTTTGATTTGTGTATCTCAAGGCGAAAAAGTCGTCATATTTGTTGCTTTTTTTTTTTTTAAAAAAAAAAAAAAATCCAATGGCTCTAGGTGAAAGAGGTTGTCTGATTTGACGATCCACTGTTTTGTTTTAATTTTTAAAAAAAACAAGTCTTACGCGAAAATCATTTGCGTAAGAAATCACGGCAAGTTTTATAAAAACTTCTTATATTAACAGTACAGTACATCATGCATCTTTCACTAACTAAAATATAGATATCTCAGCATCTACACTTTATAAAGCAGATAAACTTCCTTTAAACTGAAATAAAACATACGAACAGTCTTACTTTTTTTTCTATTTATTTTATTGCCTCAACACCACACTTGGATTGGACTGGTTGGGAAACGAGTGTATGACCATGGAATAATCGAGTGGCCAGCACGAAGAGGCCATCCAAAAGAATGGCCCCGAGACGGTTCCGAGAAAATATCTGTAGCTGTGGGTGGCTCATCAATCCCATGTCTTGGTTTATACGTACTACTTGATGGTTCATCCTCCTCATGTATAGACAGTAGGAGTCCAATTTCGATAAACTTTTTTTTTTTTTTTTCGTTCTAAGCGGGGCATAATTTTCGAACCTTCGAGAAGTCAGTTTCGTCACACGAATGATGCATTGGAACTTTTCGAGATCGTAAACAATAAAATGTATATAAGGAACGTCATTCTACTATCCGAAGCAAATCTCATATCATCTTTCTTTTATCCTTTTTTAAGTTTTTTGTGTAAAAAAAAAAAGAATGCCAATCGAACAAAATACGTCACTGCAAAACCAAACTGATCCAACTGTCAGAAAAAGAAGAACCAAATATCAAACAATCAATGACAACTTTAGAAAAGAAATCATTAAATACTGGGAAGACAATCGGGGTGTTAAGACTCTAAAAGAAATGGCATCCAATTTACGAATTCCACGATCTACTTTGGCCTCCATTACCAAGATTTATGAAAATACTGGTAGAGTAGAATCATTTAAAAGGGGAGGATGTCATTATGTTAAGATGGATGACGAGCAACTTCAATTTATTCAAGATTTGGTGGATGAAAACCCTTCTATAACATTAAAGGCCATTCAGTCTCGTTTACAACTTCAATTTAACATGGAAACCCCTCACTCCATTACGGGTATTGATTACGCACTCAAGAAACGCATCAAATACACTTTGAAGAAACTACACAAGTAACTAGCAAGAAGAAATAATCCAGCAATTGAAGATGCAAATTTTGAGTACCTTAATCGACTAATAGCTGGAAGAATTAATTACAATCACAATTGTGTCTTCGTCGACAAAAGAGGATTTAACTTGTGGGTGACAAGAGGTTGCACAAGAAAAAAAAAATAGGAACCCCAACATTTCAAATTGTGAGTGGCCAGCACAAAAGAATTATCACTCATTGATTGCTGCTATGTCAATCCATGGTGTAAAATAATATGCGGTCAACAATACTATGCATGGAACCAATGACGAAATATTTGCGGATTGCATGAAGGAACTATATCTCTACCTGGAAAGAAAGAACCTCGCACCAAATTAAACGATTATCATGAACAGTTTCCCGATTCACAAATTACCGTTAGTACTTAGGAATTTGCCTTCATTTTTAGATCACGAAGTGCTTCCGCTTTCTTGTGGTTTGACTTATTAAACCAGCTTTTTTACAGTTGGCAACTGAGAGAAGAACTTGTAATTCACTTCTATCAATTGATTAACACATACTTTTTAGCAAAAATAAAGCCATCTTGTCCGTATAAAATCAGATTTTTTTGAATTGTTAAATGGCAAACAAATCAACCAATATTTTTTATTTTGTCTTGAAGTCTCTCTAATATCAAATAGATAGCCGGTTTTTTTTTGCGGATGTGAAATGACAGGTCTTTAGGTGCCCGTCACAAGACTGCACATTAACATAATTTTAAGAGACGACCTTTGATTTCTGGTGATCTTTTGAACTTCTGAGTTGATTAGTTGATCTTGACATTCAATTGTCACACGAACTACAGTAAGCCCTATTTGAAGGCTAACTTTGAAGTGGATTAATCTCCCATCTATTCCAGCCATATGCGGCATAATAATTTTGGTTTCCATTATGTTAACATGGCTCTTAGTAAGGTATCTGTTATTAGCATCCTCTTCCGAGTCGCATGCGAAGATTGCTAGTATCAACATTAGCCAATTGTGAGGGTTTGTTTACAATCAATATATATACCTATTACTGCAGCGTTGGGGTATACAGCATGTATATTTTTAATATATAATGTTCGTCTCCCATGTTCGAATTCTTGACCTTTTGTTACAAAATACTCTAAGCGGTCTTTTTTAAAGTTCAAGTCTCCATTGGGTCCCTTCATTTTCTCTGATGAATCAGTCAATGCTTTGTCAAGCGGTGCTTGTACCATTAAGCTGAGGGAGCTTTGAGCAGTTTTTTTTGTCACCACACGGGGATTCAAGGCATAAGACACTGCACCAAGAGAAATAGCGGCAGCACCGTCGGAAGGAGCACTAACATAACACACACCTTTGTACTGGTCTTTGATACGTTGTTGCAGGTATCTGGATTGGGAAAACCCACCAACCATCAAAATTGCGTCAATTCGTATATTTCCTTTTTTTGCTTGGTTTAACTGATCATCTATAAGGGCCAAAATACGCTCAGCTATGGGATCAAATATGTTCTCTTTCATATCTTGGTTTTTCATTTTAAGCGTTATATTCCCATTAGCCATCATGGAATCAGAATTACAGGTAGAATCTATGGGATCCTTTCCAAGAAAATTAATATCATAACAACTATCATCCTGCAAACTAGGCATAAAATTTGGCTATGGTATATAAAAATGCTTAGAAACACCTGTTGTTAAAATATATATTGCTCTTTACCTTGATGTTGTATTCAAAATTCTGCATGATATCGTCCAGTAGAATATTTGATTTGCCTGTATTTACTCCAAAACTGTTATAGAAGTCCCTGAGGTAGCCTTTAAATCTTAGATCAAGAGAATTTGAGCCACAGGTATCACCTATACCGTTGCCAATTTGAGAAACCACTGACATTTTTTTTTCATCAACTTGTAAATTAAATGTGAATAAATCCACAGTTGTTCCTCCAGCATCACAGACAATGAAGTTTGTATCGTTTGTATTGCCTTTCAAGCCATTAAAGCTCTCAGTAACTATCTTTTCGCAGTATAGTGCTGCTGCCTCGAGTTCGCTGATCATAAAAAGCTGATCGAGCTCATTTGTTTTAATTATTGTAGCTTCAATTGCAGCTTGCATCATGTTGTCTCGGGCTGATGCATTCCACATAGCAGGCACAGTAATCACATATCGGATTTTGTATTTTTTTAAAAGCTTTGGCCTGGTAAAAAAACCAAAGTTTTCCTCCATTTCTTTACTAACGATGTACTCAATAACATGATTTTTGAAAAGCTTGAGATAATCAGCTATAATTTTGACCACATCCACTTCGTTTTTTGGGTTTTCATCATTAGGAAATTGTCCTTGTTTTTTTAGTTCTTGCAGATCACCAGTGTAGCCATTAAAATTTTCTAAAGATTTCGGACATAAAAACAGTTTGAAGTTTTTCAGAAGGTTGAGATCTTTATGATGTTTGACCTGAAGTCTTGCTTCTTCACCCCAATATTTTGACTTCATTTTGTTACGCATTAACAAGGTTGGGGTCTTTTCGAAATTATTTAGATTCCCTTCTTGCCTACGATTATCGATTAAAGTGTTTTTGGTGTTTTTGGTGTTTTTAATACTCTCGGGCTTCATATACCAGTCCTGTTTTATGGTCTTGATTTCTTTTGTATCTACAGGTTTTCCATTCTTATCCCTAAGCTGAACATAAGAGCATCCAGAAAAACTGTTACCAAAATCTAAAAACAATAAAGAAATAATTAAAAAAAAAAACTAAATTATGCATAGGATTTTTTAGCCTTTACGAACCAATTCCGACAATAAAGTCATAGGCATCATTTTCATTGATATTATCAGTGGCTTTCTCTATCACTGGTTCTGGGAAGGGACGGTTTTTATCAGAAAATAGGGACCGGCATTCCTCATTAAGAAAGAAGGGAGTTTGCGATTTGTATGTGCTTATTTTTGAAGAGACAGCGCCCGAGGAAACCATTACAAGTGAATCTTCAACAATAGAATGATAATGCTTCAATTTCCCCTTATCTCTGGCTATAAGATTTTCAATAAAGTGTGATTTGATACCATAGTTTTTAGAGATAAACATGCTGCATTGGTCTTGTGTTCCATAAGCATTTAATACAACTTTAGCTATGTTTTCGACAAATGGTTTTAATCCAATTTTGTTTAAATCTTCATACGTAAATTCAATGAGATTTCCATCAATATCTTTTTGTGAGATGCCAGTAACCATACGATATGCATACTAGTTAATGAAAAAAAAAGTAGTTGGAATAAAGAAAAATAAAAAATGTAAGCATTACATTTACTTACCTTAATCTTTTCGAAAAAAGGCTGGACAAATCGATCAATGAGTGGAATGTTTAGATTTAAGTCTGTCATATTTTCTAACGGACGTGCTTTGAACTTGATGCCCAAATTTATTAAGCCATGTGCTATATCGTCAGAAATTGCCGTAATAGTACTAAGAGATTCAGTGGAAGCTGTATAAACCTTTGCTATTCCAGTAGAGATATTGCCTAAATCAACAACACAATAATCTTGGTCATTTTGGATATCGGTCTCGTTTCTGTCAAGGGAAAGATGAAAATGAGCTACAGCGACAGCTTTAATGACAAATGATAGTCGGTGCTCAGCTTCAGACTCCTCGATAATTCCTGCCTCAATAAAGCAGTCTTTCATAAATTCTTGTCGATCGGTTGGACAAACGAGGCAATAACAAGCATTAATAATGTCTTCATAAATAAACTCTTCGTTGACAAAGTCTTGAAAGTATTCATTCTTAATTAGTTTTTCGTGAACCTGTAATCTTTTAAGGGCATGTTGAACAAAATATTTCAGATAGTCAGTCATAGCCTTTTTAATAGTCAAACCTTCCATCAGTCGGCCAAGTTTTTCATTTGAATCATCGATGTCAAGAAGATATTGACTGATGTTATCTACGTAAACACCTAAATCACCGAACTTGTCGCGTTGCATACCACATTTTGGGGTATCGTTCCCATCCTTCGAGTACAGAATTGAAGAAAAAAATGTTTCAGAAGGTTTTTTCGAATCGTCCCTATCTTAAGCTGTTAGTAACTTTTATAAAACATAATATTTCATTTTAAATTGTAAAGTACCAAGCTGAGACGGTGATAATATTAAGTGGGTCATTTACATGGGCTATCGAAACCCTTGAATTAGTAGTTCCTAAATCTGTTACATAAAATGTTATCGGATTTGTCGGGTTAGCTGAAATATTACCACTTGCCTATTCCGACAATGTATTCTATCTGGTTTAAACCAGTCATGCTTTCAAGAATAAAAAGAAAAAAACAATGAGGAAAGGAAGATAAAAAAATGAAAAACGATGTAAAAAAGTCTATCCTGTGCGATCCAGTCACAATTTGGTCTTTTGTTGCACACAACTGTGTGTTACCACAACTCAAATATTCGATAAAGTCAAATGAATAAGAAGTGTGCGCAATCCCAGTTTGCTATTGATGTTCGGATGAAATTTATCATGGGGGAATTTTTTTTTTTTGGTATTTTTTTTATTTCTGTCCTCGGGTCACGCATTTCGGTAATTTTCGATACTCGTTAAATCGAGCAGTGTTCCAAAGGCCATAGAATTCTATAATTGGATAATGTTTAGAGGAGACTATTGGTTGTTTAATTTATTTCATATACCTCAACACTTATCCTCTTTAAAACATCCCTTAAATCTTGCTTTCATACTCTGGCTTAGGGTAAACTAGTAGCACTGGTATCACATTTTTTTCTTTTTGGCTGTGCGGATGTTTGTAGTTGTTGTTAGCTCGTCAACACGAGGGCTTTTTTTACACATACCAGTTGATGTGTTTCATATTCCTTATGTATAGACACCCAAATAAGTTGTTTGATTCACGAAGATACCTGTAAGTGCTTTTCTTGCCTTAACTTGTTTAAATCCACGCTACAGATACTGCAATTCATATTGGCAGTCAAAGATTGACATCCTCTT